GTTTATTGATTGATTGATTGAGTGAATGAGTGAGTGAACGAATGAATAAATGGGGTAACAGATAACCGGTGCTGTCCGCATAACCCAAACCTGTCTGTCTGTCTGTCTGTCTGTCTGTCTGTCTGTCTGTCTGTCTGTCTGTCTGCCTGTCTGTCTGTCTGTCTGCCTGTCTGTCTGTCTGCCTGTCTGTCTGCCTGTCTGTCTGTCTGTCTGTCTGTCTGCCTGTCTGTCTGCCTGTATGTGTATGTGTTTATGTTTATGAGCATGTGTGTGGATGTGTAACACAACCGAGGTGTAACACACACACACACGCACACATACGCACACGCATAGGCATACACATATCTGTACAGGGACGCACCTCATGCCGGGCCGTGTGTGCTTGCTTGCCCCTCATTCAATTCAGTTTTTGTTCCGTACATGGACGGGATCTGCCGTACATGTCTTAAGACGTTAAAACCCTAAGCCCCTCACCTACTCAGGTCGTGCAGGGTGATGAAGCCGGCAGCGGGCGAACTCAGGGCGGCCTGCGAGGCCGCGTATGTGTGTGTATTTATGTGCGCGTGTCATAGCGGGCATGTATGCCCTAGTATGTATGTATGTACGTATGAGCATGTACGATTATCGAAACGTCAATACACACGACACAGAGGCAGGTCGGGGATTACGCGTATGCGTGTGTGATTTTTGCGCAGGCGTGCCCCGCGCCTTGAGTCTGTGCCCCTGCGGCCCTGCCTCCCCCCTTCCCCTTCCCTGCACCTTTTCTTATCTACGCGACCTAAACACAAATGCACTGCCCGCATTCCCATCAACCCGTCTTTAAACCGCCACGTGCCGTCCTTCCTCTCCCGCCAAACTCAAACTCCTCCCCCAACTCCCAACTCCCAGCTCCAACTCCCAACTCTCCCTGTGGGCACTCACCCGTACATACACGCTCTGCGCCCCATTGGTACCCGGCAATACCTCCTTCAGCAGCTGTCGTACCTCCCCTGGATCTAGAAATCCATCCCCGTCACTGTCGTACTGACCGAGCAGCTCCCGCAGTGTCAGGCGGCAACTGCGGAGATAGTAGCCTGGGTTGAGGGCCGCGGGTTGGCGGGGTGGGGGGGTGGGGGGGTGGGGTTGGGGGGGGGGATGTGTGCGGAGGGACCCGGAGGGGGCCTGGGGGAGGGAGCTGTGACCCGGAGTCCCCGGACGAGTACGGCACGGGTTTCGGATGAGAACGCGAACGCCATTCGGTCATGGCGGGGTGTGATGAAACAGGGGGTTTACTCAGAGAGGATACACGTGGCGAAATGCAGGTCAGGACGATGTGCATGATAAAGCGGCAAAGCGGTGTCAGATGGAGGACGACCGCTAATAGCATTGCGTGCTTTTCCCAATAAAAATCTTCACATCATATATAATATACATAACATATTTTCCATGTGTTAAAATAAGGAAAATGTCAATCCCCTTCTACCAGCCCGCCCATCCCCGCATATTCCGCCTCACTCTACCCCCCCCCCGGCAGCCGCCGCTACACGTCCCACCATCGTTCACCTCTCCCGTCCCCATAGTTTTTAGGCCACCCGCCTTTCCCTTCCTAACCTTTCTCCCAAGCAAAGATATACGCACACTCACACTCACACTCACACACTCACACGCAGCCACGCACTCACCTAGGTGGTAGAAGAACCGCGGCACAGCCTCCCTAGGGCTTCCCCCTCGCTGCCGCAACCAGCTGGGACCAAGGGGCGTCACCCCAACTGCATGCCCCCTCCCCCTCCCCCGCCCCCGCCCCTGCTGCTGTTGCTGTTGATCCTGCTGTGCATGTTGTTGCTGTCCTCCAAGACCTCCCCCACCCCCACCGCCGCCACCGCTGCCACCGTCTGATCTTTGGCGATCTGTGGAATAAGCCACATCAGCCAGATGCAGTGCATGTAGGACTTGGGGAAAACTTCGCCGGTTGTCGCCTGGGCCCTGCATGAGGTGACTCATCAGAAATCTCGCCTCCCCTGGACCTAACTCCGGTCGCATGATACGCAGGAAGCGCAGCAGCGCAGCGGGCTCCAGGAGGGGTTGTTGTGGGTTGTGCGGGTGGTTGTGCGGGTGGTTGTGATGGGCGTTGGAGTCCAATGGCTCGGGGAGGGCAAGGGAGGTGTCCCCCGCAGCGGCGGCGGCGGTGTCGGCGGCCAGGGTTTTGAATACGTGGTGCGCGTGATGGCGTTGCGAGTGGAGCAGGAAGGAGGTTTCCTGTGTGCGTGTGTGGGTGGGTGGGTGGGGGGGAGGAAGGAAGATGAGGAGGGACTGGAGGTGAGGGGAAAGATGGGTCAATAGGTTGTGAAGAGGGAGGGAAGAGGGGGGAAGTAGGGGGCGAGGGAAGCCAATGGGGGGAGTGTGATGTGGGTTTTACCCAAGCAGGGCACATAGGCAGTGCTGGGGTAGTACTGGGGCAGTGCTGGGCCAGTATTGGAGCAATACTGGGACAGCACTGGGGATTACTCGGTATAGGGATTTCCCCATGATCACTCATCGAGAGATGGTTCGGATGGACAGCGATGGAGCCGCCCTTAACCAACCCACCCTCGGCAAGCGCGCCTTTGGGGGCCCCCCTTTTTCCAACCTCTCCCCCCATCCCCCGAGCTGCTCCCCTCCAGTCGTACCTGCAGCACCCCCACCCACTCACTGCCTGCCCCCTCCCCCCGCTCCTCCAGCACCAGGTCCGCCAACTCGTCCGCGTCCAGCAGATCGGATAGGCTGATGTAGCCGTCGTCATCCCAGTCCATGAGAGCCTGAGGAGGAGGGGGGGGGGGAAAGGGGAGGGGGAGGAGACGAGCGGCGGCCAGGGAGAGGTAGGTGGAGGTAGACAGGGGGGAGCCTGTCTGCGAGAGGAAGAGAGTGTGTCTGTCTGTCTATCTGTCTGTCTGTCTGTCTGTCTGTGTGTATGTATAGGCAAACATAGCCTTACATCAAAGTTAGCTTCATAACACACACGCCAAACCCAGATCAGACCGTACCCCCTCCGAAACTCCTTTTCCCCCTTCCCTCCCTCTCCTCTCCCCCTCCTCCCAAACGGGCCCCGGGTCGCTCGTCCTGCTCAGATACACACCTGCTCACCCCCCACCCGAACTGAAGACCAGCATCCATTTTTCCTCGGGGGAAATCCCCTCTCGGGCTGCTATGGACGTCATCAATCGATCCCATCTTGGACATTTAAAAATGATTCCCCCCGGCCCCCCAATTTCTGGTTTCCTCTCGCATATGATGGCGCCCTCAATCCTCTCACCATTAAGTACGACACATCGGAGGGCACCGCCCCCGGCACCACGTGAGTCATCAGCGCCCGTAGATCCGAAACCGACAACATGCCGTCCAGATCCGTGTCCAGGGCGGCGAACAGCTCGGCCAGGCCGAGTTGGCGGCGGCTTAGGAAGGAGCGCAAAGAGGAGAAGAAGTCGGCCTCGGTGACGGGCGGCACGTACACAACCCCCACGCCCTGCTCCGGGAGGGGTTGGGGGGAGGGGGAAAGAGAGAGATTAGAAGTGTACGGAAGGGGAGGAGGGGAGGGAAGTCGTTAGGCCGCGTGTTTGTCTGCATGTTTGTCTGTATGAAAGTATCATCGCTTAGGTCAAGGCGCACACATCTACATCATTTGCTGCTCCTCATCCCCAAGCGCCCGGAGTCCCCGCCCCCATTACCATCAACGTCCCCCGCCCTCCGTTAGGTTCACGTCGTGATATGTGCGTGCCGTGTGTGCCCTTTTCTCCTGAACCCCCCCTTCCAACGTGGTTCTTTTTCCACCTCTAACCCGTCCGCATTCCGCCCCCCTCTCCCCCCTCACCTGCACCCACTTCCCCACTCGTTCCAGCACCCCTGCCTCAGCGCTGTCCCGATACACCAGCCGACTAGATGTATCCAAGATGTACAGACGGCCCTCCGAAACCACCTCCCGAAGCAGCGGTGAAGCTGATGGCGGTTGTAGCTGTAACGCTGCTGCTGCTGCTGCTGCCGGCGGCGGCGGCAGCGGTGGCGGCGGCAGTGGCGGTAGCCGGGACCCGTCAGTGGTGCCACTGGCGTCGGCTGCCGCCGCCGCTGCAGCCAGATCCCCCACGAGCAATGGGTTTGGCGGCGGCAGTAGCGGCTGTAGCGGCTGTAGCGGTTGGAGGGGTTGCATGGCTGGCATGGAGCGGGGCTGTGCAGCAGAGATGAGCTGTAGAGGTTGTTTGGGAGGAAAGCCGAGTTGCTGCTGCTGCTGCTGCTGTTGCTGCTGCTGCTGTTGCGGCGGCGGGGGCGGGGGCGGCGATAGCAGGCCACGCGGATGGGCCGATTGGTTGAGCGGTTGTAGTGGCAGTTGGACGGTTGGCGGAGGCTGGGGCTGGAGTGGTTGGAGTGGTTGGGGTGCGGGTTGAACGTAGACGGGATGCAGCTGTTGATATTGGGGCTGAGGGGTCCCCAGGGAAGGCTGATGTGGAGATGGCTGGTACGGCGACGCCGCCGCCTCCACCGCTGCTGCCGGAGGCGGGACCTGCTGATAGGATCTAAGAAGTGCCCCGCGGGAGGGGGTTGATCGTGTTACGGCGGGCATTATCTCCGGCCCGCCCACGTAGGTCGCGGTTGAGGCTGAGGAAGTTTGTTGTTGGCCGGAGTAATTAGGATAAAGTGTTGTAGTTGGGGAGCTTGTAGTCGGGGAAGGAAATGCGGACGAGGTTGTGGCACCGGTGCCGATGCCAGGGCGCGATGTGCCTGAGCCAGCCCCCGGCGGGCGGATGGCCATCGGCTCCAGAAATGCCACAGTAGGCTGATGGGTTTGGGACGATTTCATCTGTAATATTTGGGATGCTGGAGTTTGCGACCAGGGCTGGTAGCCAGCGCCTGTAGGCTCGGGATGTTGGGCCGGCAGCGTTGGCCCACGGGGCGCTTGCCATGCAGGCTCATAGGACCTCATAGACGTCATATTATAATAAAATATTTACATGGTATGCTATTCGCTCCTTATCCGTTTCAACGCTGATGGTAAGCGGGGCTGTTGAACCGCATCGTCGAACCTACATCACACATACACAGCTTACAAGCGGCCTTTTGATACTAAAGTTATTTGAGTCTCAGATGGTGCAGCTCTGTGTTTTGCCCACATGTTGTTCCCTGTGGACGCTGTGCTCGACGGTTGCATCTTGGAGTCAACGGAAAGTCAACGCCGAGCTGGAAAACATGACCGTCATTTGGGACAATCGAGATCTGGTATCGCCATATTGCAACTACAGCAGCAATCCCAATCTTTAACTGTGTATATTTGCGATTACTGGATCGAGACTCTTAGTTTGCTGCGAAACCCTTGCCATAGTACCTTATTATAAGCTATTATATATTAATCGTATACTGGGTGAATGCATTTGTGAAAAATGGAGTCGGTTGTTGAGGCGGCCGCCAGTCCAAGTTATGGAGACTGCGATGCACCAGGCGCACCAGACAGGCTTATGCGGAAAGCCGAGACCGTCCTATGCTCAAGGACAGATCGCATCCTATTGGTCCTGGAGCGCTGCACGGACAACCAAAATTACCTCGCCTGCCTGCGGACTGCGGAAATCCTAGGTAAGCGGGCACCGTCCGCAACAAGAGACTTGTGCAGAGCAGCAGGGCTGAAATCGGAATGTTATTTTTACCCACCTCTCGCGCAATCCTCCCCGCCTGCGGCTAATCCTTCCTCTACATCCCTACCCCCTTACCTCACCCCACCCTTATCTTCCTTCCCCTTACCTCCCACAGGTGTCCAGAATGTCTGGATAGTTCTATCTCCCCGCGGCATGAAGAACGAGGCCCTGATTGCGGCAGAGTCCGCCACCGCCGCTGATGACGGGGGTGGTGGCGGGGGCGGCAACCGGGAGGACAAGGGCTTCGTTGACAAGGGCGAGCTGAGTCGCAAGCGGGGCCGCATCGCCCGGTGCTCCTCCCAGTGGCTGGACATCCGGACATTTGCCACCACCGCCGAGTGCGTGTCGGCGCTGTTGGCGGATGGCCGGGAAATCTGGGCCACGGACCTGGCGCAGGCGAGTGAGTGAATTCGAGTGAGTGAACGCATGACTGGCTTAGGGTGAATGAGTGACTGGTTGGTCCTTGATGTAGAACATACAACATATCTGCCAGTCCAAAGACGTGAGGCTTTGTTGTTTCTTAATTTCTTGATTTCACCCTTCTTCTTCTTCCTATTTAGTGGATGAACTAAAGGGGAACCCCTGCATGGGCCCTGGGTGGGTTACAGGACGCTATCTTACTGCACGGCACGGCGCTGTCTCTGCCCGCTCGTTTGGCGGTGGTGATGGGTCGTGAGGCGGACGGAGTTAGTCGGGAGATGCTGGCTGCGGCGCACAGGTGGGCAGCGAAGGGGTTGGAGCATGGGGGGGGGGAAGGGGGGAGGACGTGGGAGTTGAACCCGGAGGTTGGAGCATGGGGGGGAAAAAGGTACGCAAATAGCATGAACCCCCGGTATGACACGTCGCCAGGCGCCATGGACATTTGCGCCGAATTTGCTCTACAACCCCTCCACCCCACTCTACACCGCATCCACACCGTCTCCTCCGCAACCTGTCCTGCTTGCGCTGCATCTGCTGCCCGGCATCCCTCTCCCCCCTCCCCATATCCTTCTTGTCTGGGTAGGCGAGTTTCATACTCCTTGCGAATTCCCTGTTTGTTGTAAGTTTGTATGCTCTTTCTGTCCTGCTGTGCCTTCCCCCCTCCTGCCCATATACACGCGTGCAGGCGTGTGTGTTTGCCCATGTACGGCTTCAACGACTCCTTCAACCTGTCCGTGGCCACCTCCATGGTGTTGCACCACCTGTTCCTGTGCTGCCCGGAGGCCCGGGGGGACCTCACCGAGGGGAGGAAGAGGGCGCTGAGGACGGAGTGGTGAGATAGTCTGTGCGTGCGTATGTATGTGCCTATGTGTGTGCGTGTGTGTGGATGGAGGGGCCCGGGGGGGGGAGCCTAGAGGGTTTTGGGGCCTCGGGGTGGGCAGGGAATCACAGGAATCAACAGCAGAAGACCCTTCCTTCCCCCAGAACCCCTTGGGTAGTATTACTAGTGCTGTTGTCTTGCTTTGCTTCCCCCGTCGTTCTGTGTGTGTATGTGTGACTGTGTCTCGCAGTGGTATATATACTTATTGCTTCCTTACGGCTGCTACACCCCCCACCACCACCACCAACACCAACACCAACACCACCGCAACCCGTGCACACGGCAGGTACGGTCGTCTAGCTCGCTCTGACGCCCAGCGGTCCGAGTTCCTGTCCCGGGTGGACAGCCCCCCCCCGCCCTTCAGCGATGTGAGGAGACCGGACGCACACCGCGCGTCCTGGGTGCCCCCCAAGATCGCGAGGAAGGAACTGGAACAGGTGGAAGGGGGGGAGTGGGGAGGGCCGGGGGGGGGGCTGAAGGACTGACTATCGGAAGGGGTGGGGCTCTGTGGGATGGGGCCAGGGGGGGGGAACTACGAGGGATATGGGATGCGGGTTGTATAGCCGCTTGCAGGGTGAAAGGAGAAGTGGGCGAGAGGGTGCAGGGAGGGGAGAAGAGGGAGAACGCTCGTGTGGCCCCACTACAGTGTTATGGAGGTTATGGGAGGTTGTGGAGTTACGGAGCTGTAGAGGGGGAGAATGAACGGTTGTATTGTTGCACTACCTCTTGTCGATGGTTCAGTTCATATACAGACACGCGCACACACACACACACACACGCGTGTTTATACCCCTCTCACTCAGTGGCACCCACCACAGCACTTATCCCGCCGTCACCGCTGCCGCTATGCAGGCGGCCAGCTTGGCGGCGCAGCGTCAGGTGCTGCGGGAAGGGGCGGCCTCGGAGGGGGAACAGCTGGAGGAGCAGTAGTAGCAGCGGTATGGCATCATGCGGCGCGGTGGCAGCTTCCCCGGCCCACTGCAACCGCGAGATTCGTTCATCCGCTGCTATTGGCTTGGCTGGGAAGCGGCGTGGGTTATCTATCTATCTGGCTAGGCTGGGATGGCGTTTCTGAGGGCGGCAATCGGGACATTACAGCAGCCCCTGCAGCTGCCTGAAGGACACAGATGCAAAGGGGCCCGGCGTGGCATTTGGCAAGATCCTCCTAAAGATCCGGACCCTCAGACAGCTCTCAGGTTTCGCGATCACCCGACTGTTCACTTATCCAAAGGTCGCAAAGGCCTAAAATTGTATCCTTTGTGACCTTAATGTCTTTTGCTCGCAAGAGTTGCAAGAGTTGTATTCATAGGAGAGGGCTACAGTGGTATAGGGAAGGGTCACGGCATCTGACGGTTAACTCAACTAGGTATCGTACTTGTCGTTAAAAAAATCATGAACTCTGTCACCGGTAAGTAGACAGCCTTAGCACATCGTTGTGGCTGTTACAAGATTAGGAGATAAGACTCAGAAACTAAAAAAATAAAGCAAGAGCCTAGAGATTCCGTGCAATCTGCCGCACGGCATGGCACCGTAAAACCAGTTCGTTCAGAGGGCTGACCGCCATAAAGTTAGTTCTACAACACTGGCCCTCGGATTGCCATTACAACGTGTCCCTCGAGGTTCCCATTTGCGAAGTAGTCATGAGAGAGTAGACCTGGTACCTCCCTGCCCCATCTTGCGTCGAAGCTACATATACATCGACCGCACGTCTATACACGTTGATGTACAACTGTGTCCACACACCCTTCACTTACGTACGACGAAACAACTGTTGACGCCTGTTTATGTACCTGCCTATACAAGGACAGAACATGTCCAGCTGGCGCAAGCACGTCTTCTATTTCCGTACAAAAAAACGCGCATAGCAGGTGTAGCTGTATAATATATTAGCCTTGCTTTCTAGACACAACATCCATTTTTATTATTATTTGCTAGCGACTCATACTTCGTGCATGGGAGCCGGGCAGCAGCGATACACTACTGTGACTACACTGTGGGATTAGAATCGGCGCTAAGCGATTTGCTGCCCAACACAGCAGACTCGATTCCCGTTCCTCACGTCCCATTCAGGGGATCTCCACCGTAGCTCCGCTGGCTATGCTGTCGCAGAGCTCGCCGAGGAACTTCTCCATGAGGGCCTTGAAATCATCGACGCTGCAAGGCCCAGCCCCCGTAAGCATGTACTTGCAGTAGCCACGAGCACTCTGCGCGCGCGCGCCAGCAGCAGCAGGAATACATTATTGACAGCAGCAGTAGCAGCAGCAGCAGGGTGCCAAAACGTGGACGGCAGAAACGCTCAACAGCTTACATTTGTCACGTCACGTATCCAGTTTATTATTAGCGCGATGGAGATGGTCATCAACCGTTCAACTCTGACGATTCAACTCAAACATTGATTTAACTTGCCTTCGCAAGCAAGGGAAAAACTTCCGGAACAATCTGAACTAAAGTCATATCAACAGTCATCCGTAAGTATATCTGTATATCTACACACCCACCAGCCCCTTCCATAGCAAAGCGCTTCTCCGCTACCCTGCTACACGCCAGGACGGACTCGCCCCTACAGATATCGCTAAGAAGAAACTATATCACATAGAGAAGCCCTGCTGTCCACACAGGCCCACCACCCAGTGGTTGGACGCGGTCCCTCCAACCCCGCAAGCCAATACTCGCCTCCGCATAGGCCCGCCCGCCGCTGACGCACTGCTGCTTGGTGGCCGTAAAGCAGTTAACGAACCGCGTCGGGGGGGTCATGTTCGCACCCGACTGCCCGCCAAGGGTCGGTCTGGGGCAGTTGCCATTGGCCCGGGCACATGCGCTCTCCCCCGCTGAGGCAGCTGCGTCGTCCGACCAGGCCAGGCACTGGGACGACGTACCGTCCTGCAGGAGGAGGCGCCTGCTACACGCGCTCGTAGCAATTATCCCCCAAGTCCGCCGCAATCATGCCAATCCACGCACACCCACGGAAACGGGCGTGAACACATCTTCACATGTGAGGTACAGGGAACGGTTATCATCTCAGTGGGCTGAGCGGGAGGTGCCCCGGGGTTCTCGTCTTTGAATGTGCAGATAGCAACTTGGCTGATAGGCAGACCGCCTGTGGCCATTACCAGTTCCCATTCATGCCACTCCTTCGCAAACCGACCCCCATCCACAAATAAATACCCCTTTCTTATAGTCTAATTACCTGGAAGGATCAGCGTTAGTAACACTGCTGCTTTCCAGAACCGATCCGAAAGCCGAAGTGGCCAGCAGCAGCAGCAGCAGCGGGAGACAGAACATGAAAAGTGCCGCGGCAGGATGTAAAACGCGCGGTACTACGCGGCGGCCAGCAGCAGCAACAGTGCGGCGGCGGCGGGGAGTTGATGAGGTCCGAAGAGTACTTGATGAGGGGTGCAGCATGGCTCGCATCTCCGGTCGACAACGTACACAGGTAATGACGTGTTTCGCGCTTCTGTCTGTTTGCGATTTTCCAACGCATGCAGCTTCACCACCGTAAGGAAACTGCGGAGCCGGCAGCTTTTGTTTCCAAACGGCGGTGTACGTCGTCGTGGTCGTTGGATTGGAGGTGGATGGCTCAGCAAGTACGCTGACGGCTGTGCATGCACCACATCTACACCAACGACCGAGGTTGACTTAGACGAACTAAGGCGCACTTTTCAACGGGAAACCGAGGCAGCAGCAGGTGCTCACCTTCGCAGCGAGCCGTTCGTTCAACTACATCGGGCTTCAACATTGGACAAAGACGACTGGGAATCGACTCTTTTCCGCCGGCCATTGAAGCGGCTCTTTCACCACTTAATCGCACAACCGAAAATCAGTTTTCATTACATGTTGCTTACCTAATTGATTGCCCTAGAGCGTTATGCATGGAGCGTGCCTCCACCCGTACGGCAGAAGTGTACGGCAGAAGGTTCCGGTGTCCCATCGCTCGCCCAATGCTGCACGTCCGGGCCATAATTTCCGTGGTGCGTACTGGACTAAGTGCTTTCAGATTGACAATGGACAAGTCCTTAGCCACTGAGTCGTGATTTCTTGTACGATGTGCGTCAGGCCGTGGCTACATGCACGCCTGCCCTACCCTGCCCTACCCTAACCCGTGCTTGCACGTTAAACCTGCCAGAGCCTACCAACCAGAGGACGACCCCCGCGGCCCCCCCCCGCCCCGCCAATCAGCAAGCTGCAGCCGCAAGTACATACATACAGGCAAACCGTTGATTCACAGCCACCACTACTACCACCGTTACCACCACCACAACTCCTCAATCCCTGGTGCTCATTTTAGATAAGAGACAGGGGGAGACACAGAGAGAGAAGTCGGTCCTCGTCCGCCAGAAGATCACGGTCACGGTCTCCTAACAACCTACTCCGAGAGCCCACACCTCGCCCCTCCCCTTCCCCCTTCTCGCCCCTAGCACCCTCAGTCATGACCCTCCCTCCCTCCCCCCCCAACAGCTTTGAACGTCGGGGGGCAGTTGTTCCTGGGACTCGTGCATGCCCCGTGCCCCCCGACGCCTTTCCCCCTCCACCCCATACACATGTACACTCCTGCCGTTAGCTGGCCGACTTATCTGACAGCGTAGTTCACTGACCGACTCTTCCTGATTCTAATGAGCCGGTTCCTCCCTCCTAGCACTCCGAAATAACCGCGACAACTACTTCACCTGAACGAATATAACCGACGCCAAACCACTCCCACCCGATCAACTCACCATCACCATCATCACCATCATCATCGTCAGCACCACCACTACCACCAAAAGCACAAGCACATACAGCAGCAGCTGCAGCAGCAGCAGCTACGAGGCCTCCTGGCCCCCAGCCCGCCCCCCCTCTGGCAGCTAAGGCAGCTCCTCCACCTCCTCCTCCTCCTCCTCCTCCTCCAGTCGCCCCGAAGTGCCCAGCGCGTCGAAAAACTCTTGTACCAGGGCCCGATACGCAAACACCACCCGCAGCTGCGCTTCCGGGCCCGCAGCCTCCCACCGCTCCCTTAGCGCCAACAGCAGTTGACGGGAAGGCAGCCGACCCTTCATACCCTTAGAGAATGCACCGCCGGCGGCGGCGGTGGCCTTTTTTAAGCTGCGGCGGCGCCGCGACGCAGCGGCAGCTGTCGCCGCCGGCGCAGCCGTTATTGCTGGTGTTGCGGCTGCTGCAGAAACAGAAGAAGAGGAAGGGGAGGAGGAGGCTGAGGAAGATGTAGAGGGCTCGCCGTCGTCGTTCTCGCCAGGCGGGGGCGGCGGCGCGTCCTTTGCCCTCCTCGGCAGCCGCTCGAACAGCTGGTTGGCGCCCAGCACCACGAAGGCGATATCCACGGACGTCAGGGCATGCACCTCGCGATGCAGCTTCTCCCATATCTGCATATCACATCAAAAACACACACATCGCGGCTCAGATTGTTTAAACACACGGGAAGAGATGCAGCTTTACAATCCACCCACCCATCCATCCATCCATCCATCCATCCATCCATCCATCCATCCATAAGTCTTCTTCTCACACACACGCAAACAGGAAAAACGCAACCATCAAACTCAGCCGCCGCGAGGCCGCCATTCTGCAAGAGAAAACCCTAAAACCCCATCATCACCTGCGGCATCCAGGCAGGCGGCGGAAGGCGCATGTGGGCCCACGCAAAGACGAAGCGCGCCAGCGCCTCCGGGCTGCAGGTCGGTAGCAGCCGCTTGAAGGCCGCCAGCGCGGCGGTTTTCCAGGTGTGCCAGGGCTGCACCTGCAGCTGCACCAGCGACACCAGGATGGTGGACAGGGCCTGGCCGTCGCATCCGGGCAGCACCCGCAGCGCCAGGGCCAGAAGCTTCGAGGCCTGTGTGTTGTGCCGGCGGGAGGGAACGGGAGCGGCAACGGGAACGGGAAACAAGGGGAAATAGTAAATGGCACACATGAGAACGGACGTGAACGCGAGGCAACTCGTCCTCCGACAAGTTCCCCCCCTGGCCCCACAGCTACAAACCCAAAGCTGAGTAGCTCGCAGGTTCGCAACCATTCCCATACCTTTCCTCCTTCCTTCAATTACTCCTTCCCTCCTACGGCTCCCCCCCGAAAACTCCAACCGTTGTGTGTATGTATGTATGTGTGTGTTAACAAGTGTGTGTGTAAGGAAGGCGGGGGAAATCCTACCTCGGGTTAGTTTCACCAGCGCCGTACGGCATTGTACGTCACCCCATTCCCATCCCAATCAGCTTCCCAGTTCATTGCTTCCTCTTTCACATCTATATTATTTCTATTATCACCTCTCTCCCGCACCTGGTACTCGGAGGGCTTGAAACCCAGCCGCGGCAGCGACAAGAACACGTCCTGGCACTGCTGTCCACTGAGGCGATCACCGTACTGTACGGCCCTGCTCAACGGCACACGAAAAGGTCACGCACAACGATGAAGTTACGCGCAAAGCTACCGACAGTCAGGCGATCACGACGACATCTCTTCATCCCTCCCCCCGATGCAAGAGGCCACAATCCAAGATGGCAGGCAGATGTGGTGAAAGAAGATACAGCAGGAACATCAAGACAGCTACGGGACAGGACAGGAAGGTCTATCTAGGGGCCAGTGGAATGCCACGGTGGGCCGCAGCAGCAACGGAGCCGGTAAGTAAGCGGCAAGAGAAGGGAAGAAAAAGCGCGCTCCATCAGCGCCAAACAAGGGCACACACGTCTCCAGGTGGGGGCATGACGAGGGACGTTAAATACCCGCCTCCCCCCCCCAACTACTCCCGAAGGGGGGACACCCGAGCCAACCCACTGCTGCTAGTGATGGCGCTGCACCCGGGCGACTCTGCTCTCTCTCTCCATGCGGCAGAGATGTGGCAGGCAGGCTACCCCCCCCCACACACACACACCCGTCGGCTCCGAGACCTGACCGAACAATCTTTTCATGGTATGTAGACGTCATAGCCGCGGGTCACTCGCCCCCCCAGCTGCCTCACCTGAACACGGCCTTGCTGACCAGCTGCGACGGCACCGGCGGCATGGAGTTCGGGCACTCCGTGGTCAGGTGGCTCAGCGCCCACAGCGTGTTGGTGACGCCCTGGAACACACAAGAACATACATACTTACGAACATCTCACATACACACATATTGGACCCAGGCGAAAGAGGACAACATGCGAAGAAGGGAAAGAGGAAAGAAGAAAAAGGATGTACTCCCTCTTTCCCCACACAACTCCAACACACACACACAAACACACCCCTACCCCACTATATCCGCTCTTCGTCCCGCAGGCAACCCAACCCAACCCTGTGGACCCCCCCCTACTTCTGAAACACGAACACGAAACTTCCCCCCCCCCTAGACACAACACAACACAACACTTTAGATGAGCCCGTGAAAAAACGCAAAAATGTTACCTGCACATCGGGGTTTTCCTTCTGCTCGGCCAGCACCAGCCGCTGCACCGCCTCCCACACCGGCGGCCAGAAGTCCTTGATGGCGGGGGTGAAGCGCAGCAGCGCCAGGCCCAGCAACACGTTGGAGATCTGCTGGGGACGGTCCGCGCGAGGGAGCTCCTTCAACACCGCGATAGACAGCTGCTCGGAGGCGGGGGGACAGGGGGGGGACAGCGGGGGGTGGAAGGGGCGGAAGGGGTTAGGGGGGAAAGAAGAGAACCACAGATCCGAGCGATGCTGACACCAGAGATAGACGGATACTCCTCACAGGAATATGGGACGGGGATGGGGACGGGGATGGGGATGGGGACGGGACAGAACTGCTTCTTCGGATGCTCGAATGTTTCACAACGTCGCCACCATAGCCAACCACGCACGAATTGAATTTGAAAACCACTGACACTCCCAGTCCGCTCGCCAACTTCGCCAACTTCGCTGACAAAGTCCTAAATGCCCCATTCAATCGCTCGTAATGGCAACGTGTCCATCATGAGATGACATGACGACATCTCAAGGGACGAGATTAGCGTTCGCGGCCTTTGGGCCAATAACGTTTTTTTCTGCCATCGGCGGCGCTCAATGGCACTCGCTCCTGAGATTTTGCATGCGCAACGCTATACCCCCCCATACCCATACTCTCTCCCTTCTCCCCCCCCCCCCGCGTACAAGACCAGTACCAGCGCCCTTCCGTGACCGCCATGTCCACCGAGTGTGTGTGCGGGATATTGGGGTGGATCCGGATCCGGATCTGGATCCGAATCCGGATCAACGATCAACGTACGTAGCCGCAACTGGATCCTGCTCAGCCTTCCACTTCGCCACCTACCACCAGCACCTCATCCAGGAGGTAGGATCTGCCAGATTACAACGGCGGCGTTGGCTCTACTCCTAGTCGGCTTGCATTTTTCTTGGAGGGCCGCATTTCACTGTCGTAGCCGGGAATCGATCCTGGGATACCCGATGTCGCTCCATGAAAAGCAAATCGTCCGCACTGCGTCATGATCCATGCACGTTCACTTGCACGCCACGCCACCCACCCACCGGCCGCCCGCCGGCTCTCCTACACCGCAGCGCACCTGCGTCATGAACAAGCCACGAGGCTGGTAGCCCAGGCGGCCCAGCGCCCACACCACGTTAGAAATGTCCTGCATGTTGAACAGCGAGAGCTTCCTGCCGGCCGCCATCGCCCAGGCATCCAGAAGCGCCTCCGAAACCACGGTGGAAGATAGCCGCCTCTCTGCCTCCGCCGCCGCAGCGGCGGCAGCCGCTGCCGCCGCGAGTGCCTTTTTGCCGCCCCGGATGCGCAATGTCCGCGGCCGCCGCGAACCGGACTCGGGCGGGAACCCCGAAACCGATGCCCCCGCCTCCACCCCGCCCATCTCCTCCTCCTCCTCCTTCGCCGCGCCAACCCCGCCTAAACGTTGCTGCTGCTGCTGTCCCTTTGCGCTCGCCTCACCCTCCGCCGCCGCTGCTGTCGCCTGCCCTGCTTCAACACCACCACCACCACTACTACTGCTGCTGGTACTGCTACTCAAGCTGGACGGACCACTGCCTTCCGCTACCACCGCCTCGGTCTTCAACTTGGCAGCCGCCCAGACCACATTAGCAAGGCCACGCGGCGCCATGTCCATCAACTGCTCCGCCGTCGTAACTGCTTCTAGCGAGCCCACGAACGCCGCAAGTGCCGCCGGGTCAGGGCGCGATACCGCCGCCGCCGTACCCGGCCCCGTAGAGTCTGAGGAGCCCCGGGTCCCCCGTGGTGCGGCTGGGCTTGTACTTGTAGCGGGGGCTGAGACTAACTTGGCTAGACGCGTCCACAGCTGCAGTGCACATACACCGCCGGAAAGGGTCATGTGGATTTTAGGATTTGAATATATTAAATAGTTTAGTGCCGTCGTGCTGAGCTCCACACGGTTACACACGGCATGAACATAAGGCCTTCTTCGCATCGGCACGGATACACGGATGGGAAAGACACGTTATTGATGATGGGGATAAACCCCAACCCCAGGGCTTGGGAACCCCCGTTGACCTGTTAAAGCGGCCTTGCGGACTTGCCGTACTAGTCCGTACCCCGCTCATAAGGGTTATACATATGTAGGGACACACACGCATATGTATTGATCCGCCAGCCAGGAGCATTCCAGCATCATCTGCTACCACTGCTATGAAAACCAAACATCATTATGTGGTTCAGCGATGGAGGGATTCGCGCGACAAGGGACCCCCACCGTTGCTATGTGGATCGCATTGATGTCGTGTCTGCGACCCAGTTCGAAGAGTTGTTCCAGCTCCGCAAACGATGAGGCGTTCGACAGGTATGTGGTGTATTCCCGGGGCTGGAATTCCCGGGAGCTGCGGAAAGCATTGGCCCTGGCGCCCGATTGCCTCCCATCGGTGTCCGAGGAGCCGTTGAACCGCCTGCGTTGTACTGCAAAAGCGGGTACAGCGCCCGCGCTAGTGGTGGCGAGGCCGCTGCTAGCAGCACGTTCGAGCTTAGCTGCATGCTCGCTGGACAGGGACTCGACGTCGGCCATGCATGGAAGAGGGACGGACGCGACGGCGCCTAGCGCCGAATCAGGTGAATTGCTTGACGAAGCTCGTCCTGATGTTGAAGGCTGCTCCGCGGAATGCGAAGGAATCCCTGGTGAGCGCACCAGAGGCGCTGCGACGCTGGCAACATACACTGCATTGCCACCCCGAAAGCGCACAGCCGGCCTCCGGACCTGGCAATTTTCGCCAACGAATTTATTGTCTCAGTCCTATTGTCAACGCATCAATCATGCGATTTAACCTAGGATAAATCAGCGTTCGTGGCCTTCTGACCGAATTTGGGCGGCGGCGCTCATTGATACTTGCTCCTAGGATTTGCATGTGCAATGCTAAGCCGTCCACAGGAGGACATCACAATTCGTAATTGTTTGCAATTGGGTTTGAAGACTAAACAACAAGCTCGTGGCGGCATAGCCACATGCACCGCAACTCAACTTTACTTACATGGGTTAACTGAAATTTCTCCGCATTACACACGCGTCCAAGTATGCCGGGCTTCATTGCTGACAATTGTCGCCAACAGCTATGCTGCACGTGAGACCACAAGTAAGCAAATAAACCTGTGATTGCAAGGGATGACAGCAGCTAAAACTTTAAATAATCTCGATGTGTAATTTGACCGAACACCATTAACTTTCTGCGTGTAGCTCTTGAGTCTGGTTTATTTTGTTTTCAACCTATGCCGTACATGCATCCCGTGCCGGTGCTGCATGTCGCCATACTACAAAACCTACAGTGTATAGCGTCTTAGGACGCTGTGATCACGGGTCAGTATGGGTGCCAGGACGGTTACCCTCAAGAGCGGAGCTGTGATTCGGATTCGCCCATATCGTCCCGATGACCGCGACCAGGTCATTCGGATATTTAGCCAGGGCATGTTGGGCTTAGCGTGGCCCGACGGTGTTGGCCATGTTTTCAACACGACCCGTTTGCTGCGACTCATGGCTTGTGCTGCACCGGCCGCTGCTTTGCTTGTCACCGCCAAGCGTAGTAGCTTCGTTCTCAAGGCCGTTATGAGCCTTGGCGGGGCTGCCTTCGCCCCCTGCCTCGCCTTTGGTATCCTCAAAAAAGCGTTGAAACAATATGTCAGGAAGTCTATAAACGGCCCGGATCTCAGCGACATCGAGACCTTCTACTCAGCAGCAGGTGCTGGTCACGGAAGTGCCTTCTGGGTCGCAGAACTTCTTGAACCAGAGGTCCCGAGCACTGCGCCCCACGGCGACGCGATGTCGGCCCTTCCATCCTTGTCGCTCACTCCAGCCGCTGCCGGCGAGCCAAGACTAGACCAGCGCAGTTCTTCACCAGAGTTTGCTGGAGCCTCTGCAGCGACACTGACGGTGGGGCCCTCCTCATCAGCAGCTGTCGCAGGAGCAGAAAATAAGGATGTGCTCGCGCAGCTAGCAGGATCAATGGCAGCACCCCAGTCCCCAGTGGACATGCTTATAACCCAACCAGTGGCTGGGGACGGCGTTTCAACGGACAGCATTTCTGCCAAAAGCACGAATGGACACAACATTAACACAGCGACTCCGGCGCAACCGGTAGATGCGGATGAGCACCAAGTCCGTGAGCTGGTAGCTGGCCTGGTTGCAGCCGCAGTCGCCAGGATTGAAGGGGTGCAAAGTCCATCACAGTCGCCGTCGCCGTCGCTGCTGTCACCGCGACCCACATCGGAGCGACCGCTCCCTGAACGGCCCCCAGTGTTCCGGATGTCCTCTAGCCTGCAGCGTTACAAAGAAGAAGAAGAAGAAGCACAGATGCGGCAGCAGGATGATGGTGGGTCCAATGGTCCCAGCTCCACGGATTCGGATAGGAAGGCTGCAGCAGCGGGGGCGCCACCGGCTGCTGCGTCGGGGCCTGAAACGCCCGCTGTGGAGTCAAAGCGACTGCGCATTGGTTCGCCCCTGGTGGAGCCAACGGCGAAGCCGTCGCCGCCCATACAGCCCCGCCAGATGCCCACTATGGCGGTGGCTGCGGAAGCGCAGGGGGCGCCTCCTCCTCGACCAGCAGCGGTGGAGCTGCAGCCGCGCAGCAGCAGCGCGCGCCGGGCAACCATCATCGGCCACGTTGCGCTGGAGCGAAAGTCTTGGAAGCTTGCGGAGCTGAGGCGCATGAGTGTGCTGAAGCAGTACGCGGGGCAGGGCGTCGGAGGTCAATTGTTGGAGACCCTGGTGCAGCACGCGCGGGACGTTGGATTTCGGGAGCTTGTGCTATACACGTCTGGCATGCAGCCAGCGGCGCGGCGGTTGTATGAGCGCGGTGGTTGGCAGCTTAGCCAAGTAACCCGAGAGCGAAACTTTGATTTCTACACCTATACTATGGACCTGACCAAGAAGCGCTAAGTGCCTGTGGGTTGGTCGGAGTTGGAGTTGGATTGCATGGTTGCTGAACCGTGATTAGGTCCCACGAAGAAGTACGTAAGTAAAGTTTCGCGAACTGTACGATTGAAGTGTGATAAGTTGATCTCCGAAGATGGGGTCCAAGAGGCATTTAATCCGTGGTTAAATATGCGAGCTTGTGTCTGCTTATGGGAGAAAGAAGAGAGGAATGAATGCTGACGCCCAAATGCAAATTCGTGTTGCGAATGCGGCGGAGCGAGCTGAGCTTAGGTGAGAGGGAAGAGAAGGGACAGGACGGCCGATTTTGCTGTTGACAATTGCCCAACGGTGGTTGGCATGTGCGTGTGCGTGTGTTATACCTTGACTTTGTACTGCGTTGCACAAATATTAATTGAGTTGCGTTGCTGCAATTAAAGTTGGCTACTGTGCGTTGGTGCTTTTCACTTGTTACTTGAGATGTTGTTTCCCCCATGAAGAGCCGGACAGCAGCACCACAGGTTCGCAGGCCGTCCTCAGTCCGCGATCTTCGTTATCCCAAAGCGTGCCAGGCGTGGCGTGGAGGGTTTTTGCTTCCTGAGTGGGTATGCCACCACTTTATTTGCCGGGGATCACCCTTTGGCTGTTACTGCTCAAGATTTGTTGTGCTTTTACTTTCTCCTGTTGTTCTTCCGTACCTGCAGAGTGTCTTTGGATTTTCCTGGATTGGTATTATAGCTACGTCTTTTACGTGTGTGGGTGTGTGGGTGGTTGGCTTTCATGTGCCTGTGCTCCTATCGGGTTCACTGAAATGCACAGACGCTGGCCGGAATTCCTTTTTTCTCCGTGCCTTTAGGAGTAGGAGGTGGAGGATTGTGAGGCATGGTGGACTCCATTTCGTGTGGAGCTGAACAAACGCGTTTATCAGTACGTGGGCAGGAAAATGGTGGCAATCAACGCCTTACTGATACATATAAAGTTCTGTTCAACTGGTGTTGACTTCACTTAAAAATTTTATTTACTTTATTTATGTACGCCTTGTGAAGTAAGGACTCGGCTTCCACCGACGATATTGGTCACCTTCCGACTGCTTTCCGTCCACCATATCTCTAACCCTAATGCAAAACAAGGAACCCTTCTACAAAGCAGATTCCATGTGACGCGTTGCCATGCAGCGAGCCCACACAGCGAACCTGATAACCTGCGCCAAGTTTCGTAACGGAGCCCCTAACAAACGGCGAGCAAAAACCGTTTTGCGATAACGTTACCAAAACGCGTTATCTTTGGCATTAGCAAACGCTGCATCCTGAGGGCACGTTTATAAGTCACACTACAAAGGTGCCACAAAGTTACAAGGCGGGGAAATTAGACAACAATATTGGTTGTATTAAAAATCCATATGCAAAATTAATGATTTCCGCTACCTATGGCTATCCAATTATCAAAGCTCCGCTCGCTTAGTCTGATTATCGGATAGAAGTTAACGAGTTTAACGGAACGTACTTCACCCGGACACACGCACGCACGCTGCAGGCAGTGCAAGGAGTGAGCTTTTAGGTGCAGTCGTATATGAGCTTTTACCTTGCCGAGGCATAACTTGATTAGAGCTGGATTTTAGGACACCAACAAGCTTGGTGCCTACTGAGCTTGCTCCCCGTCGGCTAACCTGAAATATGGAAAGAATTTACCCCTAACAGAAACGCATAAGATTAAATATCACAAAACCTAGGAGGAAGCACACTGGAGTTGTACAGGACTGGGCTTCGCCAAAGCTGCAAGCGGCCCCGTGGAGCTACACTGTTGCAGGCAACGGTAAGCAGCTCATAGATGAAAGTTTAGCTTTCAGTACGCATCTATCCCTTAACAGTTCCACATAACGGGCGTGCGCCATGGGACATCGAAAGCGCACCTCTTGCCAGGTTGGCACAAGAAATACTATTTTCATGTAATAAATGCTTGTCACCATATGTTCGCAAAGCCTTGCACTGACTTTTGAACAGCTCATGTCATTTGGCGTGCTGGGCATGACATTCTGTACGTTGCAATTCCTGTATCGAAACATGTAGGCCTGCATCATCATATGTATTCTCTCTCAAACTCCATCGTTCGAGGGTAGCAGTTAAGGAGGACAGGTTCTTGACCGGGGCAGTCCGGCATTATGGAGCCCGGGGGTGCGGCCCCTCCCCTACGGGGTCCCCCTCGGGCGCGGGCGAGTGATGCAGACGGCGGGATGCTTATGCCGGTAAGCTATTGTGCGCAGGTGGTTGGGCGGGCCGTGCGCGCGGCAGTCCCGGGCCCCTAAAACTTTAGGGAGGGTTAAACATGACGGACGCTGGCACATCTTTTCCAAGTCGAAACCGTCACTGGGAATGATAGCACCCAGCTCTCCGACCGCCTACCAACAAAGTCACGCGCAGCTCTCCTCTATCCTCTCCTTCCCCACCCCCCAACGTGCGATTAAAGCCCCTTGGCTCACATGCAGCACCTAGTCCTACCCTCCGCCAGCACCCCCTTTCCCGTTATGCCACCTATTGTCATTTCTTGGATTTCAGCACTTCTCCTGGATTTGACCTGATTTTTAATCCTTCATTTGATTCCCAACCCCCGTTCGCTCGCTGTGCTCCATGTGACTTGTGTTCCCGACGCGCACTTGCAGCGTGGGCCCGTGAGCGAGGATGTGATGGCGGCGATCAGCGAGCGCGCTACCGCCATTTTCTCCAGCCACAAACACAAGGTCTCCGGCATGCTGGAGCCGCAGCAGGGCCCATATGCTCTCGCGCTTGTGGGCGCGATGCTCGGGCTTAATCAAAAGCAGCTAGGTAAGATTCTGGGCCGGGTGTGGAGGCCGCCCAGCGATCGACTGGTGGCGTTCGCGTTGCGCGGCAACCCAAATCAAGGGAAGCAATCCTACGTTTTTTGCGCATTCGCGTGTACATGCCCATGACAGCGCCCCTTAGCAACGGCAGACGACGGGTGTTTTTGCTTTGCTTTGGGTCTATTGTTAAAGTATTCGCAGCGGGTGGTGGTGGAGGGGGATGCTCGCGTACCGGGTTGTATCTGGTGGGAACACGGGGCAGAAAAAGATCTAGGGAACCCAAACACGGACAAGACGCAAACTCGGATCTGATGTTCAAGAGAAGACGTCTCTCGGGGAAAATGCTGCGCTTCGGGGTGTAACGGCTACAACTTGAAAAAGAAGGCGTAGAGGCTACAGCCCGAAGCTGATTCCACCTACGAGCTATGTAGAGCTGCTGGGGGCCTCTTCCTGGTCACAGCGAGCAGGGTGGTTGCGACTTAGTGCGTAGTGGAAAGGAAGTACGGCGTGGTGCTGGACTGGGTCGTGTCCTGATGGTGGTGGGAATCGAAGAGCGGCGGCTCACCGTTTCCGAACGGCGGAAGTCTTGGTAATAGTGACAGTGACAAAACGCGAGTCAGGTTGCGCCTAAGAAGCCTGGAAAGAGCATGGTGAGCAAAGCCAAAACCGTTGCAGTCGCAGTTGCCACGGCCAAGATGAGCTGCGTTGGAGTATCTGTGGCGGCAGGGAGGGAGGTTCCCTAGGCTGCAACCGTTCCAGCGGCAGCTGGGGCTATCCCCAACCGAGCCGCTGTGCCTAAAGCCCGCCCTGTCTTGTTTCCTGATTTGGTCGCCATCCGCGTTTTGAAACGCAAATCACGACATATTATGGATTTTACTCGTCCCTATTCGTACCGGGTCTATGCGCTAAGGCCCTGCACCTAACAAGTAACAACCTTTTTTCGCCTCCACCCCATGGAATGCACAACGCAGACTCGGAGCTGCAGCTCACAGCTCGAGTGGGCCGCCGTACACTCAGCTACGAGGAATTTATGTCGGCTTGTGAGGCTATGGTGGCTCTTCACGGGGCGCTGGCGCAGCAGCAGATCAAACGGCTGCCTAGTAAGTATGCGGAGATGGTGTGCGTCGGCGTGTGTGCGCGTGCAAAAGGAACCTTGCCTCGAACGGTGCCGGCGCTCCCGGCTTGGGATGCAACCTTGCAAGTCCCTGTATGGGAAAACGCAGCGCAGAGCGTTCTAGAAGGCAGCCTCAACTAACCGCTTCGGCAGTAGCGGTGGCAGCGGCGGCAGCGGTGGATTCACGTTGCCCAAAGGATTCCCCTTGCGCGATTAGGGTTCGCGCGGGTCAGGTTATAACCACAGCGACTCCTTCGTACATACCGCACGGCCCGTATTTCTACTGTCCGAGCGGTTTTTTCACATGCATGGACCTTTTTTTCATGGTATGTCTTTGATTTGTCTGTCCGCTGCCATTTCCCCTGTGGTCCTTGTCTGATTCCGTCGCAACTCCTGCTCCGAAACCGGGGGCACCCCGTGCAGACAATGACATGAGCGGGGCTCTGCGGGCCGCGTTCAGCTTGTACGTGAAACTCAACGTGGGCGGTTTTATGGGCGGAGACCAGCGCATGAACAGCAACCAGTTCACCAAGATGTGCCAAGATGCGGGGATGATGGAGCCCAATGGTGGGTGCAATGTCACGACACGATGAACGCAACCAGGGGCCAGTTAATAAGGTTAAAACGTCAAAAACGGCGTGGAAAGCAGCATGGTGTGCGTTCAACTCGGGGCGAGGGACGTGTTGAGGCGTGGCCATGGAGAGGGCGGGCAGGGCCGGGATGAGGATGGAGGGGCCACGCTGCAGTGGGAGACGTGGGAGAGAAGGGTAGGACCAGGTGACAGGGCAGGTGCGGGGCTGTGCAGGGTGGGATGTGAAGGGCTTAAAGAGCAGCAGAACAGAGCTTACGCACCTCCAGCGTAGGGAGCTTTAGCCGCTGGACGCGGTCCCAAGTCGTCCTGATTCTCTTACCGGTTGCGATGTTCCATTGCCGCGTTGGTTGCGCATTCCTGACTTTTTCTTTTCGACTTCCATTTCTCCTTTTTTTCTGCAGGCCCTGCAAGCATGTCGACGCTGCAAATTAGTTGGGCGTCCTGCAAGGCCACGTTTGGCTCCACTCGCCTGCAATACAACCAGTTCTTGAAGGTGGGCATGTTGAAGGAGATACGTTTGTGTGTTACACCTCGGTCGCGTTACCCAGAGAGGTGTAACAAGTGCCCAAATATGTGCATGATATATTTCTTTTGGAAATAATATTAACGGCTGACCTCTGCAAGGGGAAAAGGGTTTGTGTGCGGGATGCGGTTGGGCGGCGCCGCGGGATGCGGTGGGACCGTGGCCACCGGGACGCGATGGGACGCGTACTCTCCGCCCTTGCACCTCGGCTGGACCCCACCAATACTCCGTAAATGCTGCTTTTCTTCCCTAAACCCTGTCCTGGATGCGGTCAGACTCGCGTATGGCAAAATATGGCAAAAACCTTAACTAGAGTCAAAAATCCTAGGACGTAATCATGCTTTCGCACTTGCGATCGTGAGGAATCGCATGATCCCGAGGAGGCACAGAGTGCGGAGTGCACAGAAAAGGATCATGTGGGAGGCGGAAAGCATTCGATTTGTCGTCCCACGCGTGGCGCGCACGCATATGCTCGTAAGAAGTTAAGGAGGATAATAAAAAAGGAAACTCCGCTGCCTTCCAGGTGATTGGCGCCCTAGCAGCAGAGCTGTCGGGCGACGTCTTCCTGCTGGTGGCGGGTTTGGGACTGCAGCTGCCCACCGTGCCGCCTCTGCGCAACGGCTTCCGGAAGCCCGACGCTGGGGAAGTGAACCTGCCGAAGCCGGAGATGATGCAGGGCGTGGGTGCCCATGTGGCGGCGGAGGAGGCCTACGAAAAATACGTCCAGGAGGGCAGGGTGAGAGCGGAGGACTTTGGAAAGATCCAGTCGCAATGGATATCCTTGGAACGAACATGGCTGCGGAAGTGTGTGAAGGCGCGGTGGCGCTTTTTGGGGGTTGCGAGGAAAAACGGGGCGCCTAGGGGGCCCGGGGAGGGGCAACGGGGACTAGGCGTTTGTGGGCTGCTGCATTGCGGGGCCGTGATACTTTTATGGTTCAGCAGCTCGCTTGGCGGGTGAGCGCATGGTAGCCCTTTCTGTTCTGGATGCGGTCGCCAACGGTCGCCAACGGTCGCCAACTATCGCACGTTCCGCTCCCGCATCGCTGAGCTCCTCGGCACAAACAGTGTCACCACCATCACCACCATCACCACCATCATCGCCACCATCCACCCTGCAATCCTCGCTCCGGTCGGCAGTATCAGTCCCTTTCCATCCGCCCAGCATTGCAGTTTACACCCACCTGCCGCCTGCTAACGGACGCCTTCCTTGTTCCCACCTTTGGCCTGTCTTGCTATCCTTGCCTTCTTTCCTTGGCCTTGTCCTTGGCCCTGGCCTTTGTCTGCTTTGATGGCGCGATGGAATGCGACACACGGCTCCGCGCACGTGCGTACGACATCCCCGCTCCGCACCGCTCCCCGTTCATCACACTATGGCACCCTACCGCTGCATGTGGTGTTGACGTCTGGTCTTCATTATGTATAAACTTGAACTGCCCTTACGGCGCCCCTATTGTTGCGGTGGCTGCGGCCGCTGGTACGCAGATGCCGGAGGGCAAGAGGGGCGACCCTCTGGCTCGGGCAGGTGCATCGCCCATCAAGGCGCGCGCCTCTACTAATGGCGGCGTGCCCAACTGGGTTAAGGCTATGCAGGTAGGGGAAGAGGTAGCCATGAGGGGGTGCGGGGTAGAGGTACGGGTGGTATGTGAATGGGTAAGACAGACACGCACAGGCTCCAACGAGGCTGGGCTGGTCTAGGCTGCTGGGGTTGCTGGGGTCGGTCGCGTCTAATGCGCCCTATAGGATAGAAAGTGACAGATCAGGTGCAGGGAGGAGTCGCGACGGTGCCCGCATTTCATCGCCCGGAAAGCGACCGACGAGAGCTTTGCCGGGTCAGGTGGAAACTGCATGTTGGAAATGTGCGGGGCCCCAGGATGCTACCATTACACTATGTTACGAATGTAATAAGGCCAGGCCACACTTCTGCCAGACGGACGGACGTTATCTGAGCGTTTTACGTTGTTTCACAATTGTTTTCCAGGAATTTCTCCTGGACGTTACGTTTTAGATTCATGGCCTTGAGGTTGAGGCACTCCGTACATACCGTGCGCCACATGGTTTTACTTCTCAGTCTTTGTATTTCATTTCATTGTCCCCTCCCCTCCCCTCCCCGGTAACCTTACACCCTTACACCGCAGGCGGACCAGGGGGGCGCTAACCCCATGACCAGCGGCCAAGACATCCGTGGCATCCCCGTCATTGAGACGCCTGACAGCGACGACGAGAGTCCGCGCAAGCCCCAGCCGCGCAAGAGCGTCAACCCAGGTGCGCCCTGCCTCTCCGTGCTCCGTGCTTTGCCCTGGCTCCCTGTGTTTTGCGTTTTCCGTTCTGGGCGTTCCACGTCGTCATAAACCCCTGTCATTGTGCCCACCTGTCATCGTACCCACCCGAGTAGGTGTGCCTGTCTGTGTGTGTCTGTATGTGTGTGTACGTGTGTGTACGATTGTGTACGTGTATGTACGTGTATGCACGTGTGTGTACGTGTGTGTGTTACACCTTGATTTGCAGGTTAGTTGGATAGCTCTGGCGTATCCCCTACCCGGCACCCGAGCCAACCTGACCCTTCACCTTCTGAATATTTCATCTTTCTCCCATCCCCCCATGAAAATGACCCGTGGGTCGGTCCTTCTCTCTGCCATGCCCTCATGCCCTGCAGTGCCCCCGGACGAGCCAGCCATCGCGCGCGCAAAGGCCTCGCCCATGCGCCCCCGCGGCGGCAAGCTGCCCGCTATGGGTGCCGCCGAGCCGCAATCGCCGTCCATGTCCACGGATTCGGAGCTGCTCATTCGGGCAGCGGAGGGGCCCAGCTACAGCGGCGGTCCCGGCAACCGCGTAGACGTGCTGTCGGCGCCGGTGGCGGTGCGGCCGCGGGGCGAGGCTGTGCGCAACGGCGTCCACATCGAACCGGACAGTCCCGGGCAGCTGGTGCGTAGACGTGGTGGAGCTGGGGTATGCGTGAGGGTGGAATTACGCACAAAATTCCAAGGAAAAAACTGCTGACGTGAGAGGGTAGATTAGGGCCCTTGAGGGTAAGGATGGCGGAGTTAAAGGATGGCGGGCGGGCTATAGCTTGGGCCTGAGTGAGTACCAAAAAATGCGGAACTGTGACCTGTGTATTTTGAAAGTACTCAACGAGTTTACCTTTATTTTATTTTATCTATATTGTGGGTCACATATGGGTCGTGTTAGGGTTACGTGGCCGTGTAGATGCACGTGGGCCGGGAAACGGCCTTGTTGCGTCTTATGTGGCGCCATGTAGAGATGTATGACGATTATTTCCGTCCCTCTCATTTATACAACATCGCACTCCGTTATTTAGTCCTTTTGAAACGGCTTGCACACAGACTCTCAGATCATTAAAACACACCGTTTCTGCCACCCTGCCTAACGTCAACGCTGCTGCCCCTCTGTCGGCCACCGCGACGCAGGAGCCTTCCCTGTTGCCTGCGCCACCGCGCGCGCGCAAGGCCGCGATGCCGCCGGAGGGCTTCAGGGAGGTGGTGGAGCAGCAGGCGGCTGCGGTTAAGGCGCTGGAGAGCCGCGTGGAGGAGCAGAAGCAGCGGGAGCAGGAGTTGTTTGAGCGAGTGCAGCTGCTCACGGAGAAGCTGACGGACGCACAGGCGGCGGCCGCAGTCACTGTGCAGGTACATGAGAGGACAGGGTTAGTGCGTTAGTTGCGTGCTGGTGGGCCGTCTGTACGTGGTTGGGTGCGATGGCTGGTCTGTTGTGTTTTCGAAATTTGGATGGGGATTAGGGATTGGATGGGGGGTCTGGTGTGTTTGGGTATCTAGGCAAGGGAAGTTGGTTGGCTGGGGGTTAAAAAGCGGTTATGCCCCCTACACCCGCCATCTTCTGGTCCTTGGTCCTTCCTGCTTGCGCTTCCACACCTTTTAACAGACCTCTTAACGGCCTAGTGTCATCTCGTCACCTAGCTAGCCCACAGCTTTGTCTCGAGAACGTTCTTCCCTTGCCAACATACACGTTTCTCACTGCGGTTCTCTCGCTTACCCTTCCTATACAGTAAAAGCCGAAGGCTTTTACTAATCTTTGCCCCTTCCTAATCTTCTCCCCTCCGCGACTGTTCCGAATGCTTTTGTCTGCAGTCCGGCTGTCCCGGCGCGCAGCTGCCGGACGTGCCGCAGGGCAAGGGCCGCACCGTGGTTTCGGGGCGGTGTCCGCTGACGGATCAGGTACAGCGGCTTACGGAGCAGATGGCGGAGGTCTTGGCGAGGCTGAGCGCGCTGGAGAGCATCCGCATGCAGCCCAAGGCGCCGGTGAGTGCGAGTTGAGGCATCCCAGATACCCCTGAGTTTTCTCCTTGAAAGACACCGACGGGTGTTTGTTTGCCGAAGACGTTTTAGGGGACCGAGGGCGACATGGGTGACACACTGGGCCCCCCTACTAGAGGTTGGAATCAAAGGACAAGCCCCTTCCCAACCTTTTATACTTTGTGCACGCTTACAGACGTCTGCATGTGTGCAAGCCCGGCTTGAGTGAATTGTTTCCCGCATGTATCACTTTTTCCGTCACCCTGCATACGCGATTTCCTACACGTCCTGCCTGTTACACACACGCACGATAGCAAACGCGGCTTAGTTGATTGGTTTACACGCACACGTGTGTTTATGAGTACATGTAAATGTGCATGTATGTGTGTATGTATGTGTGATGTGCAGAGTGAGCCGCCCCCGAAGCAACGCAACCCCGTGGGGACGCGCACGCCCGAGTTCCCGGACGACCCGCCCGTGACCGCCGTGGCCCCCACTTCGCCCTCATGGGGCCCGCCGGGGCGCCATGCTGCGGCGCGGGTTACGGAGCCGGATGGCCCACGGGTCATTTCCCCGCTAGAGCCGGTCAACGCAACCCAGGGTGAATGGATGAGCCGGCTGCTGCTTAATTTGGACAAGCGCGTGCGAGTGCTGGAGGGCGCAGCTGGCAAGGGGGATGCGGACGCGGACGGCGAGGCGCTTGGTGCGTACTGCGCCGGGGGCTTGATGACGTCAGGAGTGGGGGGGAGGAGGGGCTACTACAGGGAAGGGTGTGGCGGGAGGGAAAAGGGGAGAAGGGCCCGGGATAAATGACAAGGTGTGGATGTGGGTTGGGAAGTGGGAAAACCGGGCGTTTGGGGCGATGGGTGCCGATGGGTGATGTGCGCGTAGCTTAGCTATATGACGACGGAAAGCGGAGCTCTTTTGGTTACCTGGCCGTGTTTGAACCTCCGTTGCCGTTGCTGCCGTTGCCGGCGCTGCCGGTTGGCCTGGTTGGCCTGGTTGGCCTGGTTGGCCTTGCCTTCCTCTTGTGCTGCAGCGGAGGTGCTGAAACAGCTTCGTGGCATGCACACCGCGCCGTCGCCTGCGCCGCCGGCCCCGCCGCCCCCGGGTTCCTCCGCGGCGTCGCCACCGGAGACGGCCTTCCTGAAAGTTGACCCCAATAAGCGCAAGATGGAGAAGGTTGGCGATGCTGGCGATGCGACACCAGGTGCGCCGCCGTCGACACCGCGCTTGCAAGCTGCGAACCCCCGATGCATCATTCCCTACACCACCCGTGCCGTGCCGTGGCGCAAGCGTATCGCTTGATCGCGCAAGCTGTCCGGTTTCTTATATGGGGTATGCCTTCGTGTGGATGCTTTTGCCTGGAAATCTCCCCCCTGGAAATCTCGTAATGGGCTGCGCTTTTCCTCCCTCTGGTTTTATCCTGCATGCGCTCCTTCCCTCTCGCGCTCCTTCACTCCTTCACGCCCTCTCTCGCTTCGCCACGTTCCACACTCCGATTGTTGCTCTCTCTCTCTCTGTCTCTCAGCGCTGGTGCCCACCGGCGATCCCGAGCTGGACCGCCGGCTGGCCGCTCTGGCCAACGAGATGCGCAGCAAGAACGCCACGGTGGGGTTGCTGCTGGACATGCTCAACCAGACCCGAGGGGAGGTGCGTGTGTTGCTGAGTTTGCGGCCTTACGGGCACATAATTGCTGCGGCCTTATGGGCATATAAATGCTTTGTGGCCTTACGGGCATAGAATTGCTGCTGCTCTTGGCCGTTAATAGTTGAAAGTCGGAAGGATAACGATCATTGGTTTTTGGATTTTATGGGGATTTTTTTACCTTCCCATGACGGCAATCGGCTTCGGGGCCATCAGCGCCGTCGTCAGTTTTATTGGCTTCGGGGCCGTCGTTGGCATCTTGTCATGGCGTCACCATCGTGGCATGGGTTCTGGGGCTTACAACCAACCGAAGGAAGCTGTCCCGCTGCGTGGCATGCGTGCGTGTGATACCGGTATGTCGTTGCGCAGGTGGCTGCGCTAGCGGCGCAACTGAATGCGCGCGGCAACAGTGACAGCGGGCCGGTTGTGGTTGGCCAGCGCGGCGCCGCACCAGCCGTTGGCACAGGCCAGCGCAATGCCATTCGCGTCGTAGACGGCGGTCTTGTGCCCCCGGATGCGGGACCGGGTCTGTCGCCGCCGATGCGCCGCGGCGAGCCGGCGCCGTCAGGTGTCGTACCTCTGGAGCCTCACCTGGAGAACCTCGCCGCCGAGCAGCACGGGCTCAAGCGCGCCGTACGGGAGCTCTGCGCTGCCATCGGTGTGCCGCCGCCGCCCGCTCTTGCTGCAGCGGAACCGTCGCCGTTGCCGTCGCCGCCAGCGGCGTCGCCGACGCGTGTTGAGCCTACGGCTAACGAGCCTTGGGGCCAGCCGGGCCGCAAGACGATCAAAGAGGAGACGCAGGAAGTAAAACGGTGCGTGGAGGGCGTGCAGGCCGATGTTGGGGAGCTACGGAAGCAGGTGGAGCAGATGCGTGCGGGGTACGGCGAGTGGCCGCAGCCGCTGCGTGCGGAAGCTGCCGGCGGTCCGGCGGCGGCGGCTATGATGGTGATGCCCGGTGCGGCGCCCGTGCAGGCGGTGACGCAGGGTCAGGGCCGGAATGCAGTGCAGGTATGGCTTGTGGTATGGGCAAGGGAGGCACGAAAGCTTTGGGGTGATTGAGCTGAGCTGGCAGCAGTTGGGCCGGGAAGACGGGGCAATCAACCAAGATTGTGGGGGGCACGGTGTGTTCGTCGAGGCACTTGCTGGCAGCAGCACCCTCTGTCTGTTTGTCTAGCTGCAAGATGCGCGCATGCGCTTTTCCGTCTCTGTTCTTTTATCACGGTCGTCTTCGTTTTTTCGCCTGTTTCGCGTAATCGTTTCAGCCTCCGTCGTTGCTTTTTGCGCAGGTGACTGTGGGCGCGCCCAACCTGGCCGCGGATACGGCCGGCTTTGCTCCGGGTCGCCGTCCACAGCAGCCAGCCGGCGAGCTGTCGATTGCGGCTCTGCCAGACGCGGAGGTTCGCAACCTGAAGGATGAGCTGCGCCGTGTCCAGGCCTTTGTGGGTATGCCGGCGGCGGCGGCGGCGGCCTCCTCGGCGCCGGCGGCAGTGGTGGCGGTGGCGCCGGCGGCAGCAGCGGCGGCAGCAGCGGCAGCTGAGGAGAGCAAGTGGGCTGATACGGGGCGAGGGCCGCAGCCGCTGAAGGATGCGATGGTAGCGGTTGCGTCGGATGTGGATGCGCTGCGAAAGCATGTCAAGGCGGTCAGTGTGCGGGGGTGTGCCGGGGAGCGGGGGGCCGTGGTGCAGAGGGGTGGTTACAGTGACGTGGAGACAATTCCGCTGCCACGCCAACTTTCTTGTTCACGTTTAAGAACTTATCCTGGTCCGTAGCTAGTTATCGTTATTGGTTAGTTGGTTGGTTTGTTCTCTTTTGCCGTTTTGGGTTCGTTCTTGGACCCCGGCCATATTATGAAAAGGCACCCTCGGGCGCTCAACCTTGCCATCTCCCTTCAATTCGATTTTGAACACTTACAGATCGACGCGGCGCTTCGGACAAACATTGGCAACACCAACAACCTAACTAACTTCATCAACGAACACGCTCCGGTGAGGCAAACCAAAAAAGAGGGTGGTTGTTGTTAGGAGAGGAAATGAAAACCGCCGCGGGGTGGGCAGGCGGGCTGGCGGACAGGGCTGCAGGAAGGAAGGATTTTCACTCCTCCCGGTTGGCCTTGTTTTGCAACTGAACAGCTCTCCTCCAGGGTCACATCTAGGTGGCCGTAAACTTACCTGGTTTTGACCTGACCATCCTTCTGACCGATAGCTCCATCGTCGCCATCTACCCCGCTTCCCCGTCATCGTCCTTTCCACAGGCCCTGCAGGCCGTGCAGCCGTCCAAGGACGGCCCCACTTCAGTCGGCGGCCGCAACCCCATCACCGTCACCGCGGGCCAGCTACAGCAGCCCCAGGGCGCGCTACAGCCGCCGGCCAAGCACGGCCAGCTCCCGCTGCAGACTGAAGGTTTGTGTGTGTGTGTGTGTGTTGTGTAATGGTGGTGATGACCGCACACTTGATTAGCCAAGTGTCTTTGTCATTTCATGGTATTTTTACTTCCGTCGTTTTGTAATCGCTGGGCACCGGTCCTTACCACGATTTTTATGTCCTTGCGTCCAGGGACATTTGATGCGGGCGGACTGGACCCCGTTGAGTATCAGAAGCTCCGAGACCAAGTCCGTACCATGGCACACTTCTTGGGAGGGCCCCTGGAGCCAACGGCAGCGTCGCCGCCGCCGGCGGCACCGCCTCCGCCAGGAACCTCCGCCGTGCTGTCAGCGGAACCGGATCGGGTGGGCATGCAGGCGCCGTGGGGCGCGCCTGGCCGCGGCGGCGGCGGACGCTTCGGCAACGGCGGCACAGTCGTGGATGGTCTGAGCCAGGTCGGCAATGATGTGGAGACGCTCAAGAAGCAGGTAGCGCAGATGGGCCAGGCGATGAAGGCGGCGGGCGTGATGAATCCGGCAGTGGAGGCGGCAGCGGTGGCGGCGGCGGTGGGCGGCGGAGCTGAGGTGTGTCTGCATGCAGGGTACTCGCGTGTGCCCGTTCTGGCTATCGTAAGAACGCTCCCAGCTCGCTTTTTTCCCGCCACCTGGCGGGGAAAATATGCCCGCCTCCTTGCCTTCTTTTTCACGTTTCACTGCGATTTCTTTAACAGCTGGCAAGGAGAGTGATATCCAATTTTCCACTTTTTCAACCCCCCATGTGCTGCCTGTTCTTGCCTGGGTCTAGATCTACGTTTGTTGTGTGTGTGTGTGGTTACTCCGTCAACAAAGCTGCTGGTCCTGCTCCTTACCACGTGCCTCGGACCTCAGGCTGCCAACGTGGCGGTTCGGCAGCGCAACCCCATCAACGTCACGGCGGGTGGTGCAGGCGCCGACGGCACCGCGGGCTTTGCAGCCCCTCCGCAAAAGATCCAGCCTGGTCAGGAGGGTAAGTTTGCGTGCAGGCTGGGCTGACGGTGGCGCTGTTGGAAGCGGGAATTCTAGGGCAGCGTAATGGAGAATGCAAGACGGATTCTGTATGATGCTGCCAGTCTGTGAGTGCAATGATGCAGGATTGGAAAGGACGATGTGACGAGTTTTTGTGTTTAATCTTAGCGGCTTTGGTTTAATTCCTGTCTCATGTCGTCTCTTGAGGAATTGTTGTGTTTTCGGCGTATTGAGTAATCAGCGCGTACGACAAGCTAGCAAGGGCGAATTTTTGTGTGTGGGTGTGTGTGGGTGTTAATGATGCGGCACATATTAATTGTTGTGTGTGCGGCACCCGCGGATTCCCTCAACCTGTTTGTTTTTCCTTCGAGCGCTCGTGTTGTTGTTTTTTCCAGTTGTGAGATCGCGGCTAACCCCTGATGATGACGATGCACGCTCCTTTCCGCACAAATCCGCCAAATGGCATGTGAGCAGGGATGCCTGCCGCGCTGGAGGCCGATGTGGGCCGTCTGAAGGACGAGGTCCGAACCATGAAGCACTTCCTGGGGATGGCGATGCCTGATGGCAGCGGCGGCGTAGCCGCCGCCGCTGGCCCCACCGGCCGCGGAGGCGCAGCCGAGGGCGGAAAGGCCGGGCAAGGAGCTTCGGAGCTATGGGGCCGTGCGGGCCACACTTCACGCGACGTGGACGTAGACCCGGTGAGCCCTTTTAAGTCATTGGCTGGGTGCTTTGGTGAGTATGGCCAGCGGGGGTATGGCCCCGGAGCAGAATATGCCAGCGGGGGTATGGCCCCGGAGCGTGTTGGAGGATGGGGCCTGTCACTAGACAAACATGTTGTTACGTGTTGTCGGGCCGGTTATATGCCTGTTGTCGGGGCCAAAAAGGCTCGCCCGCCTGTCTCGTCCCATGGTGCCCATCTGGATCCATGCCGCCCCGGAGGCGCCCGGGATTTGCATGCATGCATGTTTGACTAGTAGTTGTGGAACCCGGACCAATATCGAACCCGGTTGAGCGCAGGTGAAGCGGGCAGGCGGTTACGCCAACGTGGGGGAGATGGCGCGCGATCTGGACGCTGTCAAGCGGCGGCAGGGCGAGCTGGAGGAGGCCATGCGTGCGGCCAACATTCCGTTACCGGCCGCTGCGGAGCAGGTGAGGTCGGTCCAAGATCTAAGAGCTGTCGAGACACACTGTAGACACGTGTGCTGAGGCGTCGTGAATCCTGTTGGGGTTGGGTTGGCGGTTAGTTACTTTGTTTTTTAACATGACCCTCTGCATGGAATTAATTTTAAGATGACCGTCTGAACCCTGTGTCCTTTGGTTGTCCGCAGGGCGGTCCGGCAGTGCGCGTCGTGGCCGCGGGTGCCCCGCCGCAGCGCAACCCTATCATGGTGTCGCCAGGTCTTGTGGAGCGTCCCGACGCCGTCGGGCTCCGGGCGCCAAAGCGGCCGCTGCAGCCGCTACATGCGATCGAAGGTGCGTGCTCTTCTGGCGCTTTGCAGCAGAGCATGTGCTGCTGCGCTCTGCGCGCTTTTTTGCAGTAAAAATCGCAAGCTTCTTTTTTTTTGCCGTGTAGACTTCAGAACCTGAGCTTCCAGCGCAGCTGCGAATGTTACAATGAACCCTTGCTTTTGTAAGCACACCGTTAAATGTGGTGTTGCACGTCAATATGCTCACGCGCGCTCGTATATGCCCAAGTGCTGGTGTTGGTGTTGGTCCTGGTGTTGGTCTTGATGCATGGCGTCTTGGTTTCTTTCCTCCCGGTGCGCCAGGTGTTCCTGAGCCTGTTTTGGACCACCTGGGCGCCATGCAAGATGACCTGCGCAGAGTGACGGCTTTCCTGGGGATGCGCTCCGTGTCCACTGACCCCGCCGCGCCACCACCGCCGCAAGCCGAGCCGGTGGCGAAGTCGCCGGTGGCAGCGGCGACGCCGCCTGGGCCGCAGCAGCCGTGGGGCACGCCGCCCGGGCCGCGCGGGGACGATAAGGAAGGGCCGAAGGTCGACAGGCTGAGTAAGTGTGTTGTATCGATGGGCCATGTTGCATACGGGGGCATGGGTCTTGCTCGCCTTGCCGTGGCTGCTACGGTCCTTGCGCTGTCCTTCACTGGCAGCGTCTGGTGTCGCATTGGGCAAGGGCAGGGGCCTGTGCTCCTCCCCGTTTGTGTCCATACGCCCTGCATGACGCTCATGTTGAGGCGCTCTCTCTCTCTGCTGCTCTCGTTCATGTAGGCGATCTGGTCCGTGAGGTGCAAGACAACAAGCAGCGACAGGAGGGCGTCGAGCGAGTGCTGATGGCAATGGGGGCGCAGATCCCGTGGGCGACTGACTACCCGGCAGCGCCCGGTGCGCAGCCTGTGGCGGTTTCACATCAGGAACCGTCAGGCCAGCAGCAGCGGCAGCGCAATCCCATTGCGGTGACGGCGGGCGGTCTGCAGGAGGGCGGAGCCACGGGCTTTGCGGCACCGGCGCGCAGGCCAGGCGCGGCTGTTGAAGGTGAGGGGGGTTGACGCGGCACGTAAGTATTGCAGGCGCGGGCAGCGCAAGCGGGTGTCGGCGTCGGCAGGGTTTAGGCACACACACACACATTTTGGACCCGTCCGAGAAACCCTACCGCCGCTTTACGTACCAACGCATATGGTTCCCTGTGGATTTGCCTATTTGACTATGATAAACAAACATATATATGTACATATGTATATATGTATGTATGCCTTAATGATGTCCTACTTGCCCTGATAATGATATATCCCTTGGACGCCCGATGAATTGTATGTAGGTATGCCCGAAGCATTATCACCCGTCGTCACACAGCTAGCGGACGATGTCAGGCGCGTGCAGGCCTTCCTGGGCATGAGCCCCGCCGGTGTGGTGCCGGTGGCTGCTGCAGCCCCCGAGGTCGCCAAGGCCGTGGCAGTGGCGCCGGCGGAGGGCCGCAACACGGGTGTGGAGCCGTGGGGCGCACCGGGCAGGGAGCCAAGACAACTAGGACAGGAAGTCAAGAACCTGGGTGAGTTGCGGTCGGCGGGTCAGCGGCCAGCGGGAGGTCGTTGGGGAACATGCAGGGGGTCATTTGAAAGGGCTCGTCTGCCGTCTTTGTTGCCGTGTTAGCCGAGTCTTTCTTGGCCTTCAATGTTATTTGCGCAACCTGCGAACTGCTCTGTGATGAACCTACCCTCTGATGCGTTGGACAACCATCTGGTTTTACCTCTTGTACATCAAGACGCGATTTGTGGTAACGGTAACAAAGCGCATTCCTCTTCCTCATTCCCTCGCCTGTCCCTCTCCTGTCCCTCTTCTCCCTCTCCCCTTCTTCTGCCTCTCCCTCTCTCTCTCCCTCACTGTCTGGCATGTGTGCAGGTGAGGTGGTTCGTGACGTGGATCACAACAACCGGCGCATGGCGCAGCTCGAGGAAGCGCTTCGGGCTGCGGGAATACCCATACCGCCGCCGCAACAAGCTACCGCCGTAGCGGTGGCCCCAGCCCAGGAACCGGCCGGCCAGCAGCAGCGGCAGCGCAATCCCATTGCGGTGACGGCGGGCGGTCTGCAGGACGGCGGAGCCACGGGTTTTGCGGCGCCTGGGCGGAAGTTGCTGCCGTCGCTTGAAGGTACGGTACGCCGCCGCATCACTGGTTAATCTATCAATTGCTTGGTTGGGTGTTGCATGGCTGTTGCTTGGTTGGGTGTTGCATGGCTGTTGCTTGGTTGGGTGTTGCATGGCTGTTGCTTGGTTGGGTGTTGCATGGCTGTTGCTTGGTTGGGTGTTGCATGGCTGCTGCTTGGTTGGGTGTTGCATGGCTGCTGCTTGGTTGGGTGTTGCATGGCTGTTGCTTGGTTGGGTGTTGCATGGCTGTTGCTTGGTTGGGTGTTGCATGGCTGTTGCTTGGTTGGGTGTTGCATGGCTGCTGCTTGGTTGGGTGTTGCATGGCTGTTGCTTGGTTGGGTGTTGCATGGCTGCTGCTTGGTTGGGTGTTGCATGGCTGTTGCTTGGTTGGTTGTTGCATGGCTGTTGCTTGGTTGGTTGCTGCATGGCTGTTGCTTGGTTGGTTGTTGCTGGCTGTTGCTTGGTTGGGTGTTGCATGGCTTGCGAGTAGCAGGATGGATGGGATCCTGTATCTCCATGACGCCGATAGGGAGTGACGCCGGCTACCGGTGATGCTGGTCCCGGTTGAACATGCGGGGTCGCACCTTTCTCCGTCATATATCCAGCCTGGGGTGTGACTGCGGAGGTAGCGCTCTCCGCCGCACCGCGGTTACCTCCTGACTGTACGTATCTTACCCTGCACCATCATAAGTATTCGTGAGTTTCCCAAGCAGGAAACACCCAAACCGGGAGTTCCCTTCCAGAGGCCCTTAGCTGTCTTCCTTTCTTACACTTTAAACGTGTTGCACTTTCAAAACGTCACCTCCAAAACAAGAGGTGACTTTCCACACCGAGCCTGGTTTCTGTAGGACTATTGCATCTGGTCGAGCCCTATTTGGTGCACAAGGTGCACAAGGATAACGTAGCCTTTACAAGCCTACGGGCCCCCGTCCTCTGGAGTTGTGACGGTGTGCCATTTTGGTTCTCGTTCTCGCTCATCTCTCTTCTCGCCCTCGCTCGCGAGTCCCTCGATGCCAAGGGGGAAAGGAGAAAGCTCAACTCCTTCACTATCATGGACCCCCCCCCCCCCAACAGGCCTCCCCGAGCCTGCGCAACTGGAGCTCGCCCGCATGGCGGATGACCTGAAGCGCGTGCAGGCCTTCCTGGGCATGAGCCCCGCCGGTGTGGTGCCGGTGGCTGCTGCAGCCCCCGAGGTCGCCAAGGCCGTGGCGGTGGCGCCGGCGGAGGGCCGCAACACGGGTGTGGAGCCGTGGGGCGCACCGGGCAGGGAGCCAAGACAACCAGGACAGGAAGTCAAGAACCTGGGTGAGTTGCGGTCGGCGGGTGCCGCCATAATAAAAAGGGTTGACACAATTGGGGCTTGATGTGCTCAAGGCCCTATCCTCCAAGGATCATGCCGGCACGTCCGGAGATGGAGTTACCGCAACTACGGAATTTTGCACATGGCTCGTGGAGTAAGTTCATTTTGATGGCCTGAGATGTGAAAAGGGGATGTTTCGCCGCGACCCAGCTTCGTTTCTCATGCGGTCTCCTGTTGTTGCTGCTAGCTACCCTGATCTCCCTGGGCAGCCGCTCTGGACTCTTTCATTCCCTTTTCCCTCTGATTCCCTCTGATTCCTTTTGTCTATCCTTTCCCATTTCCTTGCTGCCATGTAAATGTAAGCAATGTGTGCCGCCCATCCGCCTCCTGGCTCGTCTCGGCCTTACAAACTCAACCTTTGCCACATGAAACCAAGTCACCCTCTCCATCTCATTAACCCCACACGTGCAGGTGAGGTGGTTCGTGACGTGGATCACAACAACCGGCGCATGGCGCAGCTCGAGGAAGCGCTTCGGGCTGCGGGAATACCCATACCGCCGCCGCAACAAGCTACCGCCGTAGCGGTGGCCTCAGGCCAGGAACCGGCCGGCCAGCAGCAACGACAGCGCAATCCCATTGCGGTGACGGCGGGCGGTCTGCAGGACGGCGGAGCCACGGGCTTTGCGCCTGGGCGCAAGATGATGGCCTTAGAAGGTGGGTGGCAGGGAAAACAAACACTGGAAGTGGGAAAGTGCAGGGAGTTGAGGGCGAAAGGGTGCTTTGTGCACCAGCCCAGATGGGTTCGCACGGCCCGAGGGATACGTTGTTTGAATAGTGATGCGTTTAAGGGCAGCCAAGGGGCCTATGGTGAGGCAGGACGCAAGCACACCTTCAGGGCGACACCGGCCCTTCTTCTGCCGCAACTGAAGGCCTTGTGGTAGGTGCGTTTGGAAAACCCGTGTCTGCATGCAATCTGGCTCTTCCCTTTTGAAAAGGCCTCCTGGATTGCCCGGCCCCTTCCCTAGGACTTGAGCTTTGGAACCATGGCCGTCTGGGTCCGGTAACGGGTTGTCCCTCTTGCACCTCACAGTATGTGCCCTTTCCTTCAGCATACGCGCGAGCTAACGCTTCTCTGTGCACCTGCCTGATGACAGGCCTTCCGGAGCCGACCAAGGCAGAGCTCGCCCGCATGGCGGATGACCTGAAGCGCGTGCAGGCCTTCCTGGGCATGAGCCCCGCCGGTGTGGTGCCGGTGGCTGCTGCAGCCCCCGAGGTCGCCAAGGCCGTGGCGGTGGCGCCGGCGGAGGGCCGCAACACGGGTGTGGAGCCGTGGGGCGCACCGGGCAGGGAGCCAAGACAACCAGGACAGGAAGTCAAGAACCTGGGTGAGTTAACGGTCGGGGGGTCAGCGGTCAGGAAAACACAGAGAGGAGGGGGCGCTGGGGGCGTGAGAGGCTCAATCCTGACCTGTGCCTATTCGATATGTTTTTGCCGCTCCGCGAGGCGGCATTGCCGAATTGGCGTAAGGCTAATGGCGCAGGTCACTTTTTGCGGTCAGAGCTGTGCGTGGGGGAGGAGGACGCGGTGACTCAATTCGGCTCTGCTCCTACTATTGCTGCCTCCCTGGACAGCCAACCCTTTAGCATCTCTTCAGATCATCCCCTTTCTCCCTCTTCCTCACTGTCTGGCATGTGTGCAGGTGAGGTGGTTCGTGACGTGGATCACAACAACCGGCGCATGGCGCAGCTCGAGGAAGCGCTTCGGGCTGCGGGAATACCCATACCGCCGCCGCAACAAGCTACCGCCGTAGCGGTGGCCCCAGGCCAGGAACCGGCCGGCCAGCAGCAGCGGCAGCGCAATCCCATTGCGGTGACGGCGGGCGGTCTGCAGGACGGCGGAGCCACGGGTTTTGCGGCGCCTGGGCGGAAGATGATGGCCTTAGAAGGTGGGTGGCAGGGAAAACAAACACTGGAAGTGGGAAAGTGCAGGGAGTTGAGAAGAGGGTTTTGGTGGGTGCTTAACGAAGGGTGTGGTCTCCACGTCCATGAGGCTCGCTTCATCTTGGGGGTCAAGGTGGTCTTGGGCGTTGTGTTCCAAGCGCCATGGGCCGGAATAATCTGCGCGCTTTCAGGCCGCTGCGCCAGAGGCCTGAGGCCAAAGGAATCTCTGCACTCAAAGCTGCGACCTGATACTGCACCTGGTCCTGGTTGATATGACTTCATGGTTATGTATCCGTTAATGGCATCCCCGCGTCCATTACGTGTTTACCAGAACCTTGTTTTCTTGACGTAGTTCTTGCTGCATACGGCGCAAAGTAGTAGTTTTACCACTACCGACAATTTTAGTTTTAGGGTGACCTGATTGTGGGTTCCCCGGGTTCCTGGACTTCCGTCCTCGCATCGTCTTGCCCAACAGGCCTTCCGGAGCCGACCCAGGCAGAGCTCGCCCGCATGGCGGATGACCTGAAGCGCGTGCAGGCCTTCCTGGGCATGAGCCCCGCGGGTGTGGTGCCGGTGGCTGCTGCAGCCCCTGAGGTCGCCAAGGCCGTGGCGGTGGCGCCGGCGGAGGGCCGCAGCACCGGTGTGGAGCCGTGGGGCGCACCGGGCAGGGAGCCAAGACAACCAGGACAGGAAGTCAAGAACCTGGGTGAGTTGCGGTTTGCTATGGACCGGCTATAGAGCTAAGCATTGATGCTTAGGAGAGCCGTACTCAGTCAGGACAAGTGGGGCATCTGCAGGACGTAGTCTCACTCAATAATGCTGTCAGTCAGCCCACCTCGGAAGGCGAAGGATTCTGATTAGGTGCCTTGGCCTAAATAGGTATGCGTCTGAGGACCCTTCTGTCAATCGCACGTCCCTAGGCTGCCCTAATTCGTTGCGCCTGCCATTCCATAGCCTGGTCTTGCTCGGCATGTATGTTGTCCGTTGGCTTCGGAGACATGTAATTACAGGCGACTGGGCGGCTATATGCAGGTAAGGGCGATAGTCGCAGACCTCCCAAAATGCACGCTTCTGCTGCCGGCGTCACCTCGCGAAGTCACAAAAGGCCCCATTGGTGTCAACCGCAACACAGAAATTCTGTTGCGATTTTGCTATGGCTGCTGCTGCTGCTGCTGCTGTTTCAGCTGCTGTTTCAGTCATCGTGATACGTTTTGCCATGGCGGGCGTGCAGGTCGTGGCCCAGGGGGGGAGCCGTTAACCTTAACCCTGCTCCCAAGGCGCTCCCTGCCCACCATACCTCAGGAACTTTCCAGCTGTGCACGCGGTATCGCACGCAAACCCCTACACCTCCCTGCCATCCGTCCTTTCTCCCTTCTTCCTCAACCCATGCAGGTGAGGTGGTTCGTGACGTGGATCACAACAACCGGCGCATGGCGCAGCTCGAGGAAGCGCTTCGGGCTGCGGGAATACCCATACCGCCGCCGCAACAAGCTACCGCCGTAGCGGTGGCCCCAGGCCAGGAACCGGCCGGCCAGCGGCAACGCAACGCCGTCAGCGTTTGGCCTGGACTGGGCTCTGAAGGCGCCGCGGGCATGGCGCCGCCGCGCAAGCTGGCCGCCATGGAAGGTGCGCAGCGTTCATGTGGCTACGGTTATGGAGGCACTGTGCTGTGTTGTGCTGTGCTGTGCGCGCGTGTGTGTGGCGTGTATATGTGTGTATGTGTGTTGCGTGGAGTTCTTGTACTTTGGGATTGACCAGGAATAGATTGTGATGTACCCTGCCGGGGCCGCGCTGTGGCCTGCGGCTGTGATGTCTTGCCGCTGTTGCGCCGGCACGGCAGTTGCAGGGGTGTGTGCGCAACCGCGTTTCTCTCGCAATTCCTCTTTCCTGCCCAGATGCCAGTTTCTCACCGCGATCCGCTGGTGTGAACCTTTCAGCTTATTCCTCTACCGTTCCTCTACCGTTTCTCGGGTGCTGGGCTTGCCGTCCTACTCGGTCTTGCTGCGAAAACGCCTCGGGTAGCTATGCGTTGTGCGTGCTTCCTGGTTCGCCACCATGCTCGGCGTGCCCTTTATGCAGGCGCTTTCGAAAAAGTGGCCTCCCCCGTTATGGCCTTTGCTCGTCGGCAGTTGACCCTTTGCTTCTTGCACTGATTCCCTTCCCCCTCGAGCAGGTCTTCCTGAACCAGCACAGGCGGAGCTCGCCCGCATGGCGGATGACCTGAAGCGCGTGCAGGCCTTCCTGGGCATGAGTCCCGCCGGTGTGGTGCCGGTGGCTGCTGCAGCCCCCGAGGTCGCCAAGGCCGTGGCGGTGGCGCCGGCGGAGGGCCGCAGCACGGGTGTGGAGCCGTGGGGCGCACCGGGCAGGGAGCCAAGACAACCAGGACAGGAAGTCAAGAACCTGGGTGAGTTGCGGTCGGCGGGAGGTCGTTGGGGAATACGCAGGAGGTCATGGTGTTTTGCGAAGTATGCGTGAGATCCTGGGTACCTTGTCTGCTCTCGCTCCCACACAGAGTGCTCCCACAGAGTGCTCCCACAGAGCCGCGAAGTGGCCTTTCGAAGTTGGAGAAGTAAAGGGTTCCCGATTTAAAGTATGGGCCACCTAAGCTATGGGATATGGGGTTCTGACAGCACAGGGCCACATCATGTTGCATCGAGGCACGGATGGAGGCAGTGTGAAGGGGATGCAAAAAGACGGGACATTTCCTCGATGCCGTTCCCTACGCCGTACTGCACTGGTATATATCACCCCCCATGCTGGCCGGCCGTACTTTGAAAACCTGTTTTCACACGTCATCTCTTCTTTCCGACCGAAATGCATGGGAATGCTTTGACCTTTGACCCCCTCTTGAATGGATTTATACATGCGAAACGGAAGCCTGGGAAGGCCGTGGCGCCGTTACTTTCCGCCGTTTTGTTCACGCAGCTTTTGTCCTATCCTCTCCCAGTTCAACATTTAGATCCTTCTTCTACCTTACCCATTTGGATTCCCGGGGAATTCATCACACTCCGTGCCATTCCCTTTCTCTACTCATCTCCCTCCGCACCACGCAAATTCCATTCCACTTCATTCTATTCCAACCTGTTCCTTCACGTTCCACATTCCATGATCCAGGCGACCTGGTAAAGGAGGTCGACGGCTACAAGCAGCGGACGGCCGCACTGGAGGAAGCGCTGAGGGCGGCCGGCATCCCGGTGCCTCGCCCGGCTGAGGCAGCGGCGACTGGAGTAGCAGGAACGGGGGAGCAGCCGGGCCAAGGCCGACAGCGCAACGGCGTGATGGTGACAGCGGGCGGTCTTGCAGGCCCCGAGCAGGCAGGCTTTGCACCACCTCAGAGGCGAGGCCCGGCGGGCGCAGGGGAAGGTGAGGCAGCCGGCCGGGGGCAGAGGGGGGGAACGAAGGGGGAAAATGCTGAGAGGAAGGTCCCGGCGCGGCGTGAAAGGAGGCCTCTTGGGGAGATAGGACAGTAGCCTCTATGATGGGCTTCTGTGCACAGCAGCTTGCGGAGGAGTGGCGTGCTGGCTACCTTACCGCCTGCTGGCTGACACGCAAGCCGCCGGCCGACGTGCACGTGCACGTGTATTACCCATGAGGCTTTAGGATGGAGGCAACAGCCGCCTGCGCCGGCGCTCTTCCTGGCCCTTCCCTTGCCTGGTCTGTGTTGCAGATGCGGTGAGTCCCGAGCTCGCCCGCATGGCGGATGACCTGAAGCGCGTGCAGGCTTTCCTGGGCATGAGCCCCGCCGGTGTGGTGCCGGTGGCTGCTGCAGCCCCTGAGGTCGCCAAGGCCGTGGCAGTGGCGCCGGCGGAGGGCCGCAACACGGGTGTGGAGCCGTGGGGCGCACCGGGCAGGGAGCCAAGACAACCAGGACAGGAAGTCAAGAACCTGGGTGAGTTAACGGTTTGCAATTCCCCACGCGCTTTCTGGGGTGTGGCTACACAGCTGCTCTGGGCCTTCGGGCTTTTTAACCCAAATCCATGAAATCATACCGGTAGAACGTCTTGCATTAAGCATTCGTCCACACATGCAGCCTCCCTATCCTGTAACAGATAGACGAACGGATTATTTTGGCTCCTTCGCTCGCTAGTTCGTAAATTCGTTAGTCAGTTCACCCACTAAGATGGACGTATCGGCAATTCGCAGGTGCTAATCTACATTCTGTGGCGAATGGGAGAGTCAGTCATTACCAAACTAGTCAAAGAGAGTGGTGTTCAACTTCACGTAGATCGTATTTGTGTCTTGGGGTATGTGCACCTGAGGTGCCCCCATCCGGCCCACCATTCCGCTGCCTGCAACCCACAATCGCAAAAAATAGGTCCCTGGAGGTTACCCAGTCTCGCCCACCTTCCCGCAAAGCAAATCACGGTATGATATATGTTGCGTGTTTCCCCCAGGCGATCTTGTCAAAGACCTGGACGACAACAAGCAGCGCGTGAAGCAGCTGGAGGAGGCGCTCCGTTCCGCGGGCATTCCGCTGCCGCCGCCTGCAGCGGCGGGTGCCGTGGCGCCGGCGGAGCCACAGCAGCCAGGCGGGCAGCGAGGCCGGAACCTGGTGGCGGTTTCACCGGGCCTGGTGCCGCCAGAGGGGGCCACTGGCTTTGCGGCGCCGCGACGAGGGCCGGGATCGGAAGGTAAGGGATACGATTTCTTTTGGTGGCAATGGCCCTGGGCGGCTAGATCAACTGGAGTTAATTGCAATGGGGCAATGGATTTGTGCCCTTACTTGTGGCCTTCGTAACTTTTCGTAAGCCGCCTCATGTGCGTTTTTCCCTGTCCGCGTCTGCACCACCTCGCCTCGCTTCCGATCACCTTGCGTACTTCCCCCGCCTCTCCCGCCTTTTTGCAGCGCCTCCGGAGTCGCTTCCGGCCCGTGTGGACGCACTTCAGGACGACGTGAAGCGCGTGAAGGCATTCCTGGGCATGCAGGATGGTGCTGCAAGTCCGGCAACAGGTGCCGGGCCGGACGGCGCCAAGGAGAAGGGCGCCGCGCCGGCGGCAGCGGACAAGGGCCCGTGGGCTGGGCCGGGTCGCGATAAGGGCACCGCTGGCGGCGGCGAGGGGGTGGCCAAGGAGCTGGAGGAAGTGAAGCAACAGCTGAATGATGTGGGTCTGCTTGCTTCTTGAAAAGGGGCCTGGGTGTATGTAAAGGATCAAAAACCTTTCAGGCCGCGGCATGAATGTAGGGCTGGCAGGGTGTTAACTAGCCGAGGCTGCGGCCCCTTTTGTGTTGAGCGTGTGTCTGGCGTGTGTCTGGCTGTCTGGGCAGCTGGTTTGCCTCTCTCCATGGTCGCCTCGACCCGCTGTATATCTGCCTGCTTGCCTGTCTGTCTGTCTGTCTGCCTGCCTGCCTGCCATTTGCTTGTCCCACGTGTGCGCACGCTTGTCCACCCCCAGGATCTCGTTACCCTGTGCACTCTTAAAGCTACCCCGACACCGCTCCAGCCAAGCAACGGCCCGGATCCCGATCCCGATTCCCAATCCTGCTTCTGATTTTGCTGACTCCCGTAATCCAGTTGGACCGGGCGTTGCGTGGTGCCGGTATGGGCTACATGCTCCCCAAGGACAAGGACAGCGGGCCCACCCCGGTGCAGCGGCAGACGGAGCCCGCGGACAAGCAACGCGGTGGCGTTGCCGTTACCGCGGGAGGGCTTCAGCGGCCCACGGACGCTGCCGGCTTCCCTGCGCTGACCCGCAAGGACGGTCTGCCGCGTGAGTTTCCCCCAGGGCTCCCTAGGTGGTGGTACCATGGATGGGTGTCCGTTCGTGTGGCTTGAATGTCTCGAAGGGTGCGGGGCGCATCCATTTCAGATTTTAGGTGATTACCCTTTTTATGGGAAACGGTTATTTTGTTTGTGGATTTAAATTTTGGCATAGTTTTGTGTTTGTAGGTAAGGTTAAATCAGATTAGATTATAATTAGGTTGGACCGGGTCTAGGTTTGGTGTTTAGCCCTGAAGTCCTGGCTGTGCCCTTGTCAGGTACATTCGTGATAAACTGCTCTTTTGTTCCATCCTCTGCGCGCCGGTCACGCATTTCCTCTTCATTTCCTCTTCGTGCCCCGCTCCGTCCCGTCCCTGCCTGATCCCGTTCACAGCCATCGAGAACCCCAGCTTCGTGGACGCCAACGACTACGGCAAGCTCAAGGATGACGTGGACAAGCTCAAGGCGTTCTTGGGGATGGATGCGGCCAAGACGGCCCCTGCGGCGGCGGCGGCGGCGGTAGCGGCAGCAGGGCCAGCGGCGGCGGCAGCTGGCAACGAACCGTGGGCTTCGAAGAATCTGAAGGACAAGGCGGATGAGGTGCGCTTGGTGTGTCTTTGTATCTGCCTTCGTTCATCTCTCTCCCCCCCCCGAACTTTCTTTTATGTGCACCTATAGCTGTCTCGGTGTGCACCTGCTCTGCCCCTCGCTGTGCTCAACGGCGTACACCCCCTCCAGCTTGAGCCAACCCTTGAGTCCACCTCGAGCTGCGCTAAGTCACATCTTGATAATCACTGTTCCTGCGTTCTTCGCTGCTGTGTATTTCAGTTGTCTGAGGTCCTGCTGTTGTACGTATGCTGCTACTGCTGTTGTTGTTGCTACTGCTGCTGATGTTGCTACTGCTGCTGTTGACTACTGTTGCTACTGCTATTGCTTGCTGTTGCGACTGCTGCTGTTGACTACTGTTGCGACTACTGCTACTTGCTGTTGCAACTGCTGCTACTGCTGCTGTGGCAAATGTGCTGCTACTGCTGCTGTTGCGACTACTGCTGCTGCTCCAGGCGGAGAAGGCCATTAAGGACATGTCTGGAGATCTGGACAACCTGCGGAAGAAGGTGGCGGACATGGAGGAGGCGCTGAGGTCACTGGGGGGACCTAACGCAGCGCAGCCCCCTGCGGTGAGTCGTTCCTGTGGGGGGCAGGGGGGAGGGAGCCGGGGACGAAAGTGGGGCCGCTGTCGGGGAACAGCCGTGCTCGCCTCCTTGTCATGGTGACAGGGGCGGTGACTTTGGAGGGGTTGCCGGTCTGCAGGGTTGAGACCAGCTTGTTTGTTTCGTCGTGGAACTGCTGAGCCGCGGAGGCTAGTTCTCCTGCTGCGAGGGAGCGCTGGGGATTCGAAGGAGGGAAGAGAAAGAGAGAAAAAGAGAAAGAGGAAGAGGAAAAGAGAGGGAGAGATAGAGGTGGCTGTATTTTTACCACTAGTGTGTTTGTGGGAGGTGGCCACACCAAGGCGGGGTTGTTGTCTCGGCCTCTTGCCTCACTACCCGCCGCTGGGCCTGCCTCGTCCGCTGCTGCCGCCAGGTCGCCGCCGTGTCGGACGTCAAGGGCGGTGGGCCCGCTGCGGCGGGCGGCCGCAACCGCAACCCCATCGCGGTCAGCCCGGGCATGGTGGATGAGGGTGCCAAGGGCTTTGCGCCTCCTGACCGCAAGCAAGCCGGCGAGCCACCGGAAGGTGCGTGCATGGGGTGATACGAATAGTAGCTGTTTGTTAAGCCGCGATACAGTGGTGGGCAGCAAACGTGCAATTGGATCTACCAAATGGATGAGCGAGCGCTCATACCTTACGGTATGGTATACAAATTGGTAAATTAATTGCACGTTTTTGGCGCCGATGAGCTAATGCTCAAATCTTAACGGATGTTGTTAGCTCTTATCATTAGATAAAACATTTTCAAGGCGGGCAAACCCATGACGATTGGCGGAACCCTCGGCATGAATTAACAACACACCACCTAACTCCTTTTGGTAAAAGTAAAGCGATTCTTGAATAAATTGGGCCCCAGGTATCTCCAACCCTGTCGTGGTGGACGGCGAGGACTACAAGCAGCTGAAAAAGGCGCTGGAGGATCTTCAGGCTGCGGTGGGGCAGCAGGGGCCGGCGCCGGCTGCGGCAGACGGCAAGAAGCCCAAGAGCCTCAAAGAGGACACGGACGACGTGAGTGCGGCTGCGTGGCGGGGAGGCGGGGCGTGAGAGGAGTGGAAGCGGGTGGTTCTAGGCACATAGGGTAGCGTCTGTGGAATACGGAACACACCACAACACCAACACAACACAACACACAACAAGTGAATCGGCAAGGCGTGGTGCTCCCGGGGTAGAGGGAACAGAGGAGGGAGGTTTTCAGTGTGGCCAATGTCTCCGGAGCTTTCAGGATCGGAGACGGGAAAGCGCAGGTGCTGGGAGGATGCCGGATATTCGACATCCTTTGGCCACCCTCGTTGTATGCTGGTTCGCGCGTGCTGCCGTTTGCTGCCGCTGCTATGGATGCGGGAATGCGGTGAACTATGGGTAACTATGGGATAGCTGGACTTGTAAGCTGAGGGGACGTTTTGGCGTGTCGTTGTGTGCATTGCACGTTGACGCATGTGCAACTGAGGCCCTCTGTCCTAATCTGTCCTAATCGTCCACCGTGAATGAGCGTGTTGTGCGGCTGCCTGATGCGGTGCTACGTATACCGCCTGGTGGCTTGGCCGCTGACACGACGTACGCCCCACGGCGCCCTGCTGCTGCCGCCGCCGCCGTGCCACTCTGCTCCCCCGCAGATCAAGAAGTTCGTCCGCGCGATGGGCAAGGATGTGGGCGCCATGGGCAACGACATGCAGGCGCTGAAGAAGCATCTAGACGATGTGAGTAACGGCTCCGTGTGTCCCGACGCGTATGTCCTATCTGTTGACCGTTGGCTAGCTGTCTGCCTATACTGCAGGATGGCTAGGTGCCTGGCAGCTATAGAGTCTGCGGAGGTTATTTGCTTCTGCGTAGACTGTGAGGGGATAGGAAAGGAGAGCTCTTCCGGGTTGAAGCATCTCGAGCTGTCATGACTTGCATAAGTCAATATGTAATGTACTGTTAAAGAGTGGGAAGCTTCTGGGCCGCTGTATCACATTGTCAGTTCACCTTATAGCACCATCCACCACTACCACACTGTACTTCGCCATACGAACTGTAAGTCCAAGGCGGCGGATCCAGCCTTCAGGGACCCCTCCTCATCCATTCACCCGAACATAAGTCAATATGTATTGGGATGTGTGTATTGGCGATGTGTGTGGCGGGGCCTAATTAGGATCTTCCTGACGTTGCCGTGTCCGTCTCTCTTCCGCCCCGCCTGTTCGCCATGATCCATGGTGGGCTTCCTCTCGACCCTCTCTCCCCGCACGCCAATGGCCGTCGCGGAGGGCGCACTCCCGGGTGTGGCGCGCACTCTCTCACAGACGCTCTGATGCTGAAATGTCCTCTGCGATCCCCAACCCCCCACGCGCCTCGTAGGTGGAGGGCTCCATGAACCGGGCTCTGGCCAACCTTGCTGCAGAGATGGCTCGACTTAAGACGGCTCCAAGAGAGGAGGAGCCCGACAGCCCGGAGCCCAAGCAGGAGAAACGGAAGCTAGAGGCCGCGGGGGATAACATGGTGGGTGGCGGGTCCGCAGTCTTGGCTGGATGTAAAGGGAATACGTGGGGCTAAAGGGAGCTGCTAGGTGTTGCTGGCCAGATTTCTAGCAAGGGCAGTGTTTTCGTGCGTTTTTTTTGGACGAACAACACGCCATGGAAATGGAGTACCGTCGCTGCTTGCTCTCCCCCTGTCCCAGATCATCATGACGCCCTACCCGCTGTTCCGCTCGTACCGCGGATTTGAAAAGCACAATTGGTTCTTTTCTTCTGCACGGACGTTTTACCCTCACGCGTATCATTTACTTTCACCTCCCCCTCACCCTGATTCGTCGTTCCCTCCCCTTCCCCAGGCGGACACCATCAACGCTATGGCGGCGCTCAACGCCGCGCAGCAGCAGCAGCTGGCACGTGCGACTGACGACACGCGCGCGGAGGACATTGACGCGCTCAATGAGGCGATGCGGCAGAGCGAGAATCAGCTGGCCCGTCTGCTAGCGTTCCTTAAGCAAGACGTAATGGACCGGTTCGCGGTGCATGAGAAGACGCTCATTCGGGTGGGTGGGTGGGTGGAGAGAGGGAGGTAGGAACATCCGGGAATAGAATAGGGAATTGCAACCAGCTGCGATCCCGCTGATGCGGCCACTGGCAGCAGCAACACGGCTGGCTGCGGCTGCGGCTGCGGCTGCGGCTGCCAACTCCACAACCTTGCAAATTCCTTCTCCTCTGATCAATCACGAACTCCAACAGCTATACACCGCACGCCACCACGTTCTATGCACCCGTCACCGCCTCAAAACGCCCTTGCCTTTCTTTTTTCAGGAGTTCGTTGGTGTGCGGGATTGGGATGTGTATCCCTTCCATGCGTCCAACTGAGTGGTCCCAACACCACATATGTATCGCTGTATCGCTGTATCGCTTACGCCCCGTGACCTATGTATGTATGTACGTATGTATGCATTCGGTGTGATGCAGATGGCCAAGCAGATCGACTTCATTCAGCGCATGCTGAAGGGCGAGTTCGACGACCAGCGGGATGCGGCCCGGGAGGCGGGGAGCACTCTCACGGTGGCCGCCCCGGACGGCAGTGTGGTCACCAGCACCACCGGCGGCACCGGCGGGGAAATGGAGCTCCAGGCTTCTTAATAAGAAGCAGGCGCCGTCTGGAGATGTCCACCGCTGCTACCTCCACCGCCCGTCAGGTGCGACGGAGCATGCAAGGCCGTCGTGAGACCGTCTTCTTCCCCGCCATCTCGGTATCTGGTTATTACGCCGCCATCCACCATCACCGCCGCGGGCGCGACGGAGCTCCGGCTGGGGACGTTAGGAGCTGAGGGGGAGCTGTGGTTTAAAAGGTACCTACCTCATGATGTGCAGTCTGTATGTATGTCCGCCTGTTGTAGCTCTCTGTATGTTTGTTTGTGTGTATGTATCTAGCAGTGTGTGGAGGAGGGTGGTGTGAAGAGAGTGGCGAGGAGGGGTCTGTGTAGGGCAAAAGGGGGAGGAGACAGAGGAGAAGGGTGTGAGGACGGGTGGGTGGTGCGGAAAAGTGCTGACGCCGAGGTGGCGTATTGAATGTGGCACTCTTCAGCAAGCAGGTTGCAGGTAGGCATTTGTTTTCTGCTTGCCTGGAGAGGCGAGTACCGCGGCAAGCTCGGTGCTCGTTTCGTAAAGGTAAATATTAATAATCATAATATATTAATAATAATGTGTGCAGTATGGTGGTGTGTGAGCAGTACCTAGTGATAAGGAATTGTAAGTTTAAATGCCGTGATCCTGTTTGCATACCGTTTTTTGTGAGCTGCGTATCTTGATATGACACAAGAACGCAAAAAAACGTGACGCAAAGGACTGCTTGCGGGGCAGGTTGTTGCCGTACGTCACGGAGCGGGCGAAATCCGGGACTGGGGGGCTCCTCCCCGAGCTCCGCGGCGGGGTATTGGGGACTTTATTTACTTAAAGGGGGATGCTTTTGGAATGTTTATGTCTGGAGAAGCCATGTCCTGCTACCCAACCATACCGCCTCTACCCAAGCCCGCGGCAGTAGCAGTAGCGGTAGCAGTAGCGGTAGCAGTGGCAGTTCCTTCTGCATTGCTGACGTTGCTTTTGGAGTTCCGTTCGCGTACCGGCCTCGTCCTTTGCTTCGGTCAGGAAATGCTAAGGCTCCATGGGGCTGTGGGGTTGCTGCAATGGTCAGCAGACGATGAACGCCGCTCTCTGAGGGTGGTCCCTGCAGGGTATGTAGGGGTCGGCGCACTCCCGAGGTGCGGGATTCGGTTTGCAGGCTGTGCCGTCGGGCTTGTTTGTCGCCGGGTTTTTTCATCATTCCTGGCAAGCCTGTGGGGGCTGCCTGCTGGTTGGCAATGGCCTTGTGATTTACGCAGAACACGACAGCGATGATGTCAATCGTAGAAGCATTGGAGACCTGGAGCGGCGACGTGTGTTATAAATAAAACTCCATATCCGATGCCGAATGCGCACAGTTGTTGTGGGTTGGTGCCGCAAAGTACGTTAGCGAGCGGAGAGGGAGAGGGGAAAGAGGACATGGGTTCTGGGCTTATTACGGCGGAAGAGGGGAAGGGCAAATAACTTTCGCCTGGCCTCTTGCCCAGCCGCAGCAAGCGTGCATCGCATGGGTTGAGAGAGTCCTCTCTAACTTGACAGTTTCCTCTTTAGGAGCTGTTGTACATTTACTTCAGGAATGTAGGTAATGAGTATGCCAAATTTTAACCCAGTAAATGACCATGGGCGGAAGGTGGATCTTGGAAGCGAGCCGCACATGAAAAGTCGAGCAACATGTGACGTGCTTCAGTACTACGTGTTTGCATCTTTCTGTGGATTTGTTTTTGCACTTTGCAGATGCGACATGTTTGGCATATGTTTAGATTTACGTACATTGTGCATAGCTCGTGATCTCGTGCACTGAAAAAAACGTGTTCATCTCACACGAGACACGCCTTTCACGATGGCACCCATCACATCAGCACCGTGACGAATCATAACGTGACGTACGGCAGTGACTAACATTTGGCCAGGGGGAGCAAGGCGCGGCTTGGGACGGTGCTGGTTGCTCATCCCCATTTCCCTCCCCCCTCCCCCCCGCGCGCCTCTCGACGCAATGGTCGTTATTATGACGGGTGCTTGGGCGCCGATATTCTGTGGGACTTAGCGCTTTTATGAGTCCTGGAGACACTGTATTCATGAGGCCCTACAGCATGTGTCATACATAAGTATTCGTGCACATGGCAAACCGGGTCTAGCCCAACGCCCTGGAAATGGTGCTTCACGGTCGCCGACCCTGATCGTCTTCTGCTGGGGAGGCGGAAAGAGGGTGAACGCAGCGTTCATGGTTAGCTCGACCGCTGGGTCTCCTTACTGCTGTACGTAGGAACATGGAGGACATACAGTGAATGCGGCTGTTGGACATGGACGCGTACCCGTGGTTATTTACTTGGTCGCTGTTGTGGTAGCAGCCATGTAAAATGGCATGGCCACAGGAAGGAAAACAATCATTGGTTAATGTGGTATGAGTTTACAAGGATGGGTTTATACGGTCAGGGGTTGGGCACGCTGGGCTTGAACATGTGGCTCCTATTTAGCGGGCTCACACGTACCGGGCCCCCTTGTGTTAGGCTTACTGTGTTGTAGTTACACTTACTGGGCTTCCCGACGTTAAGTTGCCATCTGTGTAAGACCGGTACAGGTTACACGTTACACGTTCCGCACGAATGTGGGGGCGCCCCGTCCGTAAAAGCCGGATCGGCCATGGACGGCACATGTATTGGCCCCTACCATTGGTCAAGCCTGGCACGTGTAACCTTTTACAATGCCAGGATTCCACGTGCGGAATGTATCCTCACACGTGTTAGCTTAGCAACAGCAACAAGCCCCGGCCGCGTGAACCTGTACTGGTCTTTCATGTGGCTGCCTTACTCTTACGGACGAGCTTGCAAAAGCAAGATTTTCACCGATTAGCTCACACGTGTTTTTTATTTGCAGTGTTATGACAAAATAGCTCGAGCAGCTGTTCGGACATTCGGATGATCGGAAGGTCCCCGGCTGGAGGCCAGCGTTTCATGCAGTCCAGTAAATACTTCAGAAAGAAGAGTAGCACAGTCGTGCTCCTTTGCCAACTAGGCACAGAATTAAGCACCAACCTGGATGGATGTGCACGCACAACCAAAACGCTTTTAAGGGTTCCTAACTAAATACAAGGGCAGCATGATTGTTGTATCACTGTAATCGCAGGATAGAAAACTTTTGCTTCGCCATCGCTGTTGAATGCATTCCTGGACAGCGCGGGTCTCAAAAACTAAATTCTTTCAGCCTTTTTAGTTGTATTACAACCCAAATGGACGTCTTGTCAGGCCGGCAGGCAAGAAATGCCTTCGGCCAATAGGCCAGAACGGTTCCGAGTTCGACCAGCGGGCGAAGATACGACCAGTCATCGGAATCGGCACAACACAAGGCGAATGCATAGAGAAATCACAAAACCTGCTTAGAAAGAGGTTTCAATTATTTATCACGAACTTCATAATAAGGGAGCAGCTATTTTCAACACGGATTCTCAGCTTGGGGTTCCAGAAGGCTATGGAGGTAGGATAGGCAGTTAAGTGATTATAAACTCACTGTATCCGTTTATCCAGGCCAGAATGCAAAGCAATAATGCGACACGTAGCTGCGCAGAATCCGCCCTTCGCCCTTAGCCTGTGACAGCACATGCTTCGAAACCAACAAGCCGTAAGCCTCCAACAACCCGACCCTACCATAAATTTAATGCTACCTTAGTTCCTAAACAATAGGCTTGTTACTTTTATAAAGCTTTATTTGTTTTCATTAGCTCCGCTGACTCTATTGCAGCAGGCTTGCCGATAGTGTATCTTACTTCACGCACCCTTCGGTTAAAAGGTTGCTGAATCGTCCAATATCTACCGTTCATCTTACCGTCTGCTGAGCAAACGAAGTAGGATGCGGTCCCTTGCGCACGCGAAGCCCCGCACAACCTTCGCAAAGCCCTGCTCAGCTGCGAAACGCGCACGTTGGACATCGCGATCTGTAGTGTGCACATTTGCAGCGACAACCGCGACTGGGGCGGTTGCCCAGAGTAAGATGGACCGAGACCTGGGTGTGTTCGTAGGTCCCTCGTGCTTCGGGTTGTGTACTTGATTAGCGCTTGTTATCCTGATGTGAACCATGTCCTCCTTGACGTATGGCAATTCTCTTCGGCTGAAATCTGTCCTTTTTGGTTCGTAGGAACGCATTACCAGGTCCTGGGTGTGCAGCCCACGGCTTCCGCGGAGGATATCCGGACGGCTTTCCGTCGCCTGGCCAAATCGCTTCATCCCGACCACAACAAGCTTCCTGGTGCTCGGGAGAAATTCCAAGAAGTCAAACAAGCCTATGATGTCCTGGTGGATACGTCCAGCCGAACGGACTATGATCGAGAGCTTAAAATCCAGGTGTGCATACTGTCAGACAAGCGTTGCCGGGTGAATTATGGGCTCCATCAAAGCCAACTTCACTACGCACCAGCTAATCGTGTGCGGTTCCCCTCTGCGTTGCCGCCACCGCCACTGTTATTTCTCCCCCTGAAAAATATCCCCATAAGCGACGACTTTTACCTCGGTGTCCTAACGGATTCATTCTGCGCTGCCCTGAAAACCTCTCGGCTATGCGTGTGTTTGTCTGCGTCTGATTTCACACTCATGCGTGCCGCGCCCGGCTTACTTGTCTCTCTGTTTTTAATCCCTATGTGCCACCGTCCTCCGTTCCTGCAGGCAATGGCAGCGGCAGCGGCAGCGGCGCAGGCCGCTGCGGGCGGCCGGCGTGCATCCACTCTTAGCTTCCGACGGAGCCGGGCGGCGGGGTGAGTGTGAACAAACCGTGGCGTGTGTATCCCTGGGGCGTGCTAGGGTCGCAAACTCAGGGCAGGGTTCTGGCCGACTGGCCTGGCCGAAGCTAGGCTATAAGCGCCCATCTTCTACCGGATGAATAGAAACATAGGAGGTGTGGAATCAATCCACCTCGCATTTTAGCCCGCTAGCTTACGTGGTGTGGCAATCGGCCGGGATGACGCCGCGGTCATCTATAAACCTGTGTCCTGATTTACGAGGGCTTTATCCATGTTGCTGCTGCTGCCGCTAGCGGTGATGATCATTGTGTAAATTCATGATTGAAACGAGCAGATGAAGTGTGAAAGCAGTCAAGGGTTTATATGTTCTGTATAAAAGGATCATGTGTAAACGGTAATGGTGCCTTGCGCGCGCAGATCGTCTAAAGCCCAAGCCGCTGCGCGCCCTGCCTCCGGGGACGACTTTGACGCCTTCACCGCGGGCAACACCTCCCCCAACGGAAGCAGTAGCCCAGGCTCCAACAGTGGCGTTGTTGGGAGTAGCAGCTACAACAGTATCTTCAACGAGACGCGGCGCTCAGTCAGCCGAAGCAGAAGCGCGAGCCGCAGCCGCAGTCCCGGTTACCGGAGCGTCTTTGACGGCCTTCCTAGGGCAGCAACGCCGTCCGCTGCAGGTGCTTCCGGCGCCTCGCCGTCAGGTGACGGCCGCCGTGAGGGCATCTTTGACCGCATCGACGCCACACCAACGCGCGGCATGACCAGAAGTAGCAATAGTAATAGCAATAGTAATAGCAACAGCAGCAGCAACAGCAGCGCCGGGGGCAGTAATAATTCCAGCATATTTAATGGCAGGTCCATCTCACCAAACTTGGGCATCCGGTCACAGGGCCCAGCCGGTACGACAGTGCCTATTAAGGCGGCGTCAGCGTCCTCCAATCCGGGGTTGGCCGCCGGGCCGTCACCTCGAGCGTTTGACCCAACATCCATTTCAGACCGTACACAGTCCGCTAGCAGCAGTAGCAACAGAAGTTACGTCAATTCTGCTAGCAGTAGCAGCAACATGGGCACTGTTACCGGCGTGTATACGCCATCTCCACATCTTCGCACGCCTCCGGCTGCCGCTGCTGCACCTGCTGCCGGAGGAATGCCGGCCACTGCATCGCCATCGCCACAGCCGCCACGTCCATCTGTTACGCCCCAGGTGTCGTACGCCAGAGCTAGTGGCAGTAGCCAACAGCCGCCAGGCACCTTGACACTACAGACTTGCTCTACTCCTGCCCATACCGATGATGGCAGCAGCGCGCCGCTGACGAGCAGTGCGGCACTGCAGCCGCCGCCGCCGTCGCCGCCTAAGGGCATTCAGGCATATGGCGTCATTTCCACGGCACCCCCTTCGCCATCGGGGCTACCGCCATCCAGCCCATCGGTGGCAGCCGCAGCGCCAGTGTCATCACCATCATCATCATCATCGGGCCCAGCACCGTCGTCGCCGTTGGGCTCCTCCATTGGTGACGTCGCATCAAAGTTGGTGGCGTTGGCAGCCGCGACGGCGCCAGCCCCCCGGAGCGGTAGCGGCGGCAGCTCCAGCGGCGGCTACATCAGCATCTTTGGCGGCGCTGCGAACTACACGGCTGTCGCCGTTGGCGGCCGGGCCGCCAGTCCTGAAAAGACGAGTAGTAGCAGCACCGGGACCAGCAGTAGCAACAACATTGGGCGCGGTAGTAGCGGCGGCAGCTCTACCGGCGGCATGTTGGCGGAGGCCGCCCCCGCCCCCAGCGCGGCCTTCCAGGTCACCGTGTCGCCCAAGGCTGTCAAGGACACAGCTGCCAAGTAAGTCGGTGGCGTGGACGGGGGCCGCATGTGTGGAAATCGGAGTGCTGGTTGGTACTAAGTAGAATTGTAATGTAATCCACTACTTAGTAGTGAATTAGTTTCGACGATCACATAAGTGCCGTACAGCTGCAGGAGCTTTATGTGCCGTGTGTGGTAGGGGCTGGGTGAGAGTCCAGGAGCAACAGCAGTTAATACCCAAAGCTGAGTTATAAGCTGTCATGGTTTCGCTTTTTTTGACGTACGCCTCTCCCTCCCTGGCTACGTACACACATACAGACCCACAATTGAGATGTCGCCTCAGCAGCAGCAGCAGCAGGCGGCGCATGTGGTGACGCCAACGCCAAACGCTTCCCGGTCATTGGCCACCGAGGGCGCCCTGAACCCATGGACTCCGCAAACCGCGGCGGCGGCGGCGGTAGCAGCGGTGGCGGCAGCTTCGACCTCAACGTTGGTTGCGGACGCCGCTGCAGCCGCGCGTGTGGCAGCGGCTATGGCGGCGGCGGCGGAAGCTAAGGCGGCCGCTGCTGCCGCGGAGGCTATGGCAGCTGAGGCCGCCGCTGTTGCAGCGCGGGCCAAGGCGGCGGCGCTAGTGGCAGAGGCGCGCTTGTCGGCGATGGTTGAGGCGACGGGCAGTCCTCTGCCAATGTCCTCCTCATATGAAGGGGCAGATGTTGCGCAGCTGCCGTCGCCGTCGCCAATTATTTCCGACGGGTCTGTGCTGCCAGCAGGTGTTCCGACAGACCCACGGGTTCATGGGGATGAGGTGGCGGGAACCCCCCGGATTTGCGGCTCCTTAGATTGTGGGGTGCCGCAGGAGGTGCAGGACTTTGTACGGAAAGTGGGTGAATTCTTCACAAGTTAGGGAACGAAGTGTCGTGATAGTTATGGCTGGGATCTATGGTAGGGGTGAACTGCACCGGTGTCATGCGAAACCGCACAAATGAACACGACAGAAATGCGAAGGCGTGGCATAGTGTGGCCTCGAGTGTGGTTGTCGCCGCCTTTGATCCGGCAGATTCCACGGTATGCGCACGGTGGTGGTGCTGAGCTCGAGGAAGTCGCTGATTATTCCGCTAAGATTGGCATGGGTGAGAAACATTGGAGAAGGTGGGACAGCCAGGCTAGTGGTTACGGGTGAAGCTAGAACTCCCCCTACTTCACATAGTCGTCATACACACGCACATGCACGGCGCCGTGCAAGTTGCTCTGAAACCCTTGATTGCCATCACCACCACCAACATTTCAAGTCGACAGACCAGGCATAATAAAAGGGCGAATTAATTGATGTTGCACCATTCTACCTATTTTGTTAATTTGCATTTTGTCATCCGAGAATTATAGTGTATGATGCGACCGTGACGGTAAAAGTACTACATACATCGTGGGAATCGGTGAACTGGTAAGGTGAGAAGGCCGGGAAGGCATATTGCGAATATGCATCGTTACGGAGCGGGGCATGCAGGAAGGTGCTCTGATGCAGCAGGTGCTCGGCACCCCCTCAGTAAGGAGGCGCAGCAGCAGCAGCAGCGCCAAGAGGATTCAAATGTACATTATTGGCGGAAAACGCTTTTCAACATGGAACGCCTTGCATTGCCTACAGAGCAGTGAGTGCGCGTGCGGCGAGTGCACCTCGCTCGTACTCTGATGAAGGGACAGGTATGCGATGATGTGGACGATGAGGTGTAGAGGCGATGATAATGGATGCGTGAGTTATGAGTATGTACGCATATTAAAATTTGTCTTCGGGCTGAGTTTATGTCGGCGGCTACATTAATGACGCATCTTTGCGAACTGCGCTCGCATTTGCTGGGCGCTGGCATTCTTCGACCACCTGGGGAGCGGTAGGGTTGCGGTTGGACCATGGCATCGTAACGCCGTGGAAGAATACACTATCAACATTGTTTCATTTCAACGCGGTGTTTCATGTCGAGGCACAGCTTCTCTTTTGGGGTAACCGTCTTGACGTGGTGTGTGATGCACCCTAAAAATGACCCCAGGGTGTGGTGTGGTGTGGTGTTGGAAGCGAGCTGGTTGAGGTAATTTAGGAATACGTAGGAGATTAACATTCTAGAGCGATCGTGGACGGCGTAGTGGATGGGGAGTATCGGTACGGATTGTATCATTGTGAGTGATAAGTGTGTGATCATGCATGTCGATCCCAGCCACTGTTGGAAATGAGGTGCAAAAGGTCTGCAAGCTTAACTCTTAGGACGGAGGGATATAAAACAAGGCTTTGGTGCCTTTTATTCAAGGTAGGGTGGTTTGATGGCAAGAGTAGCAGGGCCAGAGGGCAAGGAGAGCGAATGGCTCCGGTGTAACATATGCTGTTGGGAGGAATGAGGCATTCTGGCAACTACGTGTAGCTGGATCTGTTCAAAAACTACGTTGTGTCTGTGCTTCTGCTGAAGTTGTGTCGTCCGACCTCTCCTGGCAGTGTTAGAATATATTTGATAATGCATACTCTTATATGTAACTACGTGGTAATAATGTGTTTCTTCCTATAATATGCCTCCACCATCTTATAGAAGACGAATGCAAGTAAAGAAGCGATACATCCAGTCACAGGAGCAATACTTCCGCCTCCTGTGAAAGCCAAGTCCAGCATAGTAACGCGCGACGGTAGGTAGTGCAAAAGGAACCTCTGCCCCCCAAAAGGCCCCAGCCTGGAGCCTACCTTACATGTCTCCATCAGCCGTGCACCTGCACTCCTTAAAAAAACCACTACTACCGGAACTCCAAAAGTAACTCAACCGGGTGCCCTGCGGACGACTTTTAACGTCTCCCGCACTGGGCCTTTTCGAGAGCGTACTACGTTGCGATGCAAACAGCAATACAGTTTGCCAGCGCCAGCATCGATCGCGACCACAGCCGTGGCCGCCGAGCGGTACTACACCTCAACATAGACATCATTCATTCATTCATTCTCTCCCCCCCCCTCTGATACATTCGGCGCTCATTCGTTTGCCCTCGCCTGCGCCTCGGTGCGGTCATACCTGGTCGCTGTGATGGACAACTGTGTTGTACTGGGTTCCCCCGGAGGCAGGACCGCGCTCTTCTTTCCACCTCCTGCTCCTCTTTTCCCCCCTGCCTTGAGCTTTCCACCAGAGCTGCGGACCACAACACTCCTGCGGTCCTCCTCCCCTTCCCCCTCCTGCTCTCCCCCTCCCGCTGGCTTCTCTCCCTTCTCAGCCGCAGGGCCGCAATTTGCTGTTTCCATAGCCCTTGGGGTGGGAATCCTGCCAGTCGTCCCAGGCTCGCTGCTTGGCCTTGTCCTCCGCATCCTCCTCGTCGCTGTCCAAAGCCTCCTGGGGGTTTCACGAATATGCGTGCGTGTGCTACACCGTCAGGTTGTGGGATTAGTTGGTGGGGCTAGTGGGTGTTTGGGATTTGTATTCATCATGAGTGGAGCTGCCAGGTGGGAATTGGGTTGTGAGAGTGGAGAGATAGCACTCGAGTGACGGAGTGTGCGGGAGGACTCCACGGCAGCCAACAAGGCAGACATGTCGTTTCCCTCATCAAAAAGACCTCAAACGCGACGACCCGGAACCTCTCCCACACGGACTGCTTCAAGTTTAAATCCAGCCAACGAAATGCACCCGGAACACCCTCCCCCCCCCACACACAAACACACACAGGCACACACGCATTCATTAGCTCAGTGCATTTGTGCGCTTTTCACAGAGCACAGCTTTGCATGCGTGCTCCGCCACCCACGTACCACCCGCAACTACCCACCCGTCTCGCCCGCTCCTTCTCCTCCTGCCGCCGCTGCCGCTCCTCCCGTTCCAGTGCCTCGCGCTTCTCGATCTCGCCCGCCTCTTCCACGGTCAGCGTTGGCAACGTGTGGCTGGGCTTGAACACCTGTACATTCCAAAAAAACATTTTGTACAAACGTTACAAGAAAGGAAGATAAAAAAAGACGACATTCAAGGTCGAATTGAGCACCCTCCAGTGCTAGGCGGAAAGAAATGTTCAAACGCAGCACGGCACGGCGTGGACGGCCTCATCGATCCGTCGGAAAACACCATATCAGGCGGCACTTGTCGCCAGGAGACATGGGGGCGCTGATAAATCGGCGGCAGTGCGGCGGCGAATCATGCTGGCCAGCACTCCATTTCGCATGCACACGCACACACACACACACGCACACACGCACATACACGAAAAAAACTACGTGGAATCCCCCTCTTCATTCACTCCTCGTTCACATCCCAGACTGCTCCATATCCCCCCCATGCAGCTCCACAGTTTTCACCTTTTCCTTCCCCGCCCCCCAAAACACACACACACACACACAGACACATAATTCCCGACCCACGTTCTGTCGTAACTGTTCCCGCCGGTTTCCGTCCAGGTCCCGGCAGATGCTCCGAAGCCGGGACATCAACTCCGCCTTCTCCGCCTCGCTGGGGCCCCTGTCATCCAGAGGCCTGCTGCCGCCGCGGCTCGAGGAAGGGCCCGGTCCGGCCGTGGCTGCCGCCGCCTCCATTGTCGCAGCACACCGTAGAAGCTCCGCCTGTGCGTCATGCGCAGGTTCATCCGGATGTATGTCTGTTTTGCTTTGACGTCCAGAGGGAGGAAGTAAGGGTGGGCTGGGGACATTCCAACCTCATTCACCTAAGTGGGTGCAACAGAGGGGAGGATTTGCGTGCTGGACTACAACTTTCAACCTCCTTAATGCACCATCTGTGTACGGCTTAACACGCGTACGGCTTCGTACTTCCCGCCCCTAAACTTCCCTTCCCGTTGAGGACATGCACAAGTCCGTTCTCACGTCCGTCAAGGCGTATTAAAGGTGGAGATGTACGGGCATTCATCACCACCGCAAACTGCCATGACAACTACAACCGCACCACGATCGCTACCCCCCATCGCCACCGCCCCTCACCTCCTGCTTCAATGATGCCTGCAACTCCAGTGCCTGCAGCACCGCCAGCTCCACTCGCCAAATCCACAGCTGCCGCTCATCCTCATCGTCCAGCTCACCACCACCACCGCCTCCGCCTCCGCCAGCGCTGCCAACGCCCATTGCGGCGGCGCCAGCGCTTACCGCCGCCACGGCAGCTGCGTCTGCAGAGTCCGCTGCGGGTGCCGAAGCCCTGATCCCACGCGCACCCGCCTCGTCCTGCGGTAAAAAGTAGAGTTGAAGTGGGGTTGTTGCAGCAGAGGGGGGGGGAGCACGCGTGCAGTGACGGAAGGAAACACTTACACACGAGGAAAGTGGCGAAGGTAAAAGGTAGCCAGGTATATCTAGGCCAGGACTATGCAGACATATAGCATTTATGAAGCGCCAGCGGTACTAGGGTTACCAGCCGCACCTCCCGTTCCCGTGCCGCAGCCGCCAGTCGCCGCGCCTCAAGCGCCCCCAGTGCCGCATTGAGAGCCTTCTCCCGCTTGAACTTTTCGACCTGCCCGGGTATAAACAAACAAACACGAACCCACATGAAGCCGGTGTCATCAAAAGTGAGAAGAAAGGATTGCGGGGCGTGAGGGTTGGGAGGAGGGGAGAGAGAGAGAGAATGTGTGTGTGTGTGTGTGTGCGTTGGGGGGCAATGATAAATTAAGGGGAACACACTGTCAAAGCCCGGATCTGGTACGTGGACGAAAATACAAGATGAAAGGGTGAATCACGTGGCGCGCAGGAAGGTGGGGAGGAGGAGGTAAAGGACCAGGAAAAAGCATACGCGCTCTCCTGTACAGCCTTGCAGGAGGCCTTGCAGGAGGCCTTGCAGGAGGCTCACGTTCGACCTCTTTACTGGCATGGGAGGCAACTCCACACCCCTTGGGCTTTTTTGAACGTACTTCCACTCTGCTTCACAAGTCTACACGCCGACCCTACAAGATGTATTAATACTCCCCTACACCACAGGAATGGTGAGCCTTGTTCCCGATGTGCGTCAGCTCAACTAGAGAGTCTCCTGGAATCTAAGGCTGGTCCTTAAATTTTTTACTCTATTCTGACCCAAATTCGACACTTACCTTATATGCTCGCTTCGCTGCAGGATCCACAGGGGCCCCTGCAGCGGCACCCAATGCCGTACTGCCCAGTGCGCCCAGCAGGTCGTACTGCTCGCATCTGCACAGTGACCAAAGCCGATGGTCATGCACGGGCATGGTGCGGAAGGCCTCAGGTCGGGATCAGGACTCGCAGGAAAGAGAGTCAGCGCGCGTATGCGTGCGGCCGCTTGTTGAGGGTATGGGGACATTTGTAGGGGGGCTGTACGGAGGTCAGGCACAGAATTAAGGTTGACGCCCGGGTGCGCCATGGCCTGACACTCGCCTCTGGAGGAACGCCCCGAGCGCTGCGGCGGCGCGATTGACTGCGGCCAGGCGGAGACTGCTGACGGTCATGTCACCGTCGGTGCGCACGGGCGCCGCCGACAATAAATTCCCGAGGTAGAATGACATGAGTACATACTTGATATCTGCCGTTGCCAAATCGTCTTTATCTTCGTTTGAGCTAAACACACCCATAGATTCCACGAAGTTTTGCGTGCGTGAAAGGAGCGATATTGCAGAGTCGATCACATCAAAGTCCTTTGAAGCAACGAGATGGTCTTGCTGGGCATGGATGGCATGGCATCGGCTGTAGAGTACAGGTAGGGGTGGCCCGCCCTCTCCATCAGTGTTGGAGTTTAACATCGCACGTAAGGCATCCATGGCTTATTTTGGGTTAATATGTCACAAATCAAACAACTTAAGCGTTATAGTGATGCATACATGAAGACTGCTGAGTAGCAGTTAAGAAAGGGTGTCGACCATAAATCAAATAGCCAAAAGACAAGTGCTGAAAGCGATACTTGGATGCTCGATGTACATATAGATGCAGCAAGATATTGCTTCTTTGAGCAGGTCAAGTCTCAAGGGCCATCGGCCCATCGAGAAAAAAATGTCGGACGAACGTCGGTTGCAGCAGTTTGAATGCCCAACTCCAACCCTAGCAAAAGCACTACTCTTTCGCATATTACGTTAATCGGTCTTCCATCCCTTTTTGAGCCAGATCCCCGTAGGATGGGTTTACACACCGGAAGCCTCTGCGGAAGTCCTATTTTTCCAGGCAGCTGTGCAAACTAGGTTCAGGACTTGGACTAACAAACATAGGTGGGAATTTATCACCGTTTGCCTGGGTTCACTTCGTTGAAGCTGCAGTCAGTCGACTGGGTAGCAGTTGTTTAACCCTGGGGCGTGCAGTTTGCTAAATCTGTAAAGGCTGAGTTACTTGGTTGTGACGAAATTGACACTTCTTCAGACGGGCATCGTCAGATTGAAGTCTCCCAGAGGAAGGAGCGGAATTAGGATTTCGTGCTATACCATCATCTCATATGACAATTTTTGCGGTGGTCTCTAGGTCGCATAGATTACGAAAGAGGACTTTATGGCTCGCTTCTTTTTCCAAATACCCAGCAGGGGCTGAGGATGTTCGCTGTCCAAGGCCCAGAGCAGTCTTCAGCGCCGGACGACCAGCCACCTTCTTTGGCACCTTAACAATTTCCAGTCTGCTGCCGGTCCTCCTCATTTCTTCGGCCGTCGGTCCTTGGGCCGACTTACACCGAAACCCCAGCAGCGGGCCAGCGCAGCCAGCCAGACCATCGACACCAGCCAGCGCCGTCCCTCTCGGAGACCATGTTGCAGAGTAACCATTGCCTGGCGCACACGGGCGTCTTGCCTGCCACCGTGCCAGCCGTTGTCCCGCCTCACAGCATCCAGCAGCAGCACCACGTCCAGCAGCACCATGTCCACCACCAGCACCACCGCAACCACGCAACTACCTCCTACCCACACCCTGGGCAAACACCGGCTCTACCTCAGCTGCGTCCCCCTGTTCCCCTGGTTTCGGAGGCGGCAGCAGAAATGGAGGAGGCCGCTCAGCCCGCCAGCCCGCTTGACCCTGCCACCGCCGCCACGTCTCGATGGCCCGCCGCCGCTGCCGCGGCCCCTGCGGATGCCCATCCCCCGCCGGACTATCAGCACTTCGTGCCCCTGCCGCACCAGCGAGAGCGGCGCAAGAAGCTCCTGGACAGGTTTGCGTTCCGAGGGCGGCTGGACGCTCCCGGCGAAGAGCCCATCTTCGCCAAGGTGCGTTGTTGACGGACCAGCTCTCTCCAGCCCACCTGGGCTTGTCCCTAGTGCTCACCCTAAGGGACCACCCTAAGGGCCTAGACCCTAAGGGACCACCCTAAGGGCCTAGACCCTAGGGCCGCGCGGGTTTACGTTCCTGAGGAGACCGTGGGAGGGGTAGGACACTGATAAAAGGGGTGTGTGGTGTGGGTGCATGTGCATGAGTGCATGTGCATGTGTGAATTGGGTTCACGATGCAGAGGAAGGCGAGAAGAAGAATCGCGTGATGATTACGTCAGAAGTTTGGGGCCCCGCTGGTGAACGCGGACAAGTTATTAAGAAGCATGGTTAGAAGTCCTCATTGTCCGAACATTTCATTGAGTCAAGCACCCTGGTAAAGGCCCCCTGGTGCTGCTGCTGCTGCCCCTCTGCTGCAGACTGTGGAGGTGGAGGACGTTCGGGAGGGTCGGGCGGGTGAGGGCTTGCGCGCCTGGCTGGTGAACCGCCTGCTGCTGGACCCCTGCCTGCACCCGCCCAGCTGCAGGACCAGGAACGGATACCTGCTGCTGGCCTTCGAGGTATGCGCTGCGCGTGCGTGCATGTGTGTTTGTGCGTGCGTGCATGTGAGGAGGGAGGAGGTTAGGGGTGGAGAGGAGAGAACCGTGGACTGTGTGGAGCAGGGGGGAAGGGAGGGAGGGAGGGAGGGAGAGGGGACGTGAAAGAGGTTTCCGGGGGAAGTGGGGTGGGGAGGCGAGGGGGGGGAAGGCCAGGGGAATGTGTGTGCGTGTGTGTAATGAGTTTGAAATTATGTGATATCGCAAAAAATGTTCTCCATTGCCACACACGCAGGTGCTGTTCATGGGAGGGGAGTCGGTGCAGGTGGAGGTACCGTACAAGCACAGCGCGGAAGACACCACGGGCACCCACGGTATGGGGGGGCCCGGGGGGTAATGGCCTGAAAGAGGGGGTTGGGTGGATGCGTGCGTGCGTGGGACGGGGCTGGCCCATGTGGGCATGGTGGTATAGTAGAAAGCCATCACATATCTCAAATTTGCCAATAGTTGCTTGATGGTTGTGGGTTCCTACACCGATGTGTCCTACACTGACCCGTCTATGGGTCTTTATTATCGAGCTCCTTATCGGCCTCCTTATCGATGCATATATGTGCAGGCAACTTCGTGGCGGAGGTCCTGCTTCAGAGGTTGCACTCCAAGTTGCGTCTACGGGACGAGCTGGTGCTGTACCCCAAGACTGACAAGAACGTGTTTCAGGTACGGAGGAAAAAGTCGTTTTGGAGGAGTCAGTGTGTATGTGTAATGGTGTATGTGTGTGGACGTGTGTGTTGGGAGGGGAGAGGAGGGTGGAGGGGCCGCGGGGAAAGTTTGGATGGTAGAGTAACCGGGCAAGAGCAGCATCATACCACGCCTCGCATGCTTACCAACTCGCGGGAGCAAGAGCAAGAGAATATATATATATATATATATATATATATATATATACCCCTCAAGCCGTGGCGTGAGGTTACCTGCTGTGGGAAGGGGAAGGGGAAGGGGGGCCGGTTTCGGCCCCCTAGCAGGGGCATCGTGCACGGAGCACTGGCGGTTAGGGTGCCGCGAGTCCTCTCCCTTTTCGTTGTGCCCTTACAACAGCAACAGCAACAACAACAACAACAACAACACGGCCCCATGTCCAGCAGCTTGTAGCTTTGAACGTGTGGACTTGTCTTCCTTGACTGACTTTGCATACGTTTTCCCTCCACACTTAACAGGAGCGACATTGCTTTCCGTCCTTGTTCCACCGCTATTTGCCAGCCTTGTCTTTCAAGGTTATGTTGCTTTTATCACACCACATAACATGTCGCCCGTTCACAGCCTTCACATGTTTTTCCTTCCCATCACATTCGTTTTTCCGCTTCCTCCGTGAGCAGATGGTGGTGCTGCCCAACGTGTGTGCCGAGTGCCTGGAACCGATTGCGGACCGAGGTGCGGGAGGGGTGGGTGGGAGGGGGAGGACACCAACAAGGGAAGGAGAGCCATGTGGAGTAGTGTGCGGTAATGACCTGAAAAAGGAAGCTGCCGAAGCTCTGTACGTTGTGGATACTGGATGGCGGGGGGGGGGCAGGCAAGGATGAAAAGTACTCCCTGCCAGCCATGTAAAATGCGCGCTTATGTGTGTGTGTGTGTGTGTGTGTGTGTGTGCGCATGCGCGCGCGTGTGTTACGTGTGTGTGTCTGTGTGTGCGTCTGTGTGTGTCTGTGTGTGTGTCTGTGTGTGTCTGTGTGTGTGCGTGAGTTTAGGTTTCAACGGGAGAGAGGCGCGCACCGGCCGGGCGCTCTTCCACATAGCATGCAACGTGGCCCGGGCAGCAGGGGCTCTGTCCCGGCCTTGGCGTACCTCCCTCCCGCTCCTTCCTTCTCCTGGCCCTGCCGCCGCGGCCGGCCCCGCATTATTACATTCTCTTTTCCCTCCTCCTCCACCTCCTCGCTCTTCATGAACACATTCCCCCGGCCCTGTTGTTCGCGTACTTGTAATACGTAAATGCAATTGACAAATTTCCACATGAAGGCTTTCCTGAAGGCCTTATGAATGCCTTACGAGGCCTTATGAGGCCTTATGATTACCCGCTCTCCTGGAACTCTGGTTGGAAGACCTGGCACGTCCTGCTTAGTGTGGGGTCCCCCCGTGCAGCTTTACTCGTTCGTAGTTCGTCTTCCCCCCCTCCCTGTGCCCTGTGCTTCGCGCTGTTACCCTTTCCCCAGCTCCACCCCCCCTTACAACCACCTCTCCTTTATGACTTACCACTCCCCACCCCGCAGAGGACGAGGCCCTCATCTGCGACAACTGCTATGACTTTGTGGACCTGGGCTGTTGCGGCATGGCGGAGCTGCCGGAAGGTGTGTAGGTGTCCTGCGGCCTAGGCGTCGTACATGTCTGCTCCACGCGTCTGAGAGTCTGTTGTTATTTGAGCGTGCATGCGCGGACGCATTGGGGGCATGTTTTTTGGCGGGACTGGAAGCGATGTTCTCATCAGGGTGCGTGTGGGGATGCATGGGTGGTAGAGCTGTCGGTGGGTGTGTATGTGCGTACGTATGTACGTACGTGGCTGGCTACACGCCTTGCGGTAGCCGATTATACGGGTGCAATGCTGCGCTGGCCGTGTTTCCATAAGCCGTGTTTGGCCGCTTCCCCCTCCCCCTTCCCCCTTCCTTGGCAGCAGCTTCACTCGTTTGTGGTTCGTCTTTCCCTCTGTCCCCCCTTCCCGTTCGCTCAGTTCTGCTCCTTGGAAGCAGCTTCACTCGTTCGTGGTTCGTCTTTCCCCTGCCCCTTCCCTATGTCCCCCCCTCCCGTTCGCGGCATCGGACGTCATGGCAGTGCGACTCTTCGTTGTTTTCACACCATCTGGTTTGGACCTCCTTTCCCCGCCCTGCCCCCCCCCTCGCAGCTGACGACGGCTGGCGCTGCCGCTGGTGTCGAGAGGGAGAGTCGTACGGCGATGTAGGGCCGGAGGCCACCATGACGGAGACGGGGACGTTAACTTGTACGGCAGGGACAGCCGGGGGCCCCGCGGGCCGGTCAGTACTCCAGGGCGCGGGTGCTGAGCCCGAATACGACCCAGACACGGCGACAACGCTCGCGGCGCCGTCGCCCTCCGCCCGGGGCTGGCGCAGGCGCAGCAGCGGCAGCGGCGGTAATGGTGGCGGCGATGGCGATGGCGACAGAAGGGGAGGAGAGGTACGGGCCCGGTCGTTCAGTGGGGACGGGCGGGGTGTTTCAGGATGTTTGGGCTCCTGTGGAATGATAAAGTTGTGGTTGCCTTACGGCGTTACGGAGAGAGTTGGTTCTCCTATTCCCTCCTCCCTCAGCGTGTCATGAAAAAGCACACGCGCTTCCTGGCTTGCTGGTCATGGACAGCAGCGACTCTTCGGACAGCTGTAGGGGCCGCCAGGGCTCACGGGGCTGAAGTCCCATGCGCCATCTCTTCCCCCCTTAACCCTAGGCCGCTGCTACTGTTACTGTTGGCGCTGGCGGTGCTGCTACTGCCGAGGCTCCGGAGCTGGTTGCTGATGCGGACAGCGGCGCGCCACGTAACGGCGGTCCCGCCGCTGTCGCGGCCGCCGCGGCCGCTCCGCCGGCAGCTGGAAAGGCGGGAATCGCAAGTGATGTGGCGGCAGCTGCTGGTGAGCTAGCTGTACTTGTTAGTTACCCGGCGGGACTCGCCGGCGTGCTGCTGGCGCTTGGACCTTTCCCTCCTACCTATGGCGCTGATGTGATTGTGATAAATCTCGTGTCTGACGGACATACATACGTACATATGTATGTATGTATGCATACGTATACATATACGTACCTACGGGATTGCCTTTGTAGAAGCATCTAGGGTTTGATGCTTCCAGACGCCGTCAAGGGCACATGGCGCTAACGCGTTTTGGTAGATTCATATCTGCTGCTGCTCCTGAGCGGATGTCGTGGGTATCCGGCCTGTCCTTCGCCTTGGCTCCGTAACGACCGCAGGTGACGTGTCCCTGGTGGCGGCGATGGCGATGACCGCGGCCTGTCCGAGTCCTGCGCGAGTACCTGAACCGGCGTGCACTGCCGTCGGAGAGGGCTTGGCGGCGGCGGCGGCGGCGGCTGTGCACGTGGTGCTGCCGCCGCCACCGCCGCCACTACCCCAGCGCACATCTCCAGAAGTAGCAGCGGCGGCCATGGCAACAGTACCGCCGCAACCACTGCCGCCGCAGCGGCAGCCGGGACAATTGCCACCACCATTACGAGCGCAGCCGCCGCCGCCGCCGCCGCCACCGCCGCCGCCGCCGCCCGCGGAGCCGCCTGCATCACGGCCAGAGGCAGCAGGATCATCAGTGGTGCCGCTTCCCGCTCCGAAACTGCCTCTGCAACAGCCGCTGCACCAGGCTGTGGCGTGGCAAGCGGCGGCGGCGGCAGTAGGGCCCGGCTTGGGCTCGGTTGCTTTACAAGCTGTGCCTTCGCAACCTTCACAACCTGCGCGGCAGCCGGAGGCGGTGACGGAGCCGCCGCTTCCTACACCGCCACCTCCGCCGCTGCCGCCGCCACCGCCACTACCACCGCACCCATCGCCGCTGCTGCCACCACTACCACCGGTGCTACAGCAGCCCAGGGCGGAGCCGCAGCTGGAAGCGCGCCAACCACCGCTGCCTCCTTTGCCGCCACCGCCGCCACCACCGCTGCCCTCTTCGCCACCGCCGCCATTGCCCCCGGAACCTGAGCCACCAGTACCGCCGCATTTAGAGCCACAGCCACAGCCACCGCCACCGCCACCCCAGCAGCAGCAACAGCAGCAGCAGCTGCTATTACAGCTGCTGCTAGGCAGCGCAGCTCCAGCTCCAGCTCCCCAGGATGGGCTTGGGCCCGCCTTGGTGGGGTTGCCGGAACCCATGCACGTTGCCGCCGCGCGCGAAGCACTTAGACCGCCGCCGCCACAGGAGCAGCAGCAGCTGCAGCAGGAACATCCGCCCTTCAGAGGCCGTGGTGGTGACGGCGGCGGCGGCGGCGGCGGTGGTGGTGGTGGTAATGATGAGATGCTGACGGGTTCCCGTATTGAAGCGGCGGGGACAGCAATGGCGGCTGTAGCGGCCTCCGGCAGGACGGCTGAGCTGCCGGTCCAGGGATCCCGCGGAGTGGGTTTCCTCGCGGCGGCGGCAGCAGCACAGGACGGCGGACTGCTACAGCCCCTAGGCCCTTCGTTTGAACAGGTCATTGCAGCGGCGGAGGCACAGCCGCTACAGCCGTCGGCGGCAGTACCCCTCCCGCCGCCGCCGCCGCCGCCACAGCCGCAAGAGCAGCAGCAGCAGCTACAGCCATACAGCTGGCCTCCAGCGCCGCCGCAGCCGCCGGACTTGTGCTCACCCCTCAGCTTTAGCTCAGTATCGGCCGGATTGTCAAGTTTCGGAGGTCATCATCATCATCATCATGGTGCAGCTCCGCTGGCTAGCGGCGGTGTTGCCGTTGAAGGCCCCGCTGCCGCGAGCACCGGCCCAATATGTCGAACGGAATCACACTCGCTGCAAGCGCTGATGATGACCGTGGAGGTCACTGCGGGGGACGACGACATCGCCAGCAGCGGTCTACCAGATACTCTCCGTACGGCAGAGGCTGCCGTACGTGAGACCGCCGCGGTGGCGCAAGTAACATCTCTTGCTCAAGCACAGGCTGCCCATGCGTACGCTAGCGCCGCGGCGGCGGCGTCAGTTGCGCTGGCATCAGCGGCGGTGGCGTCGCCGCCGCAGCCTCGGCCGCCGCCGCCACCTCCTGCTGATGCGGTAAGGCCGCCTCCGCCTCCGCCTCCGCCACCTCCGCCACCTCAAGGTCCGCCGCCCGCCACCGCCGGGTTCGTGCCGACGACATATGGCCCAACTTGGGACCCAGCGCTGCGGTCTGGTCCGCAGGGAACAGGTATAGGGTATGCTCCTGGTATCGGCCAAATGATCCCCATGGATCAGCTGTTGCTGCATCCCCAGGCTTACTCCCGCCTGCCGGCGCATCCGTATCCGCAGTCTCCGCTGCTACCACCGCCGCTTCCTTTGCAGCTGCCACAGCATCAGCATCAGCAGCCGCAGCAGCCACCCCCGCCGCCGGCCCCACCACCACCGCCGCGGCCGCCACAGCATGAGCAACAGCAGCAACAGCAGCAGCAACAGCAGCAGCAGCCCTTCCATCAGCAGATGCACCAGGCGCATCACCAGTTCTTCGCGCAAGCTCAACAGTATCTCATGCAACAGGCATCGGTGGTGGGGGCAGTGGGGCCGCCGTACATTCATCAAGCTCCATTGGGACCAAGTCCTCCGGCGGCGGCGCCGCCGCCGCCGCCCCATTCACCACTGCCGCCGCAGTTACGGAAAGCGGGGCAGCGCGGTCCGCTACGACAGTTCTCTGCAGCGCCACCACCACCGCCGCCGCCGCCGCCGCCGCCTCCTCCAGCCGCCGGACGGTTTAGTCGCAGCGCTTCGGCGGGCGTGACACGGGCGGTCGCTGCAGCGGCGGCAGCGGCAATGTACGAATCCGACGACGGCATTTGGAGGCCTGACGCGACGGACGATGATTCGATATCGGTGGCGGACCCTAGTAGCGACGACAGCGGTAGTGATTACGATGCACGGGGCCGCAGCGCGCGGGGCCGGGGGCCTCGTGGGGGACGAGGGCGAGGCTCACGCGGACGGGGACGCAGCCACAGCCAAGGCCACACCGCGGGTCGTGTGCCACGGGGCCGCGGTCGGACGTCAGCAGCCAGCGTCTACAACTACAACGTGGATGCTTGCGCGGAGGACAGCCTTACACCGCTCCGTTCACGGGCAGCCGCTGCCAAGGCCACCGGCAGAGGAGGGACACATGCGAGTATGGCCGGTGATACTGCCGCCGCCGCTGCCACCGCCGCCGCCGCCGCCATCACCACGCCAAGCCCTTCCGCCCTGACGGCGCAATCCCCCCTGGAGGGCGCGGGCGCCGTGGGGCCCTACACGTCCCTGCGAGATGGTTGCGAAGAAGCGGTCGGGGGTGGAGGCGGCGGGGGTCCCGGAGGTCCATTGCTGGCGGAGCTGGGTGCTATTGCCTCAGCTGGTGGCCTCGCCGCCGTCGGCCCCTCTGCGACCGCGGCCGAGGCCGAAGCTGTCGCCAACGGAGGCGGCCCCGACTCCCTGGTCTACCTGCAGATGCTGTCGGCAAAGGTGGCCGGGCATCCGGCACCGCAGATTGCCCTCGAGAGTCCCGTTCCGGCCGTTTCGGAGGCGTTACCAGCCAGGATTCCAGAACAGGATGGAGCTGCTGGACTCGCGCTGGGCGCTGGCGGTGAAGCTGCTGCTGCCGTGGCGGCAGCGGCGGCGGTAGCGGCGGTAGCGGACAATGCCGCCATTACTACTTTGCCGCCAGTGGGCGTCACAGTCGCCGCTGAGCTGACGGCTGTTGCGACGGATGCGGTTCCGGCGGCGGCTGTGGCAGCGGGGCCCGAGGTGCCAGCCGCCGCCTCAGCCCGACCGGAGCGCATGGCCCTTGAAACAGAGCCGGCAGTGACGTCATCATTGAGGGACGACCCTTTGGTGGCAACATCGAGCACAGGCGTCTTGAGCGCTTTGGTAGCCGAGGAAGTAGCTCCAACACCGCCGCCGCCGCTGGTGGCCCCGCCGCCGCCGCCGCCGCTGGTGGTGCCGTCGGGGCTGACATCTGAGGCAGTGGGAGAGCCCAGCGCGACTGGTGGTGCAGCCGAAACGTCGGCGTCAAGTGCCTTGGGCGAGCCACACCGGGATCTGGGACAACCCATCAGTTGTTCATCTACCCACCCGCAACAACAGCAACAGCAGCAACAGCAGCAGAAGAAGGACGCCGGAGGTTCCAGACCGGCTGCGGAGCAGCCGCGGCGCCCGGGCACGACATTACGAATCCGTTTTCGTGGGGGCTTGGGTGTGCCACCATCCGCCGGGTTACCTTCCGCCGCTGCTCACGCTGCTCCAGCGAAGCATGCTCGCCCTCCGCCGCAGCCGCAGCGGCAGCGGCAGCCTGTTAATGCTGCTGAAGCAGCGGGTACCTTACCCCCAGCCTGCAACAGACCCGTGGCAGAAGCGCCTGGCGTGCCTGAGGCGGCGGCCGTTGCGGTAGTGACTGAAGCCGCCAATGCTGACGGCGCTGCCGCTGGCCCGAATAAGCGAGGCCAAGCGTCGGGCCAATGGTTAAGCACTGTTGGTGTTGCGGTGGATGCCGGAGTTGGTGGTAGCGGTGGCGGCGCTGCTACTGGACCTGGCGTCAGTGCTGGCACTGACCCCGGCGCTGCGGATGCCGTGGCGTCAGCACCACCACCAGCACCACCACCACCGCTGCCGCAGCCGCTACCGCCACCGCCCATGGTGCTAGGTGAACAAGCGCCATTGGGTGCTGCAGCAGCAGCGGCCGCACTGCTGGAGGCAGCTCCTACAGCCGCGGACTTGAGCGGCGTGCAGCAGCAGCAGCAACAGCCTGTGCCGCCTGCTACAGCGGAAGCAACCCTAGCTGAGCAGCCACAACTGCGATCACAACCACGTCCAGCGTTGCCGTTGCAACCACCGCCGTCGCCGTCGCCGTCACCGGCACATCAACTGAGTCAACACCAGCAGCAGCGCTTGCTGACACAACCATCATCACCATCACCGCTGCCACCGCCGCCACCGCCGCCACCGCCGCCGGTGCAAGATGAATCAGGCGGCCTTGCCTCACTCTCATTGCTACAGCCGCTTGGCTCTGGCCAAGCCATCGGACCGGACATGGACGGCATTGAACACGTAACAGCGGATCTTCAGCTGCGGCTGCAGGAGCCGGAGCTGACGCTGCAGGAAGGAGGAGGAAGGGGGGGGGAGCCTTCAGCTCCGGCATCTGAGGATGGCCTTGGCGGCCAGGTCGCCGCGGATTCAGCACTTGTCAGCTCAGTAGTGACGGTGACGGCGGTGTCGGCGTTGGCGGATGTACAGCCATCGCGGGCGCCGGCGGCCCCGCCGCCTCAGGCCTCCCCCGCACAGCTGGCGGCTGTGCAACAGCCTGTATCGTTGCCTCATGAGCAAGGTGAGGACCGCGATGGCGGCGCGGTGCTCGATACTGAGTTGGCAGTGGTAATGGACGGCGGTTCGGCGGGAGTGGTAGCCGGGTTTCAGGGGACTGCCGGCGCGGCTCCGGCAGAAGCAGAGGCTGCTGGCAGCGGCCGCATTAGCGACGGCACAACTCACTCTGCTACGTACTTGATTGCTGCCGCAGCTGACTCTGTTTTTATGGAGGCTGCTGTCGGGGCTGCAGCGGCGGCGGCATCATCTGCGTGGACGCCGTTGTCAGACATGATGCTTGAGCAGGTAGTAGAGCGCCCTGGCGACGGCAATGGCACGCAGCTGCCGCCGCCGCCACCGCCGCCACAGCCGCCGCCACTCCTGCCACCAACACAGCCCTTAACCCTGGAAACTCCCGATATTCCGCCATTGCCACCTCCTCTGCTAGAGCTACTTTTGCAGGCGTCACAGCGGCAGTTCCCCACATCGCCGCTGCCGGAGCAGCAGGCGGAGCTGCAGCTACAGCTACAGCTACATTTAGAGCAGGAGCTCCAGCAGGAGCTCCTGCAGCACCAGCAAGCGCGACTTCAGGAAGAGGAAGAGGTGCTGGGCGGGCGACAGGGGGAAACTGGCGGATTCCCCTCTGGGAAAGCCGATGCAGCAAACACCGGATCGCCCGTGAACCCTGCGGAGGCATTGGAGAGTGCGGTCCGAGGGGAGGACGCCGGAGAGTCGGAGGAAACACAAGCACCCTCAGGGATGGCGCCGGCGGCGCCGGCAGCAGCAGCAGCAGCAGCAGCAACACAGGTATTGGATGGCACCCTATCGCGCGAACCAAGCCGACCGAATGGCAAGCTCGTCGAGACCGAGTGTTCACCAACCGGCAGGGAGCCTTCACCGCAGCTCCCACTGCCGCCTCCGCCACCGCTGCCGCCATCACCACCGCCACCGCAGCCGCCGGAAATCCCCGCTGCTACTAATGCACAGGTCCCGCAGCCTGTCCCAGATTCGCCGCCGGAGGACACCCCAGCAGCTGTGCCAGCACAAGCCATGGAATTCGCATCAGCAGCTGCAGCGGAACCTGCCGGCGGCGCTGAAGATGACCATGTACCGTCCGCGCCACTGACGACTTGGCCGTCACGGCCCTCCCCGCAGCATTTGGAGCGGCCATCGTTGCCCTGGGGCAGAGGCCGGAGCCCCACCGGGGGCCCACAAACGCAATCGCAAACGCGAACACCTCTCCCCGGCACCGAAGATGGCACCGAAGATCAGGCGGCGGCACTGACGGCAACAGGTGTGGTAGGTATAACAAATGATGGAGGTGGTACAGCAACCGCAATTGCAGCTGCAACAATTGCAGCATCAGCACCGGCAGCGTCAGCAGCAGGAGAAGAGGAAGGAGGAGGTGTACCCAGCATCGCACCTGCAGTGCCTGCTCCTGCTGGCCCTGCCCCACCCCCTGACGGCGTCTCTGTGAACGCGAGTTGGATTGCCCACGAGACGCCCCCGGCGACGGCGGTAGCAGTGCAGCAGCAACCTACACAGCGGGTAGGTCAAAAAACGCCGCAGCAGCCCCAGCGGGTGCAGCCACTAAGGCAGTCTCGCCTGCCGGCGGCCCCTATGCCGCGTTTTCCCAGTGCCGCTCGACTACCGGAGTCTGTTGCAGCCTTGCTCAACACCTCTGATGTAATGGCCAACGGCGGCAGCGGCAGCGGCAGCGGCGTTGGGATAGGCGCCATGTCGCCGGTGAAGGCGGCAGCGGCGGCGGGGGCGGCGGCAACGGCAGCGCATCCGGCTAGTACGGCGGCGTCTGTGGCGTCTGCGGTGACGGTCGCCCCGGCAGCGGCACGGGGCGCCACGTCCTGTATTGCGTCGCCGCCGACCTTGCCATCGCAACTTTCAGGCTGTTTCCAGCCTGGTGCCGTTGCGTTTCGCCCTGTAGGGACCACAGTTGGCAGCCTCCGCTCGAAGCGCATAGCAGGATGCGCTGTGTCTCTGGATGCGGGTACTGCTGCGGCTCCTGCGGGTGGCGCAGCCCGGGCCGGTGGGAACGTGGTCACAGGCACCTGCATTGGTGCCAGCAAGGCGGCACCGATGCCCACACGATCGCGTGCAAACCCGTCCGTTGTTGTGCCAGATACGGACGGGGATTCGGTAGCTGCAGCACCAGCACCGGAACCAGCAGCAGCTCCAATGGCAGCAGCACCCTTAGAACCGCCCGCACCAGCAGAACCGCCACCGCCCGCACCAGCACCAGCTGCAGCACCAGCGCCAGGTAAAACACTACCACCAGCACCAGCTGCAGCGCCAGCACCAGAAACGCAAAAAGATACCGAAGCAACAACACGAGCAGCGTCAGGAACAACAGAGCAAGCGCCGCCGCGGGCCCACCGTGAGGAAGAGGACGGGGGGCGAGATGCAGCCAGCGGCCGGGGACGGGGCCGTGGTCGCGGCCGCGGCCGCGGGAGAGGCAGAAGCAGCAGCGGTAGGCTGGAACCGCCGCCGCCTGTGCTGCCGCCGCCATCGGAGCAGGAACCTGACGGCGCTGTCCCCGCTGGTCATGGCGGCCCCTTTGGAACGGGAAAGGCGACACTCAGGCCCGCCGTGCCGCCGCCTCCGCCACCAGTTGACCCGGCGCCGACGGTGCCACAGCAGCTAAGTGGTGAACGGGATCCCAGAGGATTGAGTGGCACGGATCGGCCCTCCGCCACAACAGCCGCAACAGCGGACCACCTCTCAGCTGGGAACGCCATCAACGCTGCAGGAGTTTCAACCGGGGGCAGCGGCCGTCGCAGCAGCCGTACGACTCTAACGGCTCGAACGGCAGGTTCAGAAAAGTCAGGCAGGGAACCAGTCCATGCAGGAGCAATGGCTATCGTACCCGAGAATTGCATTGACGGGTTGCCGTCCGCCGCTGTAGCCGGGCAGGGTTGCGGCGGCGGTGGCGGCGGCGTTGCTGGTGGCCATTATAGCGGGGAAGACAACGGTCTTGTCAAAGATCCTGTCGTGATGGTACAGCCGCCGCGGAAGCGAAAGCGGCTCATGCAGAACAGCTCGCCAGCTGATGCGCCTGCTGCGGCTCCCGTATCGCGGGAGCCCGTGGATGTTGACCTGGAGGGCTCGGAAGGCATAGCAGCGGATAAGGTCGTCTACGCACAGCCCTCCCACCCGTTACAGCCCCGCGCGCGCAGCAACGGAAACGCAGCAACGGCTGCGGCCCAACCCCGCCGGCGTGGCAGAAAGCGCCTGAGTCGGCACGTTGTTCTCTCCGATGGCGAAAGCGGGGGGGAGGGAGGCGAGGAAGCGGCGGCGCGGCCGGGCCCAAGGACGCATGCGGTTGTTGTGGACCATGGATTAGCTGGGGAGGGCAGTGACGACGTTACTGGCCTTGGCGGAGATGTGGACGGTGGTAGCAAGGGCGGCGCTACCAGGCGTGCCGTGGCTAAGCGCGCCCCGCCGGAACCTGAAGAGGAGCCTTCAGGAACTCCAGCACGTAAGGCTCGACGGGCACGGGGCGGCGGAGGCGGAGGCGGAGGCGGAGGCGGAGGCGGAGGCGGAGGCGGAGGCATCGACCAAGCCCGTCTACCCGCCACGGTGGAAGCGGCGACGGCGCCGGGCGGTGTTCCAGCAGAAGCGGAGACGGAGCTAGCGGCTGGTACGGCATCGGCTGCCGCCGTCGTGGCGGAATCCGTTGCAGCAGGTGCTGCTAGTGTTGATCTTGCGGCCGCAGCGGCCGCAGCGATTTCGGGTTTTGGGCGCGTGGAGGAGCATGCCGCTGGCCGGCGACGGCGACGTGGGGAGGGCCAAGAGGGCGTTGCCGAGGGCAGCAGGAGGGTTGAGGACGGCATCGCCGGTGGGGCCGAGGGCGCGAGTCCGCGTCATGTTGGCGAGGAGCAGGAGAGCGAAGAGCGCGAGGGCCCCCCAAGAAAAAGACGGGTGGGCCGCCCGCCGGCCGCGGCGAAGCGGGCAGCCGCCCTGGCTGCACTCAGGCCTACTTCCGAGCCCGGCACACGGGCTACGGGCGACGAGCAGGATGCGGCGCCGCCACCACCGCAGGAGCTGCCATGCCTCCCGCAGCCCTTAACGGAGGACGCGCAGACTGAAAAGGACTCCTCATCGAGGCTGCCGTTACGACCGTCGCCGCAGCAGGATCTGCACCAGCAGCGGCCGCTGCGTTTGCAGCGGCAGCGGGCACGGCGGTCCTTGCATGCTGGGCGCGGCGGCGCGGATCAGCCCCTGCCGCAGCCGCAACTCCACGACCTGTGCGATCCTCACCATCCCCAGGACAGCCAGGAGGCGGCCAGGTCGCCGGCTGCGGCCAGGCAGCAGCAGCAGCCGCAGCTGCAGCGGCGGCAGCAGCCAGGGGAGGCCATGCCGTCGGTGCCGGCAGTTGGGGAGCAGCAAGATGACCAAGCGGAGCAACAGAGGCGGCAGACAACGCAGGCATCGCATCCTCTTGTGATTCGGCATCCTTCTCCCCCTGCTGATGAACTTTCCCTTTCGGCAGCCCAGCAGACACAGCCGCAAGAGCAGTCCCAACCTCCGCAACCACCGCAACCGCAGCCGCCGCCGCCGCAGCAGCAACAGCAGCAGCACCAGGAACTGGAGCTGGAGCAACAACAGCTGGCGGGGCAAGTAGCTCTCCTGTGGCCGCAGCCGCCGCAGCAGGAGCTGTGGGACCAGGTACCGTTACGGCAGTTACGGGAGGGCTTCGGGGCCGGGCGCCCGGTTAGCGGGGTCGGATTGTTGGCTGCATGGCGCAGGGGCGTGGCTTTGACGGGTCTGCCTCTAGAGGAGCCGCGTGGGGGCTGAGGCGCAGTTTTGTAATTGTATGCCTATGGAACTGCAAGTGCTGCGAATCGAACTGGGGATTGCGTCGGTTTGTGCCGTAACTGCGCCCCCCTGCTGGGCTGCGCAGTGTAGGAGATATGCGGTGTGAGTATACGCGTGCGGGGATCCTTTTTAAGGACAGCACATGACCTCATGGCAGGCACTTTGGCTTCCTCCAGTGCGTCCGTCTGTCTGTCCGTCTGTCTGTCTGTCTGATCTGTCTGCCATCAGCTGAACCTTCCCCTTTGTTCTCCCGCCACAGGACGCGCGGTTGGCTCGGACCGATGCCGATAGCCGCGGTCGTGCGCTCACGGGCATCAGCGATGACGGGACTGACCACCTTGTGCCGCTGCAACACCACCACGACAACCGCCAGAACCAGCAGCAGCAGCAGCAGCAGCAGCAAGGGCTGCAGCTGACGCATCTGCACGCGTTTGAACGAATGGTTTCGGAGCTGCAGGCGGGCATGTTGGAGCTGCAGGCCAGAGCGGACATGGCGGTGGACCGGGCGCTTGCGGCGGAGGGCCGGGCGTCGGAGGCGGAAAGTCGGATAGCGGAGATGGAGCGCCGCGTGACGGAGATGGAAAGCTCCACCGCGGATCTGCGGGCAAGGACGGCGGCGGCGGAGGACCGGGCGGCGATGGCGGAGGGCCGGGCAGCGGCGGCGGGCGACCGGGCAGTGATGGCGGAGGACCGGGCAGCGGCGGCGGACGACCGGGTGGCGGCGGCGGAGGGCCGGACGATGGATGTGGAACAGCAGCTAGCGGCAATGAAGGAGCGAGCCCTGGGGCTGGAGGACCGGGTGACGGAGCTGGAGACGGGGTTGGCCGCGGCGCACAAGAAGGTGAGGAGTCCTGGGTGGGTCGGTGAGTCCGCACCGCACACCCCAGGGTTATGAAGGCATTCCGTATGCAGCTTACATGCTTCGCTGTTGTTATTTTGGTCACCAACATAACAGCCCACCACCCCTCCATTCGCCCTGCGTGTTTTCGTTCATGTCCTGAACTCAACTTTTCCCTCCTCCTGCAGGAGGAAGATTACGTCGCCTTCGTCACTGCAATTACTTTGGCGCTTGCCAACGCCCGGGAGCGGATCTCTCTCATACACCTGGGGCTTGAGCCTGGAAGTCAGCAGCAACAGCAGCAGGCACACTCGGAGGTTGTACTGGAAGCGCCGGAGGAGGCGGCCGCCGATGCCGATGCCGATGCCGCCGCCGCGGCAGCCGCGGCTGCGGGTCCGGGCCCATCTAATCCGACGTTGGCACTGCAGTTGTGCAGTGTTGGTAGCGGTCGTGTCTTGGCGGGTAGAGAACCCGGCAGTGGCTTTGCGGCTGGGGGATGGGTCTAGGCGACGGAGCAGGGTGTAAAAGAACAAGTGACTGTTGCGATTAAAGAAAGCCCTCTGGTTAGAGCGTGCATGGAGTGCTGTGCTGTCGGGTGTGGTACGTGTTCCAGCGGCTAGCAGGCGCAGATGCAGGTGGGACCATGACCCCAGAGCGCTGGGCGGGTGAGGGGGGGAGAAGACGGGAGACTGGACCGACGCCTAGGAGAGAGAGTGTGCATGGTCGCCATGTAGGGCGACTAGGGGCCCCGGGTTTTGCACCTTGCAGCTATGACTAGAGCGCGACAGTGAGATTGTGGCCTAGTATAAGTCTATGTGTTTTTTGCTTTTTTCTTTTGCATCGAGCGGCTGTTTTTTGCGTGATTGCGCGCCTGCTTACCCGCATGCATAAAAGTATATATATTATTTTTATAACATACATGCGGGCTCGGGGGAATTGTGACCTCGGGTTTCCAGCGCTGACCAGGCAACTGGTAAAGCGAGATGTTGCCTGTTAATCTCTTCACACCTTTGGACGCTACCGCGCCTAATGCTGGCTGTTGACTCTCTTTTTCGACTTCTTGGCCTTTTCCACAAGCATGACTTTGACCTGCATATCTTTGACCTTTTTTTTACCCCTCGACCTTTTCAACTAGGTTGAACTTGACGGACGGACAGATGCATGATGACGGGTAGGGGATGGTTACGCAAGTTGAGGTGCTACGGGTGCTGATGCTGCCGTGTGCCGTACATACACGGTACGCTTAGGCTGCGATGCTCAGACTAGGCTTTTTTTTCGAGATGCGGTTGTGACTGTACCGAGCTGAATGTGGCAAGGCCGTCCGTTGGTAGTTGTTCGTTTGTTCGTTACCACGTTGGCGGTGTACCTTGCATAACTGTTTCTGTATGTGTGTTTCATGTTCGGTTGAGTCCTCTGGGTAGTGTATGTTGAGGGGAACAACACTACTTCAACTCTCTCTCTCTCTCTCTGTTTGAATGGAACATTGCTTACGTCAAATGCAGGGCACTGTGTATATACGTATGTATGTTCGTGTGTGTGTGAGAGAGCGAGTGTGTGTGTGTGCGCGCATACGTTGTGGGCGCTGTGGCGGGGCATGGTATCCGGCTCGTATGGGCCCGTTGCACATTCGGAGAGTAGAGCAATTCAATGTGTATGACACACACACACAAACACGCACAAGCGCGCGCGCGTTGATAAGGGAGAACGGATAGGATTCTGACCGATATAACGCCCCTCCAACGATGGAGTGCTTCGGCGGTCGTTTCCGTCGGGGTACGGTAAGGTGCCCTGGCCAGCGTCAGGCCCGGATCGATACATGTAACAGAGGCACACATACACACACATGCCCGCACACGCACACACACACACACACACACACACACACAATTTGACACACATTTTGACACACCTCTTATGATATGATGTACCTGCATGATGGAAAAGGCTACTAGAAGAATACTGCAGGTTGCACGCAAGACATGGACTTCTTAGCCTGAGGAACCATTATTCGTAAGCCTTCACTCCATTTTGATTGGGACTGGTACTTCTTCTACTCCACTCACTTAGTATACGGTAATTGGTAAGAATCGGGGTCAACAGCAGAGTTTTGCGATCACATCGCCGAATGCGTTGCTTTCTATGATTTAGAAAAATGCGCTAGCAATCAGGACAACCATGACTTCCTTTTAACCCGCCCGGGGCCTAAAGCCTTTCGGAGGTAGTACCGAATCTCGAAAACCTCCAAAGTTTTCCACCATGGCATAACCAATCTAATATATTGGGTTCTCTTTGGGCAATTTAATTGATTTTCTCTTTCTGTATTTCTTCCCTGGGTTCGTGGTATAAGCTAGAGGCCAAACAATGGATACGATATTCCGGAGCACGAATTTCCTTGGTTCCCTGTTGAGGCTGTTTTTTCTGATGTCTTGCTTTTCGCTTGAGTATCCTGGAGGCAAGTCGAGAGCCATTCCATTACCTGCGAAGCGCAACTTGAAGCGCAACATACCTCCCTTGAAGCACTATGTTACAAGCTTCCCTAGTAACTATGCATTGGTCTGGATGCACCTGACTGACGATCATATAACGTACTGTATGTCTAAAAAGAAGAAACGCTTTCCTTAATGCTGTTTCTGTCGTACACTTCGGCAACAATATGGAAAGCGCGGAAATTTTTTCATGTATCAGGATTCCCATCTTCAGTTTTAGGCAACTTAGGCAGTGTTAGGTACCGTACGCGTGCTCCATCATTTCATACTTCTAGCATTACCAACGTCTATTCGCCTAGAAGACGCAACGCTCGCAACCCGAAGTTGCCGCTAGCGCTTGACAAAGACTGGCTTTTGCCAACAATACTTACTTAGACTCCTAATTTACTGCTGCATACTGGAAACTGAAAGCTTGTGGTCAGCTGCAGTCGTTTGTAACGAAGTCAGCCGCAGCTGCTGGTTCTTTCGGGAATTGTGCTCCCGGTCAGGTTCTTCCAAAGCCTTGCATGGCAATGAAGCCCGCTTTGCGGCAGCTGAGGGATGGGGCATTCCGGCCGCGCTTTGGCCTTCCATCTCTGCCTTCGGTAAGCTAAAGCGGCAAATGGACACTGGATTTTCAAGTATTTCTGCTATGGAACTGATTATGGACATAACGGCCATACTGCGTATGTCGTTTCGCTGCGCTTGTTCACAGACTGCCTGCACAGCAGCGACCGATCAGCGACGCAACCGAGTCTCGGACGCGCTGCTGCTGACCGCGAACAAGCTGAATGTTGGTAACGAATTTTTCTTCACGGAATTTCAGGTGTGCATTGTCATGCATATCCTACGGGGACCGCGTGGGCGTTTGTCATTCCGCATTGCAACACCCCTCTCCCTGCCCTTCCGCACTCCCCTTTAAGTGAGCGTGGGAAACTCCGTTCCTCTACCTCTTACAGAAAAAACTTATGAAACGGACGACTGCGACTGTCGCGGACGCTCTACTGGGCCCCGGCGCCTCACCCTCACTACGCTTGCTTGTGCGAAGGGCGCTTCGCGCGGCGGTGGCCATGGCTTCCACTGCTACTTTTCTCCTGAAGCTCTGTGCGTTGGCAGCATCTCTGGATCACCTAGACGTCGTGCATGACATCAAGACTGATGCAGAGCTGGCCTCCGCTGTCGATACCATTTTGTGTCCCGCGGTGCCGCCCTCGCTGCTGGTCCGCGCCACGCTCTTCGTAATCTCTGTGCTCACACACTGGCTAGATCTGAGCACCATGACCGATTCCCTCGTACATATGAATTCCGAAAACCTCGACCTTCTTGCTGGTGCAGAGATGGTGCGTACCGTAACATTCAGTAGCAGCACGCGCTTTCTTAGCATCAGCGTTTGCCAGCCCAGCCCAAGTTTTAATGTCGCGTTTTGCGGTACCTGGCAATTTTTAATTTTCTGCTGCGGCGCGAAAGCAGTTGAAGCAAAATGTCTTTTCGCCCAATTTTGTCAATGCCATAACTTATGTGCGCTTGCTCATCTGTTTCGTTAAGATTAAACAGGCACTCTTAATCACGCTTAATTAATCGAGCTTGCATTGGGCTGGGCCGATTTATAACCGGTTTCCTGTGGTTTCCTTTTTTGTAATGCTCTATGTGAGCAGCCTAGCACTAATATGTCTTCATGACCTTGCTTTTGCTCTCGGCCTGCGGTGTGGCATGATTCTGTATGTTGTCTATGCTGCAGGTTCTTGATCTCGCAAGCATCGGCCCGGGCTTACTGGAGAGCTGCAGAAGGCTGATGAAGCTGCGGACCGCCTTTGCTATTCACGATACTGGCGGAAGCGTGGACGATATGGACAACGGGGATGATGGCGTTGACGAGCGATAGGTGTGTATAAAAGAGGGATGGTCTGCTGCGCGTCAATGCTGGCAGGCAGCCAGCCGCATGTGGTTGCCCACGCGTACGTAGCGATTAAGTGCAGTTTGCCATACGAATTGCGTCTCTTCTTTACCGACTTATTTGGGAAGTTGCATTATCGGGTTTGCTGAATTTCTCTGTGTAGCGTACGCATAAAGTAAAACCCTTATTGTTTTGAAGAACGAATTGAAGATTGCTATGCTCGGCTGGCCGAGCGGTGCGAATGGAGATGTAGCACAGGGTTGGCACGAGGTCTAAAGCGATGCGGGCTACTGTGCGACCGAATTGGTCATTTAGGGATTCCGAGCGTTTTAGGGAGAGAGTGTAGAATGTCCCCCCGGACCAGAGCCTTGCTTGTCCTGCTGCCAATTGCTTGTGGCGATGGCCATGCTTCGGGGCGACGTATGTATATGTGTATGTATGTATGTATGTATGTATGTATGTATGTATGTATGTATGTATGTATGTATGTATGTATGTATGTATGTATGTATGTATGTATGTATGTATGTATGTATGTATGTATGTATGTATGTGTGACCGACGATGCTGACTGACCGACGAGAACATTGACATGATGAAAATTACTTGCGCGTATGTATTCTTTCTTTGTTTTTTGCTTAAGAAGCAGCGTCTTTCCTGCCTATTGCGAGTTTGGCGTGATTTGTCACGTTATGTGCGCTTGCGTGGCGCCTACTATAAAAAACTAAAAACCTGGGCCGTCGCTTTCACGGCGCATCTGCCAAAGCTTTGTCTGGCTTTGTCGCGCATTTCGTTGTCTCATACCTTTGTGTCTGTACAGAGCGTAGCTTGCAATGCTGGCACGTTGCTGGTAGCTGCTGCTGCTGTTGCCATCCCAGCAGTGTTGTTGGGATTGTCTCTTGACATGAGCGAGAGTTCTTTTGTTCATATTCATTAAGTCGGCTGGTTGCGATGCTTGGTGGTTTGCTGTTTGGTGTGTGCCGCGGGGTAGGGCGAGCAGAGACATAGATAACAAGAGGAGATTGGAGGCTTACAGGCATGGGAGTGGCAATTGTAGTGGCTTTTCGAGGTTCGCAGTAGTTTTCGCGGTTTGTATTTTAGGTTAGTAATTGAACCCTGTACCAGTACGAGCGTCCTTTCCTCTCTTTGTCGAGCGCAGAGGCGGCCTTTTGCAGCCCGCCTGCTTGTCGGCACGTCTTGTTAATTTTTTCCGGCGCGGTCTTTTCGGAAGCGGGGGACTCGCTGTCGCCTATTTACTTTCCTATTAGCGCGGGTTTATTGCGGCTGATGTGAAGTGCAGAAATCTTATTTTTTAACACAAAACTGAAGGAAGGAAAGTTCGAGAGGAGCAACGAAGTAGAGTTATCTGAGAGTGGAGTTTAAGGGTTGAAAATCTTGATGAATCGCGTGCGAGTCCCATCGTGTTGGTTCGGAAAGCTCGGGTCTCTCGAGAAACGAAATTGTATTGAAGTTATCTTTGTTGGTGTTCGAGTGCGAGCTACGTGAAATTCGGTTTGGATGGTACAGTTTCAGCTGGTTTCGGATGGCGAGTTTGCATTCGTCGAGGGAGATAGTCAGTGTTGGGAAAAAAGGTAGGTATATATTCCCTGCTACGTGCACAGAAAACAATATTGAGTGCATATGGGTGGATGAAGTTTTAGGCGGGATTTGGGCTCAGCTTTGGCTAATAGTGAGTCGGCTGCTGGCACATATTGGCAGGGTCACCAGTATTGGAGACCATCGTGCGAGTCCATGAAGCTTTTTTTGAGGCTCCATAGGAGCTTTGTGCGTTTGTACGGATGTGTGTACGGGTGTCGTGCAAGTAACGACGGGCGATGGCACGTTAATGCTCGCGTTATGGACGGAAATGTTTTTGGGGGTTGAGGATGTCCTGGAGTGCGCCTCCGGCCTGTTCCTGTGCTTGATGAATATTTGCAGCAACACTTAAAAGATGTTCGACTCGCCTGTTTAGGGGATGCACGCACGACAATTTGTAAACATGCGTGCACGTACCTGCGGACTTCCCGCGCTTCCCGGAAGCAGCTGCTGCTACGCTGGGCCCCGGGCGGCGTCGCGCTGCATCCGCACAGTTCCGGAGCCGCACCCGTTTGTTGCCTAGTAGGACGACCGGCGCGTTCAAGCTTTACCACAGCCAAGGATGTCGGACCCCGCACTGCCCGGCTGCTCAGCAGGGGGCCTGCAATGGAAGGCTTTCCCAGTGTGCGTGGAAGGCTGTCAGCTCCGAAACCAGCCGCTGCGGCGCCCCCTCCTCCTGGGAATTTATCTATCATCTGCGCCGCCCCGCCGGATTTCTTGCTTGACCCACCGGCGCGGTCGAAAACCCTCTAGGTCCTGAACCTGCGGAAATGCCTCAGTCCTCAGATGCCCCGCCTGACCCCGCCAAGACCTCCACCCACCCTCCTGCACCAGCAGCAGGGGCGGCCCGGGGGGACACCCACTGCCCTGCCTGCGCTTCCGAGTTGTTGCGGACCTTCTGCTTGGCTTCCCTCCTCATAGGATAGGCTGTTAAGTGCGCACGTTGCGGCAGGTTTGGGATAGAACCACGACACTTCTGGTGCAGCAGATTTCCTGGGCGAAGCGGTTGTTTTCTCCTACCCAAGTCTCTGTCTGGCCTGTTACATTGCGTGGAGTGGAAGGGCGAGTTGGGCGAGTATTTGCGGCAATACACGGCACGGTACGCAATCAAAAACGAACCACCGTACCCTCCTTTGTTGTTCATATTTTGTACGTTTCCTAGACTCTAAAAACAGAAAACAGGGGATTGTGCATATGTTTGATTTGGCGGGTGTCTTGGAATCCAGATGCAGCGCGCTTTCCACCAGCGTGTTACAGAGCTGGCTGGCTTTTCCTCCCACCCGCTCCCCACACACTGCATTGCTGTCTTGGCTCTACACAAACGCCTGCCCCTGTATCGCTCCTATATCTAGAAATGCGGAAAAATTGAATCCACGTCATGAACCCCTCCTTAAGCCTAAGTACTTCCCCACGCGCCGCCGGTTTCCTTCGCCGTCTTGGTGCTCTTTGCAGCCCTTAGCTTAGTCATGTGCGTGCCACTGCGGCACTGCGCAATTTTGCGTCTGCCAATGTGCACACACCTACTAACGTAAATCTGCCAGCCGTATCCTGGAGGAAGGACAGCGCGGCCGGCATGTCAGATTCCCCGTAGACCGTTAGCGGGCCGTTAGGACGCCAACGGACAGCGCGTTTCCCGAGCAGGACCTCACCGCCGTTTGCAACCGTTTGCCATTTGGTGCCAAAAAGCTTTGGTTAAAATACAGTTGATATCTAGATTGATTCTGGAAAGTGAATGCAAAACGACAGTTGTGCTGCCACGTTTGAGCAGGTGGATGTGTGTGGACCAATGACGAGTAGATATTGGCTCCATTGATTCTTGCGAATGAGTGCCGTCCGGGCACATCGTAGTAGTTCCTAAATGCTAGTTAGGTTAGCGAACGTAACGGCAGTGAGAAGGTATGGTTGCTGGATCAGTTGGAGGTAAGGCCTTGTAGTGCACGCTGGGCCTGGGCTGGCCTTAGCGCACGCATGTGCGCAGCATGCCCAGCACGCCGCGTGCTCAGCACGTCGTACAACCTGCCCAGAGGAAAGTGAAAGCGTGCCGAGGAAAAGTGTATAAATTGTTCATAGCAAGCGAGATAAGGAAATTCATTTCACCTTGCTAATTTTGGGTAAGCACAGCCACAGCCATAAGCAACTGCCACCAGCCGCATCCAATATTGCTGCTTTGAACATTTGTAGGAGCTTTGTATTAAAGCTGATAAATTGATGTAAGTTGTGTATAAAGGCGAGCGTCTGAGCAGGTCAACCGCCCAAAACTACTCGCCGTGCTGTGCTGCGCTCTCGTCATCTGTCGCCCGCTCGACAAAGCCTTCCAAGGCTTCTACCCAGACGCATACAAAGTCCTTCAAAAAACATATGTATTTGAAACCGCTGGCATTCTGCATGCCGAAGGCCAGCTGCTCCCACCAACCGCCGCGACGTCTCTATCCATCGAGGACGCGCTCGAGCACACAACTTCCTGTTATTAGGACTCGAGATGAATGTAAACTAATTCTGGTCAAACAATTATCTAAGAATTCAAATGCCGTCGATGTCAACATACGTCACGAGGACTGGGCTCCATGGATCTCGAGCGCATTACAAAAGGCGGTGAACTTGCTAAGCACGTTTGGCGGCGGCCTGATTAACGAGAACCAGGTGAGATCTGAAGCAGATCTGTACAGGTTACAGCCCTCGCGCTCGCTGCTCCTTGTGCCTCGCTCGTACACATCGGTGGTCCAAGCCTCCCGGGGTTCGGGGACCATAGGTCAGCCAAATCCAGATCGCCATCGTGCTCCAGCAAATTACCTGTCATAAACTCTCCTTTTTTAACCTATTACGTCCTTGCCTCAGATGAAGCTGCTGAAGCAGGTAACAGCAGTCTTAGCCGACGCCATGATGCCGCCTGGGGCACCTCCCTCACTGCGGCTGCTGGTACGGCGTGCGCTGCGTGCCGCCGTACTTCTGACACATTCAGCTACGTTCTTCATCCGGATCTGGGCGGTGGTGGGCGCTGTGGCACAATCGAATCCGATCCCAGGGGGCCTGGGTTGCCAGGTCGAGCTCCTGTGCACAGTTGCTGCCCTCCTGCTCTCACCTACAGCCAGCAGCCCCTCGTCCTCTCCAATCGGTCTCATAACCGCCGCAGCCTCCCTTGCTGGAGCCTCTATGGAATTCAGCGCGGCGATCGGTGGGCTGTCGAACTTCAATCTGCAAGACCTCGGCGGACGTTGGACGGTGCTGCAGGAGGTGTGGGGTTCCTTGCATCTGCTGCTTGGTGATGCCTAAATGCATGCCGGGCTTAGCGAGAATATGATCAGATTGAGTTACATCACAGCACGCGTGTATCCTAGGAGCTGTCAACAACAGACCATACGGTTGTTGAGAGAGCAAGCGCGCTGCCGTCCGTCGCTTACAAATCCTTGTCGCGACATCGACCCATTGAGTGTAATGGCCCGGGGCTCTACATTACTTGCTCTAACTAACCCCCATGTTCGCGGACGGACGTAAGGACGTAAAAGACGAAGGAGTAATGTGCTTCTCCGTTTCCGCCCATGCGCGCTCTTAATCATCAGGCCATGCAGCTGTTTGCTTCCTGCATGGAGCTGTTGAAGAGCGGCCAGGAGCTGCTCCACGTGGCCGGCTGGGACCCGCTGCCGCTGCCGCTGATGCAGCAGCAGCAGCAGCAGCAGCAGCTGGGGACAGGCGGGCCGCAGCGGGGAGTGTTGCATGGGGATGCGAGTAGCGGCTGCGTGAGCGATCGGGACGGGAGCGAGCGCTGAGCCGTCTCCTTGCCGTACAGAGAGGATTGCGCGAAACGATGGACCACACACGCAAGGTCGTTGTGGGACCTGGAAGTTGAGATGGCGCCTGCCAGTTGATGTCGCCGTGCCTGCTGCTTGGTTTGAACAGTTGTTATACAGTGCTAACTACTACTAATTCTCTTGGAGCTTAGGCTGCAAGGTCCTTACCTTATTAGAATCAGAATGTTGCAGAAGAAGATAGACGCGTTTGCTGCGTACCGCATGTCAAGTCAGGGGCCGTCTTGCAGATGTTCATCTCGTAGGTTTGCCGGGTACGTCTATAGCAGCAGGCATAGTCTCCTGTGCCTCGAAGGATTGGGCAACCATATGTGTGTGGCAGGGAATGCGTATACAGCAAGGTATAAAGAGGATTTGCGGGAGCCCTTAGCTAGCGTTGAAATATCCCCATGCATAGGTAGCTAGCCAAAGTGTAGGTCCGCGGCATACGGCCCACATCCTTTGCTTGCAGAACACGACACCATGATGGCCGATGGGCCATACATGACAATCTTTTGAGTTGCTCTTTGATGTTTGTGGTTGGGCAGTTGGCGTGGACAGATAGGGTGCAGTGAGATACCAAACGAACATGTGTGTTTGCATCGTCCCCTGCGAGCTAGGAGTGCTCGCCAGCCTTTGGCAGGACACGACATATTTTACTTTTTATATGTATTATTTTTATTTGCTTGGTTGAGGGTCGATGACGGGCGCAGGAGTGATTAAGTTTATTTGTCGCGTTGTTTCGTGATGTAAAAGTACGATTTAGTTAGGCTTGGTACGGCAGCAGCGCATCAGATTCGGACGGAGTATACGCGGCCAGATCAGTGGCAGATGTTCGATGGGATGATTTAAGTTGTGCAGACAGGTCCAGTGGTATTGTATGTATGCCAGATCGCTGCACGCATGTGCGTTTCCGTGATTACGAGGGACACGCAGAACCTTATCGCGGCAAGGAGAAGAATACATGGCAATGGGAGCTATTACGGTGCCGTTTTGTTTCGAGGCATGAGTTGAAGCAACATTATTGGTCGATAGGTCGGCGGCTGCTTGGCGATCTGGGTCGCGCTGTGAAGCAGCTGAGAGCGGGTGATCGCCGGCTGGACCGACCGGAGACGGTGTTGCGGCTGAAGCAGGTGCTGGAGACGTACACGGACATCACCAGGTACCCCCGGTGAGTGAGTGAGTGAGTGAGCGGTTGGAACGCATCCAAAAAACGCGAACCCATTTAACTCGGACGTGTGGGTCCGTGTTGGATCCACGGAGGTCGGACAGCGTAAGGTCATTCTTCAAGCCGCTGGGCGTTGAACAAGTCCCTAGGGGATTTGCTCTATAGGATCTCTTTCTTTATTTTGTTCTCGTACAGACGTTTGGTAAGCTTGCGATGTGCCGCACTGAAAGGCAAAATGCCTTCAGGCCAAACGCACAGCTTGTGGTAACAACACTTTATAAACCAAAATATTACTGATGATATACTTGTAATTTGGTGCAATGTAAGCTGGCCTCAGGGAAACTGGCCGCATGCTTACAGTCGAAAGAAAGAACGTTGGGCCCTGCTAGACAAGCCAGCCTATCCTTTCTACGGTAAAATCATATATAAGAGTGTAAGCATTTGCAGCAAAGTTCAAATAAGTTGTTCTTGCTCCTTTTGGCGCTTGCATTGCCATTCTAAGAAAGTGTCAGCCGTACCGTCATGGCACAGCACGCATTTCGCAGCGCACACCAACTTACCACTTACAACCGACAATTGCTTGTACATATGCCAATCAAGTCACATTTCATTTTCTGTTCTGATTTATATCGAAGCTTACCGGCAAGCTTAAGCCGACTTTCACAACCTTGCCGAACTTTGCCGAGCGGTGCGTCCCCTAGAGTACAAGCGTACTAAATCAAAGCAACATACATCGACTGCGCACTAATATTTACTAGACCCCAAAGTCACACTCCACTCGATAGCTTATTCGACGAAGCTCCAGACGAGGCCGAGGGCGGAAAGGTGGCCGTGCCTGCGTGATCTTGCGCAGATAATACAGTCCGATTAACATCTGATTCTATGGCGATGCTTAAGCCGGGCTGTTGCACTCGGGTGGTAGAACGTGTCGGGGCCAGGAGGAAGCTGGGACTTGCATGCCTTCCGGCTGATCACCAGCAAAACTATGATCATATATCGGAAAAATCTGCGCACCAGTCTGCTGATGCCAATGACTTTGTGCGCGAGGCCGGAGCTCCACGCATGTCAGATGCTTTCCGGGAGACGGTAAAGTCACTCGGAGCCTTTAGTGACATCACGCTCAGCGAGTTTCAGGTACGGTCTATCGCACGTGTGCCAAGTGCGGCGCTCGCCCTTGCTGCCATTGCTGCTTATCCAAATTTTGGACGGCAATGCCTTCGTCCAATAGCACATATTGAACTCTCCTATCGCATCATATTTTTCTCGTCGTTTTTAACTCTCCTTTTCCAAGCTCTTCGTTCCTTGCCTCAGATGAAGCTGCTGAAGCAGGTAACAGCGGTCTTAGCCGACGCCATGATGCCGCCTGGGGCACCTCCCTCACTGCGGCTGCTGGTACGGCGCGCGCTGCGTGCCGCCGTACTTCTGACACATACAGCTACGTTCTTCATCCGGATCTGGGCGGTGGTGGGCGCTGTGGCACATTCGAATCCGGTTCCAGGGGGCCTGGCAACCGAAGCCGAGTTGGCGTCCACAGTTTTTCTCCTCTTCTTCTCGGCGGCCGGCGTCCCCGCGTCATCGCTGTTGCTCCGCGCCCTCGCCGCCACCACCGCCCTGCTAGCCGACGGGCGCGGCTTGGGCGCCGCTGCTGACGGCTTGTCACGAATGGATTCCCAGCACCTGGACCTTGTAGCGAGCGCCGAGGAGGTGAGCAAGGATAGCATCCTTCATGCACCAGCATCCTTACAGCTATGTAGGTTGTTATTTTGCGCGTACATAAAGCTTTATGTATGCCTACGCACCTGCGTGAGCTTTTTGCGACCCGATTCCTCTCTTATTATTTGCTGCCGTGCGTGGTATATATATCAAGGAGGCGAGGAACCTGGACGAACGGATTGTCTGCATGCGCGCCTCTATCTTATGCATCGCTGCAAACTGTGCACCTCCGTAGGCTTAGCACGTTTCCCTCTAGTAGAGCGTTTTCTCATAATGCGTTGTTTTTTTACAGGATATTCGTTGTTCGTTCTCACGTCGCGTCAGCTTTGTGCCTTGCTGCTGCTGCTGCTGCTGCTGCTGCTGCTGCTGCTGCTGCAGGTGCTGGACTTGGTTTCTTCAGGTGCAGGCCTGTTGGAGAGCGGTCAGAAATTGGTGGAAATATCCAAGGAGCCGCTTCCGAAGAATGATGAGAAGCCACATCAGGCGAAGCAGGAGGATGGCAGCCGTGGCGAGGGCGCTGCTGGAGACCGCGGCGTTGATCGTTAATAAGGGCCGCCATAGCCATGGCATCGCGCGGAGCATGTTTCCTTAAGGGGTTTGACTCGACTCCCTTATATAAAAAGAGAGCCCCAGCGCTGGGGGAACGTGTTTTCGGTGCGTGCTGTTTGGCGTTTGGATACGTAGGTTTTGTTGTTACCGTACTCTCTGTCTCGTACGTAGGTTTAGCTTGTCCCAAGCAACGCAGATAACAAAAATAATATTTCTTGTTATCGCATTACGCGGGCCGTAAAGCCTGGCATCTGTTAAGGGGAACGCGTACACTGCGGGGATAATGGTAGGAGATGAAGTGAGATGATAGAGAGGGTTTGGGAGGTGTGAAGAGAAGTGGAGGGAAGAAATAAACGGAAGAATGAGCGGGGGACCGCAGCAGGCGTGTTGGTGTTAATGCTCGTTCGGATTGTGCTGAGTCACCGTCGTCATGCTCATTACCGATCGAAGAACTCGTGGTGTCCGTCGTGGTGTAGCGCCAGGACACGAAAGCAAAACCCTAAATAAATTAATCAAATCAAAATTAATTTAAAAGAACAACAATCGAGGGTGGTCTTTCGGAAAAAAAACTATCGAGGTTAGGTGTCGGGTGGTGTGTGTGTTGGAGGTTGGGCGGTGCGCACGCATACATTTTGGTTTTCCTGAGTAGTTGCCTTACCGCTTAGGGGTCATACAGACGGAGGGGTACCTGAGGCAGGAAAGTTGTGCTTGCTTCCGTGGGAGGGGGCGAGCCTCCTGGTTACCGAGCTGTGCGCACGCATGCATTTTGGTTTTTATTTTTTGCACAAAGCAACACGGCACGCACAACCTTTAAAACTCCGCATACGTGATCGCTAGTACACATACAAACATACATGAATGACTTACATGCATACAGACACGAGCTCCGTTTCTGTGAGTCAACGGGTAGGTTTGGCGTGGAACTCATTGGGGGAGGGCTAGTTGATGCAGGACCGGAGTAGGAGGCCGTGTCCATGCATGATGACACCGTGTGCGTGCGTGTGCGTGTTTGTTGTTAGCATAGTAGTGGATACAATGCTTGCATCTTGGTGCTGCTGCTGGGCATGACGTGTGCGTGCGTGCGTGCTGCAAGTCATCCTCTAAGACTCATCGTATTGCATTGAGGCATTTCTTAAAAAAAATCTACCTGGTGACCAGCTGCAGAAGCGCGCACGCCTGCTGCCAGACGAGCGGGTGTGCATGTTTATTTTTTTGTTTGCATGCGTACGTGTGCGCGAAGCAGGTACTTGTGAATGCCCTAATAACAAACAATATTAAGAATGCGACAGAAAAAATGTTTTTTACATGCGTATGCGTATGTGGATGTGGATGCGTATGCGTATGCATATGCGTGTTTTTTTGTAGTATTGACGTTGGACACTGTATGTTGCGATGACTCTTGTCTGTACTGCTGTTCGTTGGTCGTTGTCTGTTGTTCATCATTCAGTGCGCAGCTACTGGTTATCCGCTAAGGAAGGCCCCGTACGTATACGTATATATCAGGGCTGAAAAAGATTTTGACAGGATTTCAAATTTGTGCCCCTGCCGGCGGCTGCTGTATCTGAGGGCTCCCTCTGCTTGGCTTCTGCTCGGGGGTGCCTGGGGAGATGTAGCAGTACTTGGGCAGCATGCAGTACTTAATTGCCGAGTGCGTGCTAGGGCAGTAGAGCGCATCATCAGCTTGCTCGTGCATCCCGCCATTACTCGCGGGCGACTCTTTTCAATATTCATTTTAACCCAAAAATATGTTTTCCTGCTTGGAGCGTTTCGTCGGTGTGTCTATTTTGCGTGCGTGCATGGATGGATGCGTGTGATAGCTTTTTTTACCGGATTCAAAAAATGTCAGTGTCAGGAAATGTTTTTAGATTTGCAGCTGCCCCCGCACTCAGGGAGCGATGTTTTTTGGTGAAGTGTATGCAAGGGACGGAGCAGGGCTTAGGGATGGCTGTTGTGGGGCCTTAGTTGGGTCGGATGGGCGTGTTGCGGGCTTTTCATGCGCTTGCCCATCCCCGTGATGCTGTTGCGGCGATGTGACGTTATGCGATACGCTTCTAGGCCAGAAAACAGCCACAGATTCCCATTACTCTACTCTCCACCTGCTGCTGCTGCTGCTGCTGCTGCTGCTGCTGCATGATCGTGTGGTTTGATAAAGTTGTAAAACTACTGTCTTGGACATAATTATTATCGACGGTCAAAGTTAAGGCGCGAGTGTGCTGCTGAGGCGATTAGTCAACGCTGGATGGAACAACTCCGGAATTCCCAGGATCCTGGGAAGGGCCCTATGTTACCAATATCTAAATGCTCAGACATCCCCCCGCACAAGAGGGCGTTGATGACCGGGTTTGAAATGGAGGAGCTGTCTTTTGTGAACGCGGCGGTGTACGGCGTCGTCGGCCAGCTCGGCAGCCGAGTTTCTTGACCACGTCACAAACAAAACCACCAATGGCCGACGTGTATTGCTTGCAAGCTGGGGTCCCGAGCCGAGGCGTGTGGAAAACGTGCAGACGGCGGAGGACAAAGGACTGGGTGTTATGAGCGTTATGTGCAGCAGATGGAGAGGCTTGCGTGAATAGTGTGCATGCATGTATGTATAGCTGCGCGGCGGTAACGGCTGTGACGATAGGGTCAGCCTGTATGTACGTACTGGCGGCCGGCGGGTTTCCTGGGCGGTCGGCGAAACAGTTCGTAGCAATGATGCGGCGTCATCAGGCGGGGGAAAAGTAGTGCTCGCGCGCCTTAAAAGGTGGACATCATGCGTGCATGTGTATGTGGCGTTTCTTTTTTTGTAGTTGTAGTAGTAGTAGTAGTAGTTGCAGGTATGGTATCACAGCGAGATCCCAAGATTCCAAGGGAATGTATATCCCAGGGCCATCCGTCGGATTGCAACGGACCTTTTATGTGCTCGTCAACAACATATTTGAGCGCGTCATGTTCGTTGATAGCTTCATTTTTTGGTTGCAGAGATTGTTATCCATCTTACATGTATGTAAATAAAGTAGTGCTCCATATTATTATTATTATTAGTAGTAGTAACGCGTCACCAGATTTGACAACCGCGCGCTCGATGTACCCGTGCCTCTTTTTCTGGATGATGATGATAATGATGATGGCTTTTGTCCTCATGCATGTGGAGGTTGTCATCAAGCTTGCAGCCTAAACCCAAAAGCAAAGCAAGTTGTGTCCCGCGTCCCCTTCCACGACGACAGCAAACACAGACTGCAGCTGGCACACATAAGTCACGCACATGCATGCGCAAGTCGACTTGATCCTCCAGCCCTCGCCACTTTGTGGGCCTTTGTGGTATCAATTGCAGCAAGGCCGACTAGCTATCCCTTGAAATAGCAATGGCGGTGTTATGAGTAACTGCTGTTACACGGCCATACATACGGCAGGCGGCTGGCAGAGGTTAAGGCCTGACTTCTGCTCCCGGCCGACCCGGCCTGCCGGCTCCTCGGGTGTTTGAGGAGTGTTGAAATGGGAGGTGGCCCCCCATCATATGGACGATGTAGGACGTGATAAAATCGACTCGCGAGCTGACCAGGAACTAAGTTGATGCGTTGTTGATCCGCTAGATTTGGTTGGATGCTGGTGGTGAGTTGCCGAACCCAACGAATACATTCTGAAGTCGGATGGGGTGACGGATTAGGGTGCCCCTCTAGCAGGGGAGAGCAGGGACTGCCCCGGGAAAGGGGGCCGCTGGCGAAGTTAACCACCTGTAACAACATACATACGTATATACTGATCGACATCAATCACTGAAACGAAGGTCCTTTTACTGAAGAACTCATGTCTTAACCAATCGATGCATGTGCATGGATGGGGTGTTACAACATTGGGGAACTACTTCAGCTTGTTACTGTTTCCTTGGGACGCTTCAATTCCTTCCAAGGCCTTTGGAGATGGAGAGTTTTTACCTGCCGCTGTGACACACGTTGTGACTCCCATGAACCTCGGCTGCTGCCGAGCGAGCCGTCCACCGTCCGTAATCCAACGACGAAATAAAGACGCCGTACACCGCCGTTCGAACATGTACACGCGGCTGTCGATTCGATTCACATGCTGTACAAGGGCGAGGATTATCCAAGGCCATCGAATACATAGGTAACAGCTTCTTAGTGCACACGATTTTCAGAGTTAGCGCACGGCAATCGCCATCTACCTGGTCTGAGCAATCATGCTGCACCCCTCATCAAATACTCTTCGGACCTCATCAACTCCCTGCCGCCGCCGCCGCACTGTTGCTGCTGCTGGCCGCCGCGCAATGGTACCGCGCGTTTTACATCCTGCCGCGGCACTTCTCATGTTCTGTCTCCCGCTGCTGCTGCTGCTGGCCACTTCGGCTCTCGGATCGGTTCTGGAGAGCAGCAGTGCTATTAGCGCCGATCCCACCGTCAGGTAACGTTGTCAACAGCAGTCGGGATATGCTTGTATGGATGGGAGGGAGATGTCAGCGGCGGCGCCGCAACGATGAACTGACGGATGGTCGCCGCAGATGGTCGGCCAAATAATATCAGTCAACCGCAACTTTAAAGTATCGTCAGGCCAGCCATTTGCTAGGTATGCATAAGCTCTATGAGAAAAATGATTTTCCCGAGGCCCGTCATCATGCATACTGCATACTGCATACTGACCCACATTTGGCAGTTCGCTGATCATAAATTTGCCCGTGCTTGTGCGCGCCCGCCCGCCTGCACGTGTACATGGTTTCGTGTGTCCGTGGTGCCCGGGCCGCGATTCATCCGACGCGGCTGCTGTATGTGGTCTCGGTGGTGGTGGATGGTGGCGAGCGCAGCAGCAGGCGCCTCCTGCAGAAGCAGCAGCCAAAATGCGCGTCTCCTTGCATAGACTGGTCGGAGGACGTGGCCAATGCAGTAGGAGTGAGCGCATGTGCCCGGGCCGATGACAACTGCCTGAAATCGGCTGGCGGGGAATCCGGTGCAAACAAGCCCACGGTGCTGTACGATGCCTGCTTCAAGGCCACCAAGGAACAATGCATCAAAGGCGGGGGGGCCTACACTCAGGCAAGTGTTGCATGCCAGGGTGCGGATGAGTCGCCAGGGTATTAGACGTCCGGGCACCAAGATGACGGCTTCCTGCGAAACGCCTCGAAAGTCGGAAGTCGGCTATCGGACCCAGGTGGCACTGTAGCAAGGGAACAAGCAACCGCTGTCCCGTAAAGCCTATGGGGGGCGGGGGCGACGAGGTCACCTGCTGTATGTGATGAATGCGATGCGGAGTAGGGGTTTTAGAGGGGGCGCGTCTTCCGTGGACGAGCGGGATTCACTGGTCATCATCTCCACTCCACGTTCGCTCCACCGTGTTGCCTTTCTGCCTTGCTGCGTGGGACCTGCTGCTGCTGTCGCAGGCTGGTCGCTTCTGGTGTAATAGCATGAATACGGGTTCTGGCTCTTGCAACGCCGATGCCTTCAAAAGCCTCGTGGGGAAGTTTCTCGCTGAAGTCTGCGCCAACGTAACCAGCGGAGCCAGGATTCAGATACCCTGATGAAACGGACACTACACACGAGCGGTTAATGCAATAAGAGATAAATCTTTTGCTAAATGGATGATAATGGGACCGACTTGTACGGACTATTATCCGTACATGGATGGGATGAAGCCAGCCTTGCATGTACGAACAGACGGGTGCAATCGCGTCATGTGTTCGTGGATTTACAGTGTGAATCGCTGACTGAGTTTCGGTATTAACTGAATGGCTGGTACTAATAAGGCAGGAGTGTTCCCGGAATGCCGCTGCCGATCTTGAATGTACACCAAAAAGACCGATACATAAGTGTTTGTTAATCGCACACGTACACGTACACATGACGATTAGACCACTGACGTGTCTGATCGGCTACATCAGTTGCCTGTACTTTATTTATATGTTGCTTGTGTATGTGTGTCTGTCTGTATGTATAACGTTGATAAGACGCGGTTGGTTATTAGCTTTATGCAGCAGACGGGTCCTCAGAAACTTTCAGATGTGCAGCCGTACAGAACGGCACACACACACACACACAAATCGTCTGTAATAAGATAGGAGTCGTCCTGCTGCCAGAATCTTGCGGTCTTTTTGAGCGGCCATAATACTAAAGTAGATGTTGTGCATGTTTTGACCATAAGATCATCCACAAGTGTTAAGATGCTGGTGAAGCGCCTTTGCGCGTATTTGTGGACGTCACGCATGCCTTTTCACACCACGCACGTGCAGCACGCGATACATGGCAATAATGGCACATGGGGGATTATCGAGCGAGCTCACGGACGCGCATGCATGCAGCAGGATTTTGGGGAAGTCTACTACTCAGAGGTGCGGCGGTTTGCCGTTCCGGTGTACGGCGCGACGCTTCATGCATATAGTAAAATGCGTTATTCCTCCACGCACCGTACGCGTGCGTGGATTCGTCACGTATTTGGCCTGCAGCCAAGTACCGTGACCGTCCTTGCTGCACAATGTGGACACCTCTCCCTTCCTTTCCTTCTCAAGGGTGCGCGAGAAGGCAAACTCGACCTGCTGGACAAACGGTTAAGAGAGATTTGCACATGTGGACATGCTGGTGGAACGGAGCCCGCCGCCATTTCATCTCACACAACAGCAGCGAGCTGCAGCCAGCTGCCCCACGTGGGGCCGTGGAGCACTACTATTTTAGATGACTTGGCGGTCCGCACTATTCTACCCTTGGTGCCATTCAGCAGTCTGATGAGTTTTCGGTTATATTCGGTTATATATGCGATGATGTGCGATGATGTGAACAGCCTCCGAGTCGCTCATCAATGCCCACCGGAGGAAATAAAGAGCTGAATCGTATTTGTGTCCCATCCCACGCACGTGTTCCTAGCTAGTTACTGGCCAGGTTTTATGAGAAGTCTCCGCTACAAGCTGGAAAGACCTGCAAGCACTCAAAGATAGCATATAGGCTTCATGAAGGGCAGGGCCGGGTGCGGGCACACTACCCCGAAGCAGGGCCTGAACACCCTTACAGACCAACCGCTTATGGACAGTACCCTAACGTGGCTACGCAAAACCCGGATTAACCAGCAGCGTCGCTCACAGCGACACATCAACAAAAGGCACGCCACCATGCAGTACAGAATCCACTCCGAATTCAAAGAAAACCTTAGCTTTTATATAACGCTCCGCTAGAAAACCTATCTACCAGATAGATGCAGTTGAACAAATGCACACGGACTGTTTAAAGGAACATCCCGGTTGTTTTTTTCCGTTGGAAAATTCATTCGTTTGTTCGTCCACGTAATCTTGGCCTTTGCTAATCACGACGTTGATAATACGCATGGACATCGGCCTGGAGCCGAGCCCTCGATCTCCAATCCAGAGGCAAACGCCATCTTCGGTAAATTCTTTAATAGCACCAGAAGTAGTTTTCAATTTTAATGATAACGCACGGTACACGCCAGCCTGACCTGTTCGCCTAGCTGACCGTTGATTTGAGCCATGCTGCACCCCTCAACAAATACTCTTCGGACCTCATCAACTCCCTGCCGCCGCCGCATTATTGCTGCAGCTGGCCGCCGTGCAGTGGTACTGCCCGCTTTTCTTCCTTCCGCGGCACTTCTCATGTTCTGTCTCCCGCTGCTGCTGCTATTGGCCACTTCGGCTGTCGGATCGGTTCTGGGAAGCAGCAGCGCTATTGGCGCTGATCCTTCCAGGTAACGCGCACGCGCGCGCGCAATCACAAGGGGTATATGTTGCCGACGGAATGCGCGGATAATTGAAAGGAATCGCATGCATCTAATGAATTGATGTATGGTAGTAACAGCAGGCGGTATACCTATATGCTAAAATTTCTGTTTAAGATACCATAGTCAGCTTGCTCACTGAGCAACTGCCCATTTAGTTGGTTTGTGCGCCATCAAAAAATGAACTTCCCAGAGACGCCTCCCGTCCCGTACACGGTTCTAGGATAATAAATACCCATCATTACATTGCTGACCATAGATTTGCCCGTGTTTGTGCGCGCTCTCCCTTCGTGTGTTTCGTGTGTCCGTGGTGCCCGGGCCGCGATTCATCCGACGCGGCTGCTGTATGTGGTCTCGGTGGTGGTGGATGGTGGCGAGCGCTGCAGCAGGCGCCTCCTGCAAAAGCAGCAGTCGAAATGCGCGTCCCCTTGCATAGACTGGTCGGAGGACGTGGCCAGTGCAGTGGGAGATAGCGCATGCGTGCAGGCATTTGACATCTGCCGCAAACCAGATAGCGAAAAACTGGGTGAGCCGCCCACGGCGCGGTACGATGCGTGCTTTACGGCCACCAAGGGACAGTGCATCAAAGGCGGGCGGGCCTACACTCAGGCAAGTGTGGGCGCGTGCATGGTGACCTCGTCCACTCATTTTTATCACTGGGTTATTGGTTGTTACATCACGGCTTCAAAAAAGTACCGATCGACAAGTGCAGATCCCTTGATAAGCCCAGGATGCTACATGGGTCGGCTCTATTGTATTTTTCTCCGTAATATATATTACGGTTCCGTAATAAAATGGCATATTTGCGTTCTGCGCTCCGTCATAGACGATGGTAAAGGCCTGGTACGGTCGTTACGGAGCCGGGGCGGGCCCAGAAGACGTCTCTGGGGGCCGAAGGCCCCCAGAGACGTTCTATTTTAGTATAAATGAGTTATAAATGAGCGATGGGGCCCAAGAAATTAACTACTATAGCTGGTCAGGGTAGCGTCAAAGCATTCCTGACCACCGGCAGGCCAAAACCCAGTAGCGGTGATGCTGGTAACACCTCAAACAATATAGCGAGTACAAGAGAGACATTAGAACCAGATGACAGGGCGCCTCCCGGCACGGCGCCACGCTTCAGCCAGTCAATCCCACCAACAGCCTGTTGCAGGCCAGGAAGCAGCTCAGGCGCACCAGGCTAGACGCCCGGAGCCGGTTGTATCACCATCAAAACGACGTAAGCTCAATGAGCCCAGGACTTCTACACCCGCTCGTCCTTCCCGTATGACAAGGCGGTGGAGAAGTGGCTGCAGAGGGCTGAGAAGCGTGGCCGTTACATGCACAACTGACGAGTTTGCTATGCCCTGGGGCATTGTACTGGCTGTTGTGTCGTGGTGAAAACGTATGACATAATCCTGAACGCATGTGGCAACGGACGGAAACAGCTGAGACTATAATGAAATATTTATTGAATATGTGCTGGTGTATCAGGTACCCTGTGTGGGCAGGGGGGGTCTGGGGGGGCTTGCCCCCCCAGCAAAAAAATTCTGGCAGTAATAAACGTATTGGACTGGTGGCATATTTATTACGGAACTCGTAACAGATTCAGGATCGGCCTCCACGAAAAAAAACGCACTGGTCGAGCTCTATTGTATGCAAGTATGTATGTATGGATAGGGATCATGCCCTTGTGCATTAGATAGAGATTGTCCCTATCTATATACTTAGTAGACCAGGACACAATCTATATGCGACGAACGTAAAAAGAATTGCAGACGTAACCTGTGATGATGGTTCATGCAAAGGAAGGACGCCGGCAGCAACTTTAAAGCCTCATCAGAATTCAGACCCGCGGTGGGCGGCCATTCCCACCCGTGCTCATGACGACAGCGGGCTGCTCACGTGTGGTAATTATTGTCGAGCTGAGCGGGCATGATAAGCATCTCCTTAAGGGGAAAGGCGAGGGAATCCTGTATGCAAGAGCAAGCTAGGCATTTACAGGTTGTATGGTAAGTGCCAAACACTGATGATTGTGCGAAAATCCCCTCGTCTATGGTGCGAACAGACTTGATCACCTCAAATATCTGATTGGTAGATATGACCATGCAATAACTGGCTGAACATGCATGCAAAGCAATGCCAATCAAGCTTTCTAGCTATTACAGCTATCCCCTTATTATGACATGAATACTTTTGCCACCCTCATGCAAATTATCCCCTTGTTAACCTGCTGCTGCTGGCAGTCGCAAAATGCTCTATATTACTGCAGTTTCAGAACTACCGGAGGTGGCTCTTGCAACGCCGATGCCTTCAAAAGCCTCGTGGAGAAGTTTCTCGATAAAGTCTGCAACAACGTTACCAGCGGATCCAGGATTCAGATACCCTGATGAAACGGACACTACAAACGAGCGGGAATGTGATGGGTGGGGTGCAATAGGGTTAGATGCGAGGTGGATGTCGGTCACACGGGGATGCGAAAAATCCCACATATCCAACCTGGGTAAGGATGTGGATGTGGCAATAAATGCAGAAAAAAAAATAAATCTTTCGCGACATTCATGCATGATGACTGCTGCTTGGCGCTAGAGTGTGTTGTCATTGGACGACCGGGGAAGAAAGTCGTATCTTCCAGATATGTGTGTGTGTGTGTGTTACATGGTTGGGGGTGCGTGACCCCATACCTGTAAAACTACCCATACGAGCCGAAGGACCAAGGGCAATATCTATACGCCTAAAAGCCACGGAGAACAGGAAACACCGTGCCTTATTGTGTAACAACATTCTTCCCCCTTTGAAAGGATCCGTCTCGCCCCCTTACGGCCACGTATACCACCAGCCTCTGCCTATCTTCGCCTACCCCCGGGCAGTGGGTGCTCAACAGTGTTTTTTTTCATTTGTGCCGGTTAATTTTCCAGTCCGAACGGAGGAATAGGTTTTTAGTCGCGGGAATAAAGGTATTCCGAATCTGTAAGGCGCTGGGAAAT